GATGATGTTGTTGTTCCTCTAAACGTCAATGTTGGTAGAGTAATTTATCGTGGGAATATAATTTTATAATTTTTTTCAAAAGGGGAGAGTCTGATCATATTAAATCGTTTATATTCGCTTGTTGACAGAGCAGAACTAAACCCCAATCATTCCAGTTTTTGTAAAAAGAAAGAATAACGGAGCTTTATTTGTAATTCCAACATTACTTTTGTTTGTTCACCTACATGTGAAATGTTTTTTCAATTATGGGAGTGATCCAACCTGAACAAAACAAACATAATTCGGCCTAATAATTTCTGATCATGATGATTCCAACGCATTCATTTGTTTTCCAAACCTTGAAAATATTTTTTTCTACTTGCTTTTAAAAAGGTGACGAAAACAAGGTTCTATATTTTTCCCAAGTAATGTTTTTATATTTCTGCGTAATGGGCTATAAATCGTCGCTGTTTTCACGAAGTGACGGTAGTGAAAAAAAATTGCATTCACTTTGCGTTACGATTTTCCTCACTAATGTCTGAATGCTATATCCAGTTTGTGCGTCTCAGGAATGAAAAAAAAACCGAACTGGATTCTTAAACTGCGGAGAACTGAACTGAAAGGGTTAGATACAGGAAATGAAAAAGGTGTATTTGTGGTATTTTATTTTGTGAAAAAAAAAAAAAATAGTTAAACGAGACATTGTTCAAAATTCAAGATTGCCGAAATGTTGGAACGAGAGCGCATTATAAGCAATTATTGTCTCGTAAAGTGAATTTGACAATGATCTATGTACATGACTTGTATGTGTTGAACTTATCAATTATAGACGGATTGAGGCCTACTTCTTTGATAGTCTGCGACTATTTCATTGATGGTTTATGCTGAGTAAACATTACTGGTGTCTGTACTGAATTCTACTGCAAGCTTTGAGATAGACCCCATACCTGCTTAAAACCCCATCGTGAACTATAATAAAGAAGAAAGGCAATGCTCTTGAAAGGTGAATAAATCACACCGTTTAGTGCAAAATTAAGATTTGGTTTACTGTTCCGCAGTGTGATTTAGGATACCGGATTTCTTTATTTGTTCTCTACTATGGCACTGCTCGATAGAGGAGAATCGGCGAATCAACAAGCTTATACACCATGATAATTCCCTCCCTAGCTATATCTGTCTGACGGTTTTTTTCCTTTTTGAGGCGCCATCCGGGGGCGCCGTGTACAAAAGCATTTCTATGACTTGAGAAGGTGGTTACACCCCTCCCCTCTCAGTCGGCAAGTTCACAACTGCATAATTTTTATGACAAATTCTGAAGATTAAAAATTAAGAAAACTTTTCAACAAATTTGGTACGAAAATATTCTTACCCTGCCTATTTTTGCACGATTTAGATTTGAAATATCGAAATTAGGATTAACAGAAATATTTATATTTCTGTTTTTCATTCTAAGTGGTGTAAATAGCTTATTGAAATGATTAGCTTATTTTGTGTTAATACTTGTTCTTATAGTTTATTGTATGAAAAGATATAGATTGATTTAGAAAAAAATGATTGTGCAAACTTTGCAGCGTAAATAAATATCTGGAAGAAAACTGAACTTGTAATAAAGTCTATCTGTGCAGGCATTGAGCTTTTTATTTGTGTACCATAATGTGTAAATAATACCATCTTCACTACTATACGGTTCTTCATCATTTTATACCATTCTTTCGTTAATAGAAAAAAGTGTACCCAAAATCGGTATTTGTTCGTAACCAATCAAATTGAAAACAAGATTTTACCGAGGCCCTTATGTGATAGCCCCTAGCTTTATCTAAAGTTATTGACCCTTCGTTAAAAAGAGGATTGCCCCCGCAAATCTACTTTACTATAATGGCTGTAGCCTGTACCTGATATGGTTAGTCGAAAAAGGGTCGAAAGTTAAGGTACCCATCATTAACCATCACGTCCTTGTGCTGTAGACAGACACGTCTGCTACACAGCGTGGCTCTATGTATCTAGCTCTCAAATAAAAATACGAGAAGAATCCCCCTTTGTTCTCCTCGCCGAAGAAAAAAAGGAAAGGGGGGGGGGGAGGAATTCTCCGACTCTAGTATTTGTTCAAAGGATGTGTACATACGAAGGAATACTGTGGCTATGTGTAGCTACCTAAAATATGCTTTTGTAAAAGACGAAGCTAGCGGGCCTTTGTTATCGATTGTTCGGTATTTGATGTGATGTTTGTTAAAGGTTTAGAAAGCAAGCTGCTAGAGAAGACAGTGTATTATAGTATATGTCCATAGACTGAGAGGGTTGGGAGAAAGAGAGCTCGATGGCGAAGAAGGGAGACTGAGGTATATATTAAATATAATGTAGAGAAAGAGAAAGAGAGAGACAGAGATAGAGAGAGAGAGAGAGAGAGAGAGAGAGAGAGAGAGAGGATGTGAGGATGTGGGGCATTGAAGAGTTCATCAAAAGATAGAATAATTTCAACTATTACATGTCAACCGACTGCCGGACTTACGCTATTGCAATATACAATTATACATTGGTAACATTTCACATCCGAAGATATATTCCTGATGACAAATGCACATGAGGTCTCCCTCGGTTTTGAGTAATATAGGAATAAATGTATAGTTAGCTCTCGATCGTCAACATTCGAATAAAATGTAGGCAAAAGGTGGGGAGTATGGGCCAAGATGGTGTAAAAACTTTTTACAAAATTAAAGAACGGTGGTCTCAACACTTCTGCATGTCTCAACCCGAATGTTGTACCGAAAACAACGGTTTTGTTAATCCAATATCATGAATGAATGCTTTTACACAGCAGAGTATACATTTTCAAAAGGCAAAATAGTTAATCTTCAAGAAAAATATGTCAAATAGTGTGTAATTGAAAGACCTTGTTAATAATTCTTATCATTTTCTGGCTCATTACCTCTTATGTGTTAATCAACCGAAAGGTGTTTCATATTAAACACAAACAGCAACAGCAACAGGATCAAAGCTTTGCCTTTGAACACCCGGTGATCAAAATGTATTTTGGTTCTTTTCACGCATTTCACAACTCTTTGAATCCTTTTGTAAGGAGGTCCTATATTATATTTCACTAAAGAGCATATGGGGAAGGTCTGATCACGTCAATTTAAGATTATTTCCCTGGCAAACTTTTGATCTCAGTTCCCAAACTGAGAAAAAAGTTTACAAGACAAACAATTATATGCAATGATTGTGTTATGTTTTAATCCAACTCAAGGCAAACGCTGTTTTGTAAAAAAAAAAAAAAAAAAAAAAAAAAAAAGCTCAGGAACTTGGCTAATGCTAGCCTAAACTATTAATGTGGCTGGCAAAAAATGTCCGTTATTCAAGAATTTCATCTCCATTTTAAGTAAAGATGAAAAAAACGAGGGCACTATTTGACTCACTAATCAGAATTTACAAATGTATTAATCATTATCTTTCACCCATATCCACTGAAATGAAGAACTATAATCGTATTCCGAGAGAAGAAAAGAGGTAGAAAACACCCATCATATGTAATGTTTGTGCGCCAACGAACTTAAAACGATATGTATGATTGAATGAGGGAATTCCCTCTATTATTTGTGTTTCACACTTCAGCTGTGGTTTCATAAAAACAAGATACAATGAACAATAAACAAATATTGTAGAATAGAACAACAACAAAAGTGGTGGGTCCTCGATTGTCTACACAGGGGTGAAGGTGTGTGTGTGGGGGTGGGGGGGGGGGGGGGGGAGGGGGAGGAGGACAAAAAATCCCTGACAAGCAAATCAAATATACTCTTGATGCAAACTGAAGGTATTAAGGTATGTCAGATTGTATTTTGTAAGGGGGCAGTGCTCCTATGCTCCCCTGCTCCTGCCAATTAATAACAATGACAATACATTTCTTTCAGCTGTGCAACAGCATTTTTCAATCCTGTGTCCACAAAGGTGTGCTGTTCAAAAAGTCAGTGGAGCAAACTATTAGGAGACGTGGGTAAACATTAGCAGATGATCTCCACTAAATAGTGCACGATGAGTGACTGGCAATCCCTATAATCCTGGTAAAACTCTATAAAATATGCCCTTTGTTCCCTTTTGCAGCCAACATCAAATTGTGTAGAAGTTTGCAGGAATTATGAATATGTCATGTATGTCCTATCTGTACAATTTAAACATTAACAGTGGTCCTAGTATTCAAATTATGCAAGGAAACCCGTTTACCCTCTAGACTTCACTGTCAGACACTATTGAGTGAGCGACTGACATCTTTTTTTGTTGTTAGTTATAACACAAAATCAGCTGTAACAGGTACATGAGCATTTGTCTACATCAATAACCCACTTCTTGTAATGGCCAAAATTAAACTGATTGAATCTTTATGCAGCAAAAATTTGGTAAAAGGGTCTGAAAATCACACTACTACTTAGGTGATTGCAATTACTTATGTCGATTTGACAACTAATGGTTGTTATTTTCCCACTAAATTAGTATTGTCTTTCAAATGCCGTTGGAATTTAACCTTTCCATTTTTTGGCCTGCAAATGAGACATAGTACCTTTAAAGCATTGAGCTTCAACAAATGTTTGTCAAAACCGCATTCACAGATTCAACAGCTAGCTTGTACCCCTTTCATACCAGTTAAAATAAAGGTTTTATGGAGAATTTAAAAACTACTTTGACAATGAGATCCGTGTATGACTCACAATAGCACCAATAAATCATGGGTTTTGAGTGGGGTGCTACATGTCACCATTGTTCCTTAACAGGTTTGTTGTGGTTATACCAATTTATAACCACACAAAAAGAAAATCACAGTAGGAACTCTACCCATATAATACATATATGAGCACATGAAATAGTTAGAAGATCATTGTTTAGTGGCACATTTTGCTGACTATACCAGCAAGGATATTACCGTTCTTGTACTTTGCACAAAGATATTATCCAACCTGAATCTGGAAGTGATATTAGTTTACTTTGCAATGTTGTTTGAGCTCAGTAAGTATATTAACAAAAAAACAAGGGGTTCGTTGCAGTTCTGATGACTATACTCTAAATTTTAATTCCATTTTACATCAGTAATGACATAAAAAGTAATACATTGTTGCAGATTTAAATATTTTGTATCCAATTATGAATAAGGGAAATACAGAGCTGCTCAATATCACTCAATAAATGAAAATAAGTTTATAATTTTCTGGTAATTGTCTACAAATCCAATCTTTCACACTTAGATTTTACTGTTTTTATATTTTGGGTCATCTAGCATCCTGAAACAGATCAAGAACAGTTAATAATGAATTTCCTTGTTTGTTTTATTTACACACCCACTGTAATACCTTCAGAGTAAAAGACCAAATCACTAAGATAGTATATATATATATATATATATATATATACTATCACATGTGTAATAAAAATATAATTTTTCATATATAGAAAATTTCATATACATCATAAAGCATTAAAATCCTAATTTCTTTTATCAATCAAAGAAATCAAAGAGTTGTACATATTTCTTGGCAATAGGCAGTGCTGATGATGCATAATATTCATTAATATTTTATAACAGAAGACATTAATAGTACAAATACCTAATATAGGTAATAATAATTCTATTTTGAAAGAAACACATTTCCATACTATGTATATATGAACATGTAGATGTAATCATATCACTAATGAAACCTTTTTCACTACCGTCTGATTTTAAGTTTTGCTATATTTTCTAAATGGAGAATTGACATAAATGTAGATTAATTCCACTTCATATCAAGTAGAATGAGCTAAAATGCCAAATGGTTTGCATACTGTCTAATTCCAGTAAACATATTCACACAGCTTGTTATATGGTAGTTGCTTTACAGACTGAGAATGAAATAAATAATTCTACAGTCAAACCTGATTTAGCAAACACCTGTTAGAAAGACTGCAAGTATACAAAAACCATATTTTAATTCACTCTGAACAGTTTTCTCATTAAAACATGCTGTAAAGGAACCCGTTGATAAACACCACCTGAATTTAATATTAGCTTTTCTCATCCTCCCTGAGTGGTCTTTCTTGACACATTTAAATGGAATGCCTTCTACAGTATAACATCATTAAGATGACATGAACACCAAACATGAAATTTACCAGTGGGCTAGCTTTTACTGATCAACATACATCTGTTGATACTAATCACATTCACTTGATGGAGTGAAAGTATTTAGGAGATAATTATCTCCTATTTTGATTTTATAATGATGTTAGGCAAGTAAATATAAAGATAATATATAAGTAATGTATATACTATGATATAATGATATTCTTATATACTTGGCTCTATGAGCCTATATCATTCACTTTGAATATTTAAAAACTATTCATATACTCTCTCCCACGACATCAAAGTTATCTTTAGACTACAATATATCTGCTGTGATTATATGGCACGATAGGGCTAACATGACAACCAAACCAATATTTGGAACAAAAGAAATAATAAAAAACAGACAAATATGGAAAGACAAAGCTACAACACTACCATACTTACGAAGTTACTATATTAATGTTCATTAATGTCTTTCAATTTAATCAATATATATATATAATTATAACACTCGATCAAGTTCTAAAATGCACTTCTTCAAGGTATTTAATGAACGCTCATTGAATTTGATTCAACACCAGGGCCCTAGAATATGCAATTTGTTAGACACAATATCACATCTTGCAATAACCTTTCTTGATCTAAATATAAAGTGAAGTCCAGCTTGCTAGCTGGATATAATCATTGATTAACTACAATTGTTTAAAATGTTACCCCTTTGCCCCCCTCCCTTCCCACATGATCGTGTGTTTGATTTCTCATTGTTATATTTGCTCATGTATACTGACATATTTAAGAGAGTTGCACCCATTACATGCTTTGTTTTTGTCGGCTTCCTTTTCTTTGTTATCATCTTGGTTGTTATACATGATATACATTTTGAATTTGTTTACGATTTTTAATAATTTACAAATAAAGTTGAATTGTATTGAATTAAATTCCTTTGTGCAACATTGCGAACGAGATAAAATGAAGATAATAACATTAAGAGAATAGCATGGAACAAAGATAAACTTAAACCTTTCTTCTAGTACTATGCAGTTGAATGCAAAATGTGATCAAAATCATTTCCAATCGTCATGCTTCACAAAGATGATCTACAATGTGTAGACTGATAGAATTCAGTCTAGACTACTTGCTGCAGTCAAGTTGTTTTTGCACCCATTTCTTGATAGCCTGTTATAAAAATTCAAACAAAAATGGAAAGAGGATTAGTATATTACAAATTTAACTCATGACTTGTTGATAGAGGCTGAAAAGATAGTCTTAACTGGGGCAATGTTTTTATTTAAACCCATCTCAAATCACAAGAGTTAATTCATTTTGAAGAATACATTGCCTGTTATCGTATTTTTGCTATTCCTATTAAAAAAAGTGGCATATGATCTATGATCCTTGACTCAAGACCCCAAGCCCACATCTGATGTCTAACCCTTGCCTAAACATATCAATTAGTATCATAATTTAGTCCCGACGGTGCATGCCATTATACTCGTGATATAGTCACATAAATTGATAGTATACAGATAGATGGAATCATACCCCCAAAATATATACCCCCTCTTTCTCTCTCCAAACATTTCCCTTGAAGCTTCTTGTGAGACAAAGTCACCAGGTGGCCTTCAGCAACCAGCTTGTAATGAAACTTCCAGAATCCCCTCCCTCTCCTAACCCTTTCTAAGAATGCCCTTGATACTCACCAGGATGCCTTCCAAGACAGGTTTGCAATAGAGATTGAGGAATTCATCTGTGATTGGTTCATCAGCATGCTGTTGGCTAGCCTGAAGAGCGAGAGTGCCATCAAAGTTAATGTAGCAGAGACGCACAGTGAACTCTTCATCAGGACGCAGGAAGGCTGGACCACCTGACATAACCTACAAAAGAAAGGTATCATTAGAAATTTGCTTATTTTTTTATCAAAGTTAAACAACATTAATATTAAACACATGTGTAGTGTGGCCCAGCTAATGGCAAAATGGAGGATGTTGAAAACAGCCAATAGGCCATTTTCGTAATGTAACCAAATTTAATGCATAAGTCTTCGAAGTGCCTCAATACAAATTATTTCATTCACCTGATAAGAATAATAGTTTTTCAGAATCCGGACTGCATACATTAGTTGTTGCCATGCAGGTTGGACAAACATTATGGCTTGACCTACCTAGCAACACTTAATATATGCAGCTGCATTCTGACTATTGAAATACTATTATTCCTATCAGGTGAATGAAATAATTTGTATTGAGGCACTTCACAAAGACTTAGGCATTAAATTTGATTACATTACGAAAATGGCCTATTGGATAAAGAGATTAGCAACATATAGACCCAGAAAAGGAATGCAGAAATGACTGCATTTTTCCAGTAGATATTGCCCCCATTGCATAAAACTTACCATTGATGGTAACTCTGCCATCAATGGCAACTACCATGGTAACAGGGCTCAACAGCCAATCAAAATCAAGGTTTCCATGGTAGTTACTATTGATGGCAAAGTTACCATCAATGGTAAGTTTGTGCAATGGGGCCCAGGTAGTTATAAAGATAATTAATTTGAAGGTTAAGGATATAGTAACTTTTAAATCATAAAACGCTTTTATCAGACCCACACCAAAGGTTTTAGCTTTTAAGTTTGGCATGACGGATAGCCATATCCAATTATAACTTACTACCGGTATATATTTAACCGTATCACAATTCATAACTCACTACAAAATTCATTGGACAAAAAAAAATCATTAAAATAAAAAAATGTATAGTATTTCATTGGAGAAAATACGTAGTAACTTTCACTTTATAGACATGCATAAGTAAAAATGAAATGAACAACTCTGTATAGTTAAAGCTCAACCCTTTGTTAGCTAGCAGTCCAATGAACAAAGCATAGTGGAAGTAGCTACATGTATTAATGTGTGTAAATTCCATTACAGCAATGTCTCCCTCACTTGGCTAAGGTTTTAGAGTCTAATAAGTACAGGATACATTACGTGGACACTGATAAAGCACTGTGTGGTAAAAGATGAAGATGACAACATTGATGATGATGATGATGATGATGATGATGATGATAATGATGATAATGATGATGATGATGATGATGATGATGAAGATAATGATGATGATGATGATGATGATTATGATGATTATAATGATGATTATAATGATGATGAAGATGATGACGACGATGATGATGATGATTATGATGATTATGATGATTATGATGATTATGATGATAACGATGATAATGATGAAGATGATGATGATGAAGATGATGATGAAGATGATGATGATGATGATGATGATAATGATGATGATGATGATGATGATGATGATGATGATGATGATGATAAGAATGATGATGATGATGATGATAATGATGATGATGATGATTATGATGATTATAGTGATGATTATAATGATGATGATGAAGATGATGATGATGATGATGATTATGATGATTATAATGATGATTATGAAGATGAAGACGATGATGACAGTACTGTGGCAGCGGTGGGATATGAACCCACGCCATAAAAATGACTGGTGGTTATTTCTTTTTTCACATTTAAAAGAATGCCTCAACTTACCGCTACATCTGCCTCCTCCAACAATGCCTTGCACATGCTTTCACCAGTCATGATACCTCGTCTAGCCAGGGCCTCCCGTATCACCTCAAAATCTGGAAAGATGTAGAACCCTGCTCTTGGCATGATTGCTTTCACTCCCACAGACGTCAGCTCTCTGATATTCCAGACAAAGAGGATAGGTAAACTTGAAAATTAGCTCTTTATTCACAATCGGTAGAAAATTATCTGTTTCGGTAAGATTTCACTTGCAATGCTGCAAGCTTTTTCAGACCTATGAAAGGCAAACCTTTCAACGTACCCTTTGTCCATTGAAATGTACAAGTAGAGTTATCAATGAGGCCTGTCTCCAGAATTAGCAAAAGCATTTAATACATTATTCACAAACTGTTAGAAGCATACCGGTAGTACAACTACAGAAGAAAGATATGTGGATTTATTATATTTTTGCTAAACTGTTGCAATGTCTTGCAAGATCAGGTAGTCATGCAATACAAGCTTGTGACAATTGCTCCACAGTATTTTCTACACTAACTAAATTCCAAACTTCATCCCTGGAAAAACTCCTATACCTAACCCTAATGCTAACCCTACCCTGAAACCAAACTGAAATCCCAATTGTAACCCTTACCCTCAACTAATAATGAAATCATTACTCAGCAATTTGCTGTTTTTGTGCTTTGTTAGTAAATCAGTTCGTAAATCAACCTGAAATCCAGTTGTACTTTGGATGCAAAGTGTAAAGTGTCCTTTACTCACCTGTAGCAGAATGTAGCAATGGCTTGAAGGATCTTTGATGTGTGATTTACATAGCTTTCACACTCCTCATCAAAACGGAAGAGCTAAGAAGAACATAGAGCAATCAAAACATGGAGTGAAGTGCTTATCTTGAAATTGCAGGAATTGTTCAAATTTTCAGTATTAAAGTGTGCCAATCACCTTAAAAAAAGGGTAATTTGTGTTTAGCTAGAATGTATAAAATCAACTTCTAAACACTTTGCCTGACAGTGTATCTAGGTAAACGGTTAAGAAGTATGAAGAAAATAAAGGATAACATTAAACCTTGCATATAGGGGTCGCACGGAACCCAAGACGGACTCGAGTCCCATGCAACCCCTATTCTATGCAAGTATATATGCGTGTTAATTAGTCTACTCAATAAGATGTTTCACTGCTCATTGAGAATGTATTTAAATATCTTATCTTAGAAGTATTATTCAAGCTTGTATTTTTAATACAGTATAGCGACATGAAACGCCTTACAACAAGGGCAAAACATGTTTTGGTGTTTTGGTACATTTTAAGGGTATGCAAAGTATTATAAACCAAAGTCATGAATTTAGAGGAATGAGTTTAATGGGTGCAACAAAATGTCATTTTATAATGAGAAATAATGTTTTAGGTTTTAAAGAAATCCAATATAATCAAAAAATATATTTGATATAGCGCCTTTTCCTTGCAGTTACAAAGCGCTGCACACACGCTCCACAATGTTTGGGCCACTTAAAAAAAAAAGTTAGACACTTCTCAGAGATCAGCAAAGTATATGTAGGCTGGTAATAAAGTAATTTCTAGCAGAATAGATGCGACTTGAGTAGTTTCTTGAAAGAAAGATAGTTTTGATTGAGATCAGTCTTGAAAGCAAGAAATGACAATTAATGTTAAGGTCATCTGTAAAAGCAGCCAAATTTAATTTCCCTATTAAAAATTTGATTTTGTGCTTACTTATTTGAGATTTATCAACATGATCAAAACCATTATATACACACTTTATAAAACAATACAACTACTACAGATTAAACAACATTTATCATGCCACAAATAAATATAAAGAAAAAGAAGCACTAATAATGTGATTTCCTTAATATACAGCAATTCAAAACAACTAAATGCAACTCTTATGAGTTTGTAGAAAATGCACTATCTTGATTTTAATCAACACTGTACATTACCTTAAAGTTCATTGCCAATTATCAGAACATAATAAAGGAGCACAATAAATATATGATACAAAAGTAGACCCTCTGAGGCCTCAATGAACCCTGAAATGAAATCAATTGCAACTCATTATATTAAGACGGGCCTAGCTGATGTTAATTAATTCTCAGCACTCTACAATACTTGGTGACATATGAGACACCAAATGACCAAATAACTTGCACTCTCAATGATAAAATAGGCAAACTCACCCAAGCAGCTGCATGTTGTACAGGCCCTGAAGCACAGGAGTAAGTGTGGCTTGCAGCACTCTTGACAGCCTTGTATAAAACCTTCAATTCAGGTGGGTAGATACTGTAACCAAGCTGAAGGACAAGACAAAGAAACTTTAATCCATGTCTATATGATTTAATTTTGGTATAACATGCATTTTCCATATAATCTATACTATATTTTGTTTTTTGTTCTTTATTCATGTTCCTGTGAAGCACAGTAATGTAGAATCTGAAACCTCATTTGCTATCCATTGCCGACTGATACTGGATGGTTCCTGTATTTCAGCCTATGGGAGTAAGAGAATACAGTAGTCAACAGGTTAGTAATCTTAGAAGTTCCATCATTATTTAAAGACCCTGTCACCTTTGACAATTTGACCCAACTATCTAACAGGTTCAAAAGTTATTCTAGCAGTTTAACAGCTTTACAGTAGAATCGTTAAAAAATGAAACCGACAATCCATAAACTTCATGCCTCTAATCTGACAGAGGGCACAGTTTTTGAGAACCCCCCCCCCCTGCTTACATTACTATTGCCTATATGGTAGAGGGGACTGAGAAGGACACAATATACACAATGGTTTTAAGATGTGGAGTGGGAATGTCATTGGTTTTCGTGAATAGGACCCAACTTTCAACCAACTAACGAGGACAATTAGATGACGATTTCACATCCTAATGAAGCATGAAATGTTTTTGTTTCATAACATACTCTTCTTGGGTTACAACTCCTATTGGGGGGAAGGGTACAAAAACCCACCATGTGGTATATACAGTCCTGTACTAAATGTGTAATTATTATTTTTCATTCCCCATTTCATTCATCACAATTGGACTACATATTTGAAGAATTACATGCAAATTTAACAAAATTTAACATTCCATAAATTATGAAAGAATTAACTAGAGAAAATTACAAAAAACACTAAAAAGAAAATGGGGAGGGATAGAAAGAGACTATACTGGTACACAAAAAATGTTCAGCCAAAGTAGCAGAATTTGGGGGAAAGAAATGGAAAAAGAGGAAGAAAGATGAGAAAAAATGTAAAAGAGGGGAGGATAAAAGTACATACCCGCCATCCACCAGCACTAGCCCACTTAGAAATCCCACTGGACAGGACTGTTCCTTCTGGATAATACTGTTAAAAGAAAAGAGAGAGAGAGAGAGAGAGAGAGAGAAAGAGAGAGAGAGAGAGAGAGAGAAAGAGAGAGGGGGAGAGAGAGAGAGAGAAAATATACATAATGACAATGGTTTCATGATTCACAATATATGTATTTATTCAAATTCAAATTTATTATGTTTCCAACAAAACATTACAAATCAATTATAAGCATTTAAAACAAATGTAAGAAATACATGTTGAAAACAGAGGGGTCCACTAATAAGCAATGCTTGTACAAGTGTGAACACCCCAAATGATACTTAGGAATAATGAGTAATTAAATTAACTAATCCGTAACTACAAAAGGAACTACAAAAAAGGGGAAAGAAAAAGGGGGATGCCAAGAGAGACGAGAAAGGGACAAGACGATGCTTTACACCACAAAGATAGAAGAACACAGTCATAATACAAAGAGTAGACAATGACAAAAAGAAGTGAGAGATCGGGGGTACAGAAAATAATACAAAATGATGAGCTGCATGTGGGATTGAGAAGAAGTTAAGGAAAGAGAAATGCGCGTTAGAAAGGAAATAAGCATGGGAAGGCACAATTATATATCAAATTACATTTTGAGTCAGCGAGTGGGGAATGATCTTGTATTAAACAAAAGCAACAACGACATGTAATTCAATGAGGTGTATATGATTGTAATAAAAACAATTTCAATTTTTTTCTTAAAAGTATTAATCGATGGAGCAATTTTTAGTTCACTACTTAATGAATTCCAAAATATGTCATTTAAAAAAACATATTGCTTTCTATTCGAAAGATAGCTCCTAAACCACTCCAAGGCCATCCCACGTACACCATAATGTGAAAGTTTATAAAGTAAAATATTGCGGTTAATTGTGTCGAAGGCCTTGGAGAAGTCCAGGAAAATACCAATCATATGAGAGATTTGTCGATGGAATGAGCTACCTTTTCAATAAAAGACAATAATGTGTGTACAGTATTATGTTTTTCCCTAAAACCAAATTGGAGATTAGGAAAAATATTATGATTTTAAAAAAAACATACTGTCCGAATATAAATTATCTTTTCTAAAATTTTCGAAAAAGAGGATAATAAAGAAATGGGACGATAATTACTAATATCTAATTTATCACCCTTTTTAAACAAAGGAATGACCTTAGCAATTTTCATTGAAGTGGGTACCTGGCCATATAATAAAGACAAATTAATTATGTGGACGAGAGGATCCCCAACGGGAGATTTAATGCCCTTTAAAATAAAATTGTTTATTTCATCATGACCTGAACTTTTCTTAGTCTTTAGTTTCGAAACAATATCTAAAACTTCACATCTATCAGTAGGAACAAAAAATATAGACTTTTGATTGGGCTGGCCCCCCAAATCAACAAAATGCTTATTTGATGGAGGAATATTAACAGCAATATTTTCACCAATCGATTAAAAATAATTATTGAAAATATGTACTACCAGGTATGTCCCTAGGATCCTCAACAATCTCATTAAAATTAATTTTGTTTATGTCAGATTTACTTGTAGTAACATTCATTGCCTGTTTAATTATTTTCCAGGTATTTTTCATATCATGTTTGTACAATACCAACATATTTTCAAAATATCTTTTCTTTTCCAAACAAATAATCTTAGTCAAAACATTCTTGTAAGATGTATATTTAACTTTTAATTAATTGAATTAAAAGTGTCCACTTCTAAATTGTTGGACTGTACCTCTACAGCCCAAATATTGATATAAGCTTTACTAACATATGGGTTTATATATACATGAATTAAGATATAATATTGCCCTGCCAGAATCATTCCTGTTTCAGTTGCTTTTCTTCAAAATCGCTTCTTGATATGTGTTTCTTTTTTACCAGCATTACATGAATATCACAATTATATATATAACATCAGATAACTTTGGGTCTAAAATATTAATACGCCTTGGAGCTACAGTACGTCTTAACATAGTTGCCATTGCTTTTTATGCTATTTTTGCCAATACAATTTAGTTGAATACCTTAGCAAGCGTCTTGTGGTTATGTTCAAAGTTAGTTGCTGCATAGATCTCATCAGTAAGCACGATGACATTGTGCTTCTTTAAAGCAGAGCTGGAAAAATATAAAGAGAAAAAGATAAATTCAGAGCGATCTTAAATACAAAAACATACTAACTACAGTCATTGTATTACTATAATGACAGGATTTGAACTATATGCTTTTATATTAACCTTAAAATTACCTAAGACCTATGGCCTCAACTAAAGTGACTCAAAAATGTAAGTGTATTTCAAAGTTAAAGGGAAAGACAAATTTGGATTTTGAGAGAATACGCAAATGAGTTGTAAAATAAATTTTATAACAGTATCTTAACTATCACTTTGATACATATACTTTGTAATTCATATACAAAATAATGGTCCATTTTCAGCATGTTATCTCCAAATCTCATAATACTCCAACATATAATAGTAATACATCTGAAATCAGTCCACAGTATATTCTCACAAGATCTTAGAATAAATTGTTCCTAATTCGTAACAGCTAATCATTTTTTTACATAAAAAGAGAATGGTGTCAAATCAATTCAAACTATTGTAACGAAAATTTAGCTTTGGGGAAAAGGACATATTACAGTAAACATAGTATGAAAAACTGGTACTATTCCTCATATCATTCATCATCTCTCTGTATTTCTTCTGACACATGCACACAGTCCATTCTAAATAATCCTTCCTGAACATATGTTAGTGTATGAAGTTGTTATCAGGGCAAATGTTTGAGACGTGTTATAAAAATCACAAAATGAGCCTTCCCTCCGTATAAATGAGCTTCATGACACTGCTTAAGTCTTTTTCTTTATGACTACCACACCAATCTGAATGGTATATAAAGAGATATCCTTTCTATAGGTAAAAGCAAACTTATGAACTTGTGCCCTTTGGAACCATTGTGTATCCTTTCTATATGACGGAGTTTCACCGTAAGGGTAAATATATATACACCTCCAATATGCAACGGCTGTAAAAAAATTATAGGTAAACATGTACATTGGACTTACCTAAGGGCAATTAGATCCTCCTCGCTGTATGCAGTGCCAGCTACAAAATACAATATATGAAAAGATGAAATTCAAGGTTATCACCCCATAAGATTTCATCATGAACCCAATACAAGTATGACTTCCAACGCTGAAAAGCTATTCACAATGACATGAAAACCATGTGGGATTTAAAAGCAAGGACAAATTTGGTTGAATATTGATATAATATAAAAAAGTCAAATCCAATATTTCAATAGCTTTATTTTAGTAATAGTATCCTTTGTAACTGGAGCAAAGATGAAAAATATATACAGATAAGATGTAAAAGGTCAGTTGCATTTCTATACAAACCATCAATAATCATCTTGCTTCTGGTTCGTTTAAGTTTGCAAACCTGTGCTGGTATTCAATTTAATACTGAAATCATGTTAGTATTTTACTCAGCAATCAGCTTAGGTAAAAGAGGTCAAGTCTTATTCAGAATGAGGGAATTTTACTTTCGTAAGCCAATTTTAGGCCAGAATACCTGCTGATCGGCACTATGAAGTCATAAGGTCAATCTTAAATTAGGCACAATAAACGTTTTGCATTAAATACACGCTTATATAATATGATTGTGCAAGCACAGCTTACAGTCAGCACCTGCATGTACATGTAAACCACAAGTGCAGTGCCAAACACTGCCAATCAGGGTTTCCAAAATATTGGCTTAGGTCTGCTAGGGATCAGTTTTAAACTTAAGGTAATTTACTAATATTGCAGCCAAAGCTTCGACCAAATAGCCAATATCTAAGGCAAAAACTGAGTAAAATTCTAATATTTCTGACATAAGCATTGATTTGAATAGCAGCCAGAATGCCTAAAGCTGACCTGTTTTGATATAAAGATTTAAGGCTTGTTCAGATATGACGTGGCAAAACCACTACATGTTTTTAAGATGAAGTGAAGTGTAATATATTTACGCCTCACATTTCTGAAAATTATAACAATGAGCTCATTGGATACCTGCAAATTCTTTGTTGAATGCAGTTACCACTCATTTTACACGTAAGAAAACGGTTTACCGCGTCATATCTGAATGAGCATTTAGAATAAACACTCACTTGGATTGTCTGGGTTGCAGAGAATCAAAAGTCTATTTTGCTTTAGCTTATGTTGCTGCAATGTCTGGGGAACAAAAATCAGGCACATTATATTCATTTTTCAACAAAAATTCATAATAAATCTTTAAAGCCTGATGGGAAAAAGTTAATTGCTAAAAACATGAAATTTGTTCTTCCCAGTCTGATCTATCTAATTTTAATATTAATTTTTGCTACGTAGGCCAAACATTATAAATTGTCCTACCTAAGAACACAGAATGTATACATTTTGCATTCTGACTATTGAAATACAATTATTTGTAACAGGTAAAAGATATACTTTGTAACGAGGCACTTAAAGAAAGATTCAACAACACATGCTATCAGAACATGTGCTCCATAGTAAAATATCTAGCCCTAAACATAACATAGACCAATCACAAACCTAACACTTACTATCTATCTTTGGTGAAAATAAAAACCCCAATAGAAAGTGTCACTAGAGCATGTATTGCATTACCTAAAGACAATCATAAATGGAATGGAGTTCCTTGGGCAAGGAGAATGTATAGAATTTACCTGTTCCAGAAGATAAGGAGTTAGTTTCCAATCGTCTTGTAGACTGGTTGTGATGGTAAAAACTCTCTGGTTTGCCAGCTGAGTTTGAGGCTTGTATGTCATCCAGGATGGCGAAAGAAGTAGAATATCTACAACCCCCAACAAGGAATAAGTGGAGGAAGTAGGGCATAACTCAATGTTTGTACCATGAACTCATTTTGTCAGGCCACAAAATGAAAGAGCAATCAAATTTGCATTGAAAGAGACAGGAAATTTGACCAAAAAGTCTGCTCCAATTTTATTTTCATGAAAGTTTTATAATGCTTAAAGTTCTTAAGACCAAAGCCAAATAAAATTAATTACTCGAAAATTCCCATCACGTTGAAAATACAAAATTATACATATCAAAGTGAAATAAAATGTGATCTAATAGTTAGTTAGAAATTTATTTAAAAATCCTAATATGTTGATCCGCAGCGTTACAATAGTAGAGCAGTGTGATTCATTAATCTCAATTAGGTGATACAGTACCTCCATTGAAGACATTGATGAGCAGATAGATGAGCTCCTTAGATCCAGGACCAACAACAACTAAGTCATCTTGAAGTCTCTTCAGTCCATCTCGTTTGCCATGGAAGTCGCATATGGATGCTCGAAGTTCACTCAGGCCTGATGAAAATAAGACACAACTTTTCTCACAGATATCCAGTCCCAATCTAATGTACTATTTTTGTCATGTAATCAAATTTAATGAACAAATCTTTGTTAAATGCCATGTTAAAAATAGTTTCAATCACCTTTTAGAAATAATTGCATTTCAATAGTAAGAATGCAAATTGCATACATTAATTGTTGCTAGGTAGGACGAACATTATGACTTGTCCTACCTTAAGGCACGTAATGTATGAAATTCACATTCTGACTTTTAAAATACAATTATTCGTAAAGGTGAATGAAATAATTTGTAACAGGGCACTCAACAAAGATTTGTGCCTTACATTTGATTATATTACGAAAAACTTTTATGAAAACATATATATATACAAAAAGATGCAAGGGGAAGCATGGACATGCCATATAATTGACTGGAGTATTTTGACAGTGCCATAAAGATTCTTTGATTATCTGTCACTAGAATAATGTAATGTTATGTTATGTTGAATGCTTTTTTCATTGTTAAACGTTATCTGATCACAATATGATGGCAGCAGTGGGATGCAGACCCATGTCATCAAAATGTCACAATCAGTGCAATATGTGAATACTGGAGTATAGTTTTCTATTACAGGACCACTGTGCTCAGAGTCTTTATTTCACCATGCATCATATCGTATTACAACATTATTGAAAGCAGTGCGATTTTGCCATTTAACTCTTAAGCTGCCACCCGTACAATGCACCCAGTACGTGCCACAGTGCTAATCCCTATTGTGCCAGCCACAAATCTCCTGTGTGCCAAGTTAATTTTAAGGTTGGTTCAATCGCGTGTTATTTAAATCTTTACAAAAAACAAATCGCTAAATTACTCAAGAAAATCCAATCTGACTGTTGTATACAAAGACGCGTAATCCAAAGCCGATAATCTGATGCACGCGATGGTACTTTCAATAGCGCTGCAAAAGTACTCATCACGGTGCAATGGGCATGAACAATGACTGTTATTACATATGCGCCCTTGCGTGCACAAAGCAGAGTAGCAGTGGCTCGCTAGCATGAACGTACATCGATAGCACGCTCGCATGCACAGAGCACTATAACAATAGCGCGCTAGCAGTCTCATGGCAGGATATGAGTTAACTGACTAGACTATGTAATATAGTTATCTACCACAAAGTACACTACACTGTCAGGGTTGTAGCAGTGGTGTGCAAATCCTTGTCATAAAATGAATGGTGTATCTTGACAGTGCAATACAGAATACTTGTAACATGGATGTCAAGACATACCAGTGATAGCAAAGTCCCACAAATATCATCATGATGTGAATAAGAACTCTGACAATATAGTGTTCTAGTGATCTAGTCCCACTACAGTGTGAGTCAAAAAAAAGTTTACACCTAGAAAATTGCTAATTATTTAAAAAATCATTGATGAACATTAAACTATTATATGTCTTATGAAAGAGTGTTTTATCCCGAATCATTTGGTACCATTTTTGTGTGGTATCTGTTTACGCTTGGATGAACAGGAGAAATTGTTTGCAAGAGTGCAAAAATCGAATTGCGCCAAAGTTGCCTACACTGTATGTGATGTTTGAATAAAACAATTGGGATTTGGGTATTAATTCGGTCTTTGCAGATCCAAATAACACCCCTAACAAAATTAATCATGCCACACATATCAAATAACGAATATCAAATATCAATGAACATTTGTACGCGTGTGTGAGGGTGTGTGACTTTGCCCTTTGCAAAAAACATATGCAATGCATTTCATTTGATACATTCAATCCATTCTCTCACTCCTCTAATCCCAACATAATACATACTGAAGGCATCACTTTGGCAAAAGTCGATTTTTGCACTCTCGCAAACAATGTCACCTGTTCATCCAAGCATGAACACATACCACACGAAAATGGTACCAAATGATTTGGGATAAAACACTCTTTCATAAGATGTATAATAATTTACTGTTCATCGATGATTTTAAAAATAATTAGCAATTTTCTAGGTGTAAACTTTTTTTTGACTTACACAGTATATCCCACTATCCCTCTCGTAACTTCTCCTACATTTCTTTGTATCCTATAATCCCACCGCTGCCACCATGTAGAGAGAGTTATTTACAAATCATGGTTAGATAAAGAATGTTTGTCAAATACAGGTCAGATTTTATATGCTAGATTTATTTTAATGAATCGATTCCCTTCTGAATGGTCTCTAACAAATACAATAGAATATTATTGTGGCGGCATGTACCGGTATACCGAACTCAATCAAGAGTATTGGGTCATGAATTAAGATAAGAGACATATCTGGTGGTGTGTTTCTGAGCATTGTATTTGACATCAGTGTTTTATAACAAACAGTCAAAATCAGAAGGCAACTCTATTATGCTCTAAAAATATGTTTACAAGAATACAAGTGTTATACAAAGTCTCCACATTGAACTTGGTAATCTTTTCTCTTTCAAAATAAAATCTAAATAGGATTGCACAGACATGTATATAGTGTAATGTTCATATCAACTTTTAAAATTTGATGTGGGCATCCTAACCTACAAGTTTTTGCAACAATCATCCCACATTTTGTGGTTTGGCTCAAGAACTTAAAATCATACAGTTCAGACGTTATTATTTACATAGGAATAACCATGAATGAATAAACACACTATCGCACATCATGGTTCACTTGAATGTGCATATCATTATTTGTAGATCCATCACTTTGCATACAATAGTTGAGGTGGGTAGGCCAGCTGGGTCCTTTGTTTTTTCTAGGTCAATACAAAGCTTAGACTTGTAATAGGCATTAATAAGTTGAATGAGGTGCCTAGTATGATAGGTGTATGGATGAAACAGGCTACAGCCAATGTTTGGGTAACCAGCACCTCAATATTCTAGTACCTACCACCTCATACTCTGGCTCTTTTTTTCTTTCATTCTCCTGTTCTATATGGAAATTAGAATCCTTGGCCAGCACTTGAAAAAAGGGATACATCCTAACAGCTTAGAATTGTTATTATCAGGCTATTTTTAATATAAATACACCCTATAAATTAAAGTTTTCTGAGGAAAACTAAGGATGTCTTTTTAAAATTACAAATTTATAGAATTACGAAGTGGAAAGAGTAAATGCTGTAAAAGTTACGACATGTTCAATCCTAAGCCATGCTAGACAAAAGAAGTCCAAAGAAAGACCCAAACTAAATTAGTGAATCTGAATTAGCAACAAGGAAATCAAGCTTACCTGCAACAGGAAGGTACGCAGTTTCATTGGCATTCTCGGCCAAGACTTTTCTTGCACCTTCTACGGGAGGAAAGGGACTCTGGCCAAAAGCAAAATGGTAGATGTTTCTACCTTCCGCCATCATCTTATGAACAGCTTCGTTGAAGGCAAGGTTTGATGCTGAGCCATAATCATGGAGGTGAGGCCTGATGAGGGGTTCCCTTTGACATGGAGCATCTTCCTTTTCAATTACCTTGTTTTTATCAAGGGTCACTGGGGGCTGTGTGGAGGTCATCTTGATGTGTGGACTGTGTTTCTAGGGTCTAGAGTATGAATTTGAACACAACCATCATTAACATATTCTGTGGTATAATTCAGCTCTTTGAGCTGCCATGTGGATTTTAATCATTTGTAGGGAATTTTATATATATATATATATATATATATATATATATATATAAAATATATATATATATATATATATATATATATATAATATATATATATATATATATATCTACAAATAATTTCATTCACCTGTTAAAATTAATTTTATTTCAATAGTCACAATGCGAATTGCATTCATTAATTGTAGGTAAACATTATGGCTTGTCCTACATACTAAATAATACATTGACAGGAATATTTTCAGGTATGCGCAATCAATGGAGACACCGAGCTGTGAGCTGTGTGGGGTGCGGGTAAGGGAGGAAAAAGGTAATTGAAGAATTACAAATATATATATACATGTATATAATGGACAGAATTATGATTAGATGATTTCTTGTCCTTCTTGCCAGCCATATAGTCTACACAAGAAATGACAGCTAGGTGATGGAGCGCTGCACATCGACTAAAAAAACGATATGACACAGATGTCAGCTCAGCCTCAGCTCAGCCAGGGCAGCTCGTCCTCGGAGGCTTCAAAACAACGGCACTGATGTGACTGATCCGTGCAGTCTAGCACTGATTATATCTAGATAGACTTATGACAGTTTCAAGAAATGGGCTCTAGTTGTGGTGTACTCTTCTTTGTGATTTCCGCCACTTCTTCTGGACTCAGCGATAAAAATAGAAGAACTGATGTGTTTCGCCGGTCATACATGCAAGTACAACGTACCCAGGATGTGAGCCTTAATGCAAGCAATGTACTTCCTCGAAGCTCGCGAAAGATCACCTCCGAGAGAGTTCGTGCGCGCTAGCGTGAAGACACATGAAATTCCAGGTCTCTAGCTTTACTTTGTTTTCTTTCGATCAAAGCATTTCGAGGAAATGCACAAAGCCTTCCCAATCAAGTGAGCAATCTGTTTCAGACAGTTTGTATTGCCAGGTGTCGATCCCGGGGGAATGGGGGGGGGGGGGATATATCCCCCAATATTTCAGGCGGGGGGGGGGGGGTGCGGGCCTGTACAATCATCCCAATAATTCACAATAAAAAAAAAATGAAGAGAAAATGATGAGAGCCCGATGCAGTTAATGGTTATTACTCGCAAGATGACCATCAATATACACATTTTGCTATGACTTATAAGATAGTTCACTAGTTGTTATGTTGTTTCCGTTCACCCTTTTTAAAATTCACATCATTGTACCTTTATTTCTTTGTTTTTTTACTCATTTTATTTCCTGAAATTTCCTAAAACATTTTTCAAAACGCGCTAAAAGTTACAGTCGTGTATTTGTTTAACTCTTTTTTGGGGCATTATTGTCAATAAAAAATTATCAACCAATTCCTCGATATAAAAAACTCTTAAAGGTATAAAAACCAGTATTGGAAACGCCCCAATTTCAAAAAATGAAATGGAAGCTCTTATTACCAATTATGTGAAAGAACATGTTTTGACTAATACATGATGATAACAATTTTGCCGGGAAACCGCCTACTAATTGATATGTTTGGTAAATTAGTTTATCTACTTGTTCTGTGAGAGATAAACGCACGTGTGCGAAGACTGGGCCAAATTTCTTATCATTTTCATGATTCCAAAACATTACAGTACACAGCAATACTTGCTAGATGATCAACCTTTTCTGATCGATTCCACAACGTTTCTTTCACAATGAAATCGCATGACCATAACTGGTCTTTACCTTAAAGGAAACCATCTGAGCAAGAATTATATAGCACATGACTTTTGGCCAGTTCAATCTGAAGGGATTTTTAAAGCTATGTGGGGTTGATGAAGCGTTTTTTATTCATAATGCAAGTAAAGTAATAACATATTGTATCATTGAAGAGAAAGACGGTTTTGTCCAAATGGCAGCATGTAGGAGACGAAACTTTCAGTTTGTTCCCTGATTCATACTCTGTATCTATTTTGTTTTATTGATTTCATCCATGTCTTTGTTTATTTAGATCTCTACATGTAAAACATTTTGAAGAGCTATTTTTCCGAAAGGAGCAAAATCTTTTGATAGCAAATGGATTGTATTCGAACGTAACAGGCATATATAGTTAAGGTGTTTTTGAAGGTTAGCATGTTATTAAGTTAGAGGTTTTGTTTATAACACCCTTCCAATAATAATGCACCTTCTAAGACTGGTTATAGTTTTTGAAGAAAAATATTAGTGCTCTGGTCAGGCCTTAGGGGAATATTATGTTTGTATTTTAGAGCGTATCTGGTATAATAAGCATAATGGGTGAAGAAGGAGATATTGGAAGTTTGTTGTTTGGCAGTTGGAACGTAGTGTTTTTAAGAGACAGACCAGAGGCGGCCCTCCCGGGGGCAGAGGGGGCACAGTGCCCCCCACACTTTTCACGCACCCTAAAAGTGCCCCCTTTTACACAGGAAGAGTGACCCTTTTTACATAGGAATAGTGCCCCTTTTACTTTTACAAGTGCCCCTATTAATTAGTAAAAGTGCCCCTTCATCTTTTCAACTCTGACAAGTGACCTTTTATCGGGTAATGTGCCCCTTTTCCTTCGACAAGTTCCCATTTTTCTTTGCAATAAGTGTCCATTTTCCATTCTCATAAGTGCCCTTTCTGTGTTAAATGACCCTTTTCAGGTACGAGAAGTTACTACTTTTCACTTCAGATAAGTGCCCCCTTCACCTCCTATAAATACCCCTTTAAAATCATTTTCTTTCAACTAGTGAACATTTTCCTTTCTTATAAGTGCCCCTTTTTCATTTACATAAGTGCCCCTTTTCATATTTGGTCATTGCCCCTTTTCAGGTGCGATAAGTGCCTCTTTTCACCTCTGATAATTCACTTTTCACTTTTGACCAAAAAGGTCACTTTTTTTTCTTCTCCGTCTTTCTTTCTTTTTCTCTTTAAAATACTTTTTCAAAAAGTGAGGGGGGGCCTCGAGCCCAGCCACTCTGCAGACCATGACATTAAGGCTTTTAAATAAGCGTATTTTTCGCCCGACTGTGATTTGGGAATTTCTTATTTTCCAACAAACGCATAAAAAGGTATGACTTACCAAAAAATGGGGAAAAATACCGGAAAATCATGTCATAACAGCAACATTTGTAAATCACTGGTATCGAATAAGAAATACACCCTCCCCCCTCCCCCATCAGTACGCCAGCGTTCAGGGGCTCATGTCTTCTCACCCCTATAACAACAAAAAACAGAAACGCTTTCCCATTCTCGCACAATATGTCCACGATATGCGCCTATCGCTATTATAAAGACCTCAAATACCGTATAGGTGGCATGCGCAATGTTTATGAAATTTAATTCAGGTTTTTATTATTGTTATGTTCTTGTGGGTTAAAAATACAAACCATGTTTACTCCTTTACTACTTGTTTTTTTTTTTGGGGGGGGGGGGGGGCGTTGTCTTTTTTTTTTTTGGGGGGGGGGCAAAAATGCGTTTTGCCCCCCCCCCCCCACTTTTTTTTCTGCTCCCCTGCCCCCCCCCCCTTCCGGCGCCTATGTTCAGTGGAAAACACTCCGTTTAAAAGGTTAACCACTCGCATAGAGTAGCCGGCCGGTGTTTGCATTTAGTGATTTACAAATACATCAAAAGTGCCTGTTTTTTACATAAGAAAAGTGCCTATTTAACTTTGTAAGAAGTGCCCCTTTCTAAAAAGCAAAAGTGCCCCTTTTACTTTGAGAAGGGCCCTATTAATTTGTAAAGGTGCCCTAGCTTTACCCTTTTCATCTATCATAAGTGCCCCTTTTATTTTAACACGTGCCCCTTTTCCGGCTTCGACAAGTTCACAATTTCCTTTAGTGCAGTAAGTGTCAATTTTCCATTTTCATAAGGGCCCTTATTAATCTCTATAGTAAGTGCCCCTTTTCAGGAACGATAAGTGCCCCTTTTTACTTTTGATGAGTGCACTTTTCATCTCTAATAACTGCCCCTTTTATTTTGACACGTGCCCCTTTTCCTTTCTAATAAATGCACTTTTTTCCTTCATATATGTGCTCCTTCCCCTTCTTACAATTACCCCTTTTCATCTCTGATAAGTGCCTCGTTTATTTTAACATGTACTCAGCTTTTATATAGCGCGAATAACAATTAAGTCTCTAAGCGCTTCTAAACTTGAAGATTATTACCCCGGCTTTAGCTGTCATTTTTTAGTCCAGCGCAGAGTAGAAAAATGATAAGAGCCACTTCCTCCTTCTCATAAAAGCCCCCTTTCACCTCCGACAAATGCCCTTATTAAAACCTGATCTGTGCTCCTGTTCTTTCAACTAATGCACATTTTATTTTATTATAAGTGCCCCTTTTTTCATTCTCATAAGTGCCCTTTGATTAAACGAATTCGTTTTTACTGGCTGTCTGCCGTAGCAACAAACGGAATTGACCAAAGACTTAACTCCGTTTCGTTGACAATCAGACATAGACGAAAGACTTCATGCATGGCTTATTGTCAGTCTTTTGTCAATTCTGCTTGTTGCTACGGCAGCAGCCAGTGAAAACGAACTTTTAAAATCAAATTATGGAAATGCAACAAAAAAACGGAACTTTGTTATTCCTTGCTCATTTTTCCTAATTGAGGTGTCATATGAAAGGGCAGAACCGAACTTTCCTTTTTTTTTCTGGGTCGCACTGTATAATGTATTTGACAAAACTTTGCCACCTACGTATTGGGCGGCTTCAAGGATCTTAGTCCATCATGCGATCGGCTAAAAAATGAATGTCTCCCTCTTATGCTGAGTATCATACAGGTAAAGTACTGTATTCATTCGAGTTGTCCATAATGCATCCCATGAAAAAAAGGGATTACATGGACAAAATATGAGGCAAATAGTTTTTTTAAATATTTTTTTAATGCCTTTTTATGTTCATGCCTTCTTCATGCATGCATGTTTCATGCTTCATTTGATGTAAATAGTAAAAGTTTTTTGTATTATTTAGCTGTGAATGTAAAATCATATTCTATATAATAATATTAACATGCAGATTATTTTATGTATTGATTTTGTTATTGTTTGTTATTATAATATTTGTTATTGTTTGTGAAAAGCAATGGAGAAAATAAAATATCATTGAAAACAAAAAAAAAGTAATCATTCTTGCCATTTTGCATCCCTTTCTTCTTTTGTCTGCATCGCTTCCGTAAAGTTGGCTAATTAAAACATGTATTTGGTTTTGGTAATAACAATTGTACTAAAATACAATAAAAATATGTGTTATTAAAATGTTTATCTCATTCTTGATAATAATCTGATGTGCCTTAGTATGGGGATGAGAAGGGTAAAGTGAAAAAAAAGACACAAAAGGCGAGTCTAGAAATTTACAATAGAGATTGCATCACTAATGTCTGCCAACTCATGGCGCTTTGTAATCTGCTTTACAAACACACAAGCTACTTACAACTAAACCAGTCAAATACCCACCAACTCTCCTTCTGTGAAGTAACATTCATCACTGTTACACCATCACATTTCACACTGAATTTCTATGAAAATAATAACCAGCTAGAGCTCTTAGAACTCAATGGGTCACATTTAGGCATGCATCATTACTCACACCATGAACATTGGTCCAACTGAAAGAAATAACCATACACATACACACACCACAAATAATACTAAAAATAACAACACCAACATGCAGCTTTTACTAGTCAAGTACACATTTCCCATCCATCATTTATTTTCTATTCAATAAGAAAACAAACCGCTAGATGTACAAGTGTGAATGCATGTCAGCAATGCTTTATCTTACAGTTAAAGATAGTGTACATGTTCCTGACTAGCAAATCACCAAATATTTAGTGGTAGACTTTGGATAGGTGAAAATATATTCTCAGTGTAACACATGGTATGACAGCACTGCTGGTAACCATTTAAAAAGACATGTACTAGCATCATGTGCTTGTAATGCGCATCACAGTACAACCATATGAATGTACGTACGATAAGAACTCTCTTAAAACATTAAAATAAGATTACAACTTTATACATGTACAAATACAACAGCATGAAAAATTATCTTCAACCAGTGCCCCCAAAACAACTGACCCAACAGTTTTCTTTCATGTATTCTATACCAAAAAAAGGGGTTTCCAATTATTTTCATTTGTTTCTCTCCTAACTCCATTGGGACCACTATGATGAACACACACAGAAATATCCCTTTGCAAATGAACAATTATTTACAAAACTCTCCCTATTCACAATATTACATGTTCAATTTGCCGTATTCATCGGGTTACTCAACAAATCACACTTCCTACCAGCTCTCTCTTGAGCCCCAACCTACCTTCTTGAATATTGGTCAAGAACTCTTTCAAGAAGCAGACTTATTCTTACCCTTCGACGTTTCATATCGCAAGGGCATGCTGGGCTATATACAATGAACAGGTAGGCACACATCATACCATTTTTTAAATTTCTGTTTTACGTCATATTTACATGCACAGAGCTCATTTCATGGTTTACATGGTAAAGATCTACAGGACCACACCTGCCTAAACCAGATTTACAGCTATATATATACATGCACTTTATACATCGGTATTCATTTACAATGTTACTGTGTACAGTTGAATTCCTGGTCCTTAAATTTAGTACATTTTTTTAAGTCTCCTCTCATTACAACAATTCTCTGAGACATCTTCCTTATTCAATTAGCTCCATACAACATCATAAGGAACACATAATTCAGAATATGGATCATCTAACTCGTCATTGAATTTAACACAAGTATAATTGATAATAAAGTAGCATTTTATGGAAATAGAGTAAAATAACATGTCTACCAAAAGGACAATGCCACTTGGGCAAAGATCTGCACAATTAGTTTCTAAAGTTGATTGAACCCATACAAACTTTTTTTTTGCTCTTTTTTTTTTTTAATGCAATAAATGTTAAAAATCCAGAACAAACTTTTTTAAAGCTAAATACATCAAAATTCTCTAACCATTTTTTGTTTTTATAGTATGTGCCTTCCCAGTGCAATATGATAGTGTTAGATAGTATTACAAGTATCACCTAACTTTACAATGGTACTTTCTACCAGTAGGACCCTAGTTATCCATACCATACAAAGCATAGCACAAACTGTTATGCTCTGCTACTGCCCATTTAAAGTTGCTCAATATCTAACACTAGACATTCATTTATGGTGTTACAAAACAACAAAATAAAGTAACAACAAGCATCACTGGAATATAGAGAGATTATGATTACCGGTATGAACCTTTTTTTTCTTTTCTTTTCTTCTTCTTTACACATTAAGATTACACAATTACACATATCTTACCATTTATATTTTGCTGAGCATTTTCTAGCTTGGTAATGTTTCTATGTGGGGTTGATTGTTTGTTACTAAGCTGACAAGAAATTTAAATAATCGAGGGGGAATACAACATTGCACTAAAAACTAGATGGAATTCGACTGCGCGCAGTCGAAAATGATGCCTCCGTTATAGAGCAATTTTAAAAACCAAAACAGAAAAAAAAAATTGAATTCACGTTCAATGGTAATCCATTGACAGGTTCTCAGAATATTGTGATTACAAGCAATTTCTCATATACATATACATGTATGACCCTTTGATCTTTGACCTCATGACCATAAAATCTACTCAGTTCATTGGCTCTGCAAGATGTTCTGAGTTAAATAGTAATCCATCTGTCAGTTCTAATGAGAATGCGTTCACAAGCTATTTTTGCATACATAATGGGCCCATGACCTTTGACCTTTGACCTTATGAACCAAGAATCTACTCAGTTCATTGGCTCTGCAAAAAACAAACACGACCTAATTTTGGCATGAATCCATCAATCGGTTCTTGAGATAACGCGATCACAAGCTGTTTTTGCATTCATAATGTGCGCTGTGGCCTTTGACCTTTGACCTACGTGCTCCAAAATCTAATCAGATTGTCTTCCTATGGTGATACACACTATCATTAAGTTTGAAGTTTTTACATCTCCAGTGGTTCTTGAGATATCATGATAACAATCTCAATGTATGGAATTTCATAAGTTGACCTCTGTGACCCTTGACCTTTGACCTACGTGCTCAAAAATCTAATCAGATTGTTTTCCTATAGTGATACACACTATCACTAAGATTGAAGTTTAAATCTCCAGTGGTTCTTGAGATATCATGATAACAATCTCAATGTATGGAATTTCATAAGTTGACCTCTGTGACCCTTGACCTTTGACATACGTGCTCCAAAATCTAATCAGATTGTTTTCCTATAGTGATACACACTATCACTAAGTTTGAAGTTTAAATCCCCAGTGGTTCTTGAGATATCATGATAACAATCTCAATGTATGGAATTTCATAAGTTGACCTCTGTGACCCTTGACCTTTGACATACGTGCTCCAAAATCTAATCAGATCGTCTTCCTATGGTGATACATACTATCCTTAAGTTTGAAGTTTAAATCTCAAATGGTTCTTGAGATATCGCGCTAACAAACTCAATACAAGGAATTTCATAAGTTGACCTCTGTGACCTGTGACCTTTGACCTACGTACTCCAAAATCTAATCAGATCGTCTTCCTATGGTGATAAATACTATTCCCGAGTCTTAAGTTTAAATCTTAAATGGTTCTTGAGATATTGTGATAACGGTCAAACGGGACGGACGTACGGACGGACGGACGGACGGACGTACGGACGGACGGACGGACGGACGTACGGACGGACGGACGTACGGACGGACAACCCGAAAACATGATGCCTCCGGCACCACCTTCGGTGGCGGAGGCATAAAAATCCATATGGGAAACACTTTGTTAAGAGTAACGTTAATGATACACAGGTATATAGAATCAGGACGTGTGCTTTAACTTGACATGTATTCCTTATATTCAATTAACTATAACCTGGTAGTTCGTAGGCAAGTCTCAAACAATCATTTTCCTCAACATTAGCACTACGAAGCTTGAAAAATCTTCACAGGTGTTAGTGTACAATGAAACATGATTTTTTTAAATCCCTCTGCTCATTATCATCACTGAATACATGTACCTGATATGTCAGCACATACATGTAAATGCAGAAAACATTTGAAATGAATGATGCTGATGTAAAGGTGCTTTATTTATCGTTTGAAAATGTTACCTTTGATAATAATGATCAATAGAAGTAACCACCCCCAAAATGCAAGATAAGGACAGATCTAATAATGCATGTTTTCAAACTTGGATTCTACCTGGTTTTTGTTCAATGTGTAATTATATACAGTCAAACCTGCTTTAATTAACACTTGTATATAAAGACCACCTGTCTTTAAAGACTATATTTTTTTCCCCCTTGAAGACGGTTTCTCGTTGAGACATGTACTAACGGAACCTGAACATAAAGACTACCTACCAATACAGACCAATTTTCTGGTCTCCCTTGAGTAGTCTTTATATACAGGTTTCACTGTAGTTGATTCAATAGAGTCAGGTCTAACACATACCAACGCTACTCAAAATGTGCAAAACACAATAATTTTTTTTTTTAAACCGTGCACAATATAGCTTCAAGTGCAAAATAAAATACTTTAACCATCACCTGCATGAACGCCAAAGCCCATAACCAGAAAAATCGAAATCTGATTGGGCTACTTTCTTTCACCTTTTGGCAAACTTCATAACCAAGCTCTCACTCATTGTTGAGCCTTCCAGCTTTCTTGGTCGATGCTGATCTTCCACAACTGTCCACTCTGGATCATTTGGATCATCCACTTCCATTGGTTCAGTTTCTGAATTCTCTCCATCCGACATGTAGAGATTCATCTCCTGCGATTCTGTCCTGGATATCACGCTCTCTGAATGTGTGGCATTGCTAGCACGCGAGCTGGGTCGTGTCGAGGGTTCTGATTCTGGATAGGGATACGTGGATATCTCTTCAATCTCTATGCTGTTCAGAGGAAACTGCCTTTTTACCCAAGTCAATTCGTTCACAGGGACAGGGCCTTCGACGACTTGATTTGGTGTTTGCACTTCACTCATACTTGACGATCTGCGACGGTTTAAGGCACTGAAACGCAGCGACCGACTTCCACTAAGGTTGAAGACATTACTGCTGGTACTGCTGGATAATTGGTCAGGAGTTGTAATTGGGGATGGACTAGGTGTTGGAGATGATGTCGATGATTGCCTACCTGTTGACAACTGGTCTATATGAAGATCTGGAGACAGAGGGTCCGTGGCACTGCCAATGCTACTGTTCCTTGATCGTCTGGATCTTCGGCCAGGCATGCCAAGATCCACATGGCTCACTACCATAAACTTCTTCTTCTCTGAGTATTCGCACGGATCGTGGCGTTCAAGAAACTCATCATCCGACAGGTTTTCCTATTAGATTGAAAAAGGTAAAAAGAAAGGGGAAATTAAAATGTGTGTGACAAAACATAAAAGTTCAATATCAACTTCAAAATGACTTTGTGTAGTAACCAACCAACAAACAAAAAGAATTTGTATGGGTAACAATAAGCCAGTTCACGGTTGCAGTCTGAGCATGAGCAGATAAAGGTCATTGCAGAACAAATTTTGAAATACACGGAGACGTAATACTGGATGCGTGCTCATGAAAGTTATGTGATCATTATTCATTCATGCACATTCAATGCACTCCATGATACAGGTGGAAGTATTCTTTGAAAAGGGGAAACAAAGGCTATCTATATATCGCTGTAGGAGTGATTATTTCAAAATGTACAAAGTGGGACGTCTTCATGTTTTGAAGATCTGTGGATATTCGGGGTCATTGCAGTGATGTGCTAACCGTGAACTGGTCTATTATAAATGAAAAGAATATGCATCATTAACCAAGCTAGGAATGGTATTCTTAAAATGTGAACACTACTGAAAAGGCACTAACCAGAAAATGTCATCATAAACACATGGAGCAAGTTTTTGTAGATTTCAGACAATCACTTTAAAGTGACTGCATGGGTTTTATGAAGGTTGTGAACAGACTTGATAACGAGCCTCACAAGAATAACCTGAATCTAATTGTAACGGTGTTGGTAAGCCGCCAAAATATATTCATCACACATGATTTACACTAAAGTCGTTAAGTATCTCATAGTATGACAATGACAATTAACAATTTCAAACTGGTATTTCCCCCCACTCATCTGAAACGAGGTACAATGCAAGACATAAGATTAATGTGCACTTTTTTGAGATTCCTAAATGAGGTAAGACCTGCTGGTAGAGATGTAGGATCAATGTACAATTTCTGAGACTCTTTAAAGCGGGACTGTACTACTTATAGCTACTTGCGCTCTCTAAAAACATGTAGCAAACAATGCTAAACGGTAACCGTTGGTCCCCCATGATCCCATTTTTTCTTATAAGAGAGTTGATTTGATGAGATGCCCACCTGTCGGTGACTATGCAGGGAGGTCTAATCCCTTCAGTCCTAACTATTTCAGATGGTGCTTTAAATGACGTAAGATTAATGTACACCTTCTTGAGTTTCCTTAAATGACATAAGACGTAAGATAATGTACAATTTCTAAGACTCCTTAAATGACGTAAGATGTAAGATTAATGTACACTTTTTGAGACTCCTTAAATGACGTACATGTAAGATGTAAGATTAATGTACACTTTTTGAGACTCCTTAAAATGACATAAGACATGAGATAATGTACACTTTTTAAGACTCCTTAAATGACGTAAGATCCAAGATTAATGTACACTTTTTGAGACTCCTTAAATGACGTAAGATGTAAGATTAATGTACACTTTTTGAGACTCCAGTAATGACGTAAGATATAAGATTAATGTCCACCTTCTTGAGGTTCCTTAAAGGGATCCGGTAACTTTGTCTCAGATTCTGAAACAAAATTCTGGATTTAGCTCATGCTGAAATGATAATTATAAACCTTTAGGTTAGTCAGGAACCCCTTCACTTTTACAAGCCGATCACCTGTCTGATTATCAAGATATTTATGATTGGAATTACAAATTTTGAAAACCGTTTTCATTAAGGCTGTGCACAACAGTGTAATGAGGTACCCGAGTACATTCCCAGGCTTACAAGCCAATACTCGAATATTCAGACGCCATGATTTTTTTATAATTTTGTTGATTTTTTTGTTGTTGATTTTTTTAATTTTTAAATTTTTTTGGGGGGGTTTAGGTTTTTTTTTTTGCCCCCACCATACCACTGGAGCAGTATCCCAAGTCCATCGCCGAAAACGCATGCAATTTTACTTCGAGTTGCAGTTGAAGGCGTCGATTTAATAATAATAATAATAACAGTAAACAATGCTGTTTTAAAAACCAAAGATGGCAGAATAATCCATTTTCCTCCGAGTCCAAACAGAAATCCGGACATTTGGTCCCAGTTTCTGAGTGGCGAGTTTGACAGGGCTTGAGTTGGGAAACATTTTTACCGACGGTACCATGCCAGCGGCTCCCGCTCTCCCTGGCACGGGTAAGCGTCGGCCTGGACAGTGCCAGGTGACCAGGATTTTTTTTTTTTGCGGCCGAATATTCGAGTACAAGAAATCGTACTCGAGTAGTTGTCAACCGTACGGGTACTCGAGCATTCGACTACTCGTCGCAGCACTAGTTTTCATAACACTACAGTCTTTTGGGGAAAACGAGTATGGTAAAACTGGCCAATCAAAGATTTTTACTTTTTTGAGGCACTTCTTGGATCATTTTGAAGTGGAATTTTTTTTAGGGCTTCATTATTACACCATATCACAGACACTGATAACACGTAGGACCGTGTATCTCAGATTTAACATTGTTAAAGGATCCCTTTTAATGACGTAAGACATAAGATTAACGTACACTTTTGAGACTCCTTAAATGACGTAAGATGTAAGATTAATGTCACCTTTCTGAGATTCCTAAAGAGAAGGTTGAGTTCTGGGAAGAGGTGAAAAATAATTTGTGAACTTTATCATTCTTATTATGCAAGTGTGGAAGAACATCAGATAAGACGTGTTCCCTGAAAAGCATGGCTCTTCAAATGCCATCATATTTTAAATATGTCATGTAACATCGTAAAACTCAGGGGTAGGTTTTTTTTTCTTTTCACGCCACGTGTTCGTGTGGTCCCATATACATCTTTCTGTGTACAGTGGTCGTAACTTTACCAAGACTTGGCCAAATTTCTTATCATTTTGATGATTCCAGAACCTTGCAATACACACAATTTCTTATATGCTAGATGATCAACCTTTTCTGGTCGATTCCACACCGTTTCTTTCACAATGCAATCGCATGACCAGAACTCAACTTCATCTTTAAAGGCATCTCAATGGTAGTAGCAAAAAAATCTCTGTAAAATAACTACACAGGATTGAACATTTGAGAAGATAAACACAGCACCCAAGCATTTGTTTGTGTCACCATGTGTGACCTGGCCTATTAGGATTATCCTTCATCAGGGCTCTACTACACATGGCCAGTAGAGATTCACCCTGGAGTCCTGGGCCCGTATTCAATTCAATACTTAAGTACAAAATTTAAGCTTTTTACTTAGTATTTGGCTTAGATAAAATACTTAGCCAATTATGGTATTCAATTCACACTTTTAGCTAAGTATTTTACTCTAAATCTAAGCGAACTCCATACCAGACTTAAGCCAATTATTTGGAGGCCTTGATTGGCAGGCATATGGTTTTCTTACGCAGTATTATATCCTGTGCACAATTATATCAGCGCGCATTTATTGCAATGCATCAATTGCGCATTACTTTTGATTGACCGTGTGACGTCACAATGCTTATCAGTAAGTATTTTACTTAGATTTTGTCTTACGTAAGTATAAGTCTAAAATGCGAATTGAATACGAGATAAGTCAATTACTTAACTTAGCCATTTACTTAGTAAATTTCTTACTTATGCGAAGTATTGAATTGAATACCAGCCCTGGACCCATAAACTGCCAATTACAGGGGGTCAATGCAACTAAAATGAAATCCAGATTGGTGAGAATCCCTAAACTGAACACAAAATATCATTTCACAGGTAAAGTTTCCTTTTACATTCTTTTTAAAACTAATCACTTGAAAGTTGAGAAGGAAATTCTGAAAATTAATTTTGCTCATGTTTACATTGAAAAGGATACACAACTGCATGTATTCACTTTGTCACTTCTGAATCAGACATACTGTACTACTGTGCCATTAAAAATTTCTTTGATTATTCTAACACTAACACACAGCAGATATATTATACAACCCAACCTTTAAAAACCTGCATCATCTCAATGCTCTATTGACAAGCCACAAACAAACACCATTCTCGTCAGGGTTCAAACATCATAATTTATGATTTTTCCGTTGACTGAAGGAATTTAATCTAGCTGGGATTTCCTTCACTGTAAAACGACTATGTAAACTTGCATCACTCTACAATGCAGCCGTCTTAAGAACATTTCCTAGTGTTATGAGTAATCAATGAAAAACTATGACTCATGAATAGCGACTGTAGTAATATTGCTGGGTGTCCTTGTGCTGCTCTTTACCCCAAGCATTCTACTGCCTTGCTAACTTTAATAAGTGTACCACGTGGACATTGTTGCAAACCCCATAGTGCCTGGATTAATCTGCCATTTCTTTTCTCTCTCTTTCTCTTTCATGAAAATGGTAAATGTTTCCAATTCCACAGAAAATTAAACAGTAAACACACTAACATTTGAGATTGATGGCTTAGTACAATAACATTTGTCAGGTGTTATATGCTGCACTTAGTCTAAAGAGGCATTTGGACACCTTTTACATTATGCCTTTTTTTTTTAAAGCTGAGGAATTACCAAAGTAAAATTTAGACAATGAATTAACTTAATTAAACTTAGGGCATTACACTAACAAGCGCCCACAATCCGAGCCCCGAGCATACAGTTTAATCCTGGTCTCATGTAAAAAGATTTCCTGTGAAGCCCTCCTACAAGGCAACACAAAATGTTATTATGCAGCTCAATTTAAATTCAGGTGGATTTTGCACAGGGCAAAAGAGGCTCACTGTGCATGTGATCATGTATGTGAATGTGGATTCCCCTTCACATAAAATATTTTGTTTATTTTGTACACATTGCACATACAAGAGATGTAATCAAGCTTAAAAACTGCAACTGCACTGTGATGTACAGATCAACGCAGACTTACCTTGTAATTCCATAAATGTGAAATGTGATTAGGTCTTGATACTAGAATACATGCCCTTGCAGTTTTCCCAAAAAATAAAAATTTACAGCTGGGATAGCCCTTACCTCAAAGTACTCCTCTTCCTCTTCGTCTTCATCTTCCATTCTGCTTTCTTCATCTTCTGTTCTACTTTCTTCTTTCTCCTGATGTTCATTGTGGTTGTTGGCCATAAACTCGTCCATGTCTAGCTCTCTCCACTTTGGTGTAACTATCTCCTTGTAGTTCAGCTTGACCACCCTCGTTGATGCAAGCATGGAGTAAGGGATCACGATGTTGTCAATGTCGTAAGATTCCACCATCCCCTTCTTGTTCCGCAGAATACCATGAAGAGATGCAGACGGGAGTGAGTGAGACAGGTGCTGTGTAGGTGACCTGGCTTCAATGGAAGCAGGGGTAGATGGTGCAGAGTTGTGGTCTCCAACTTCAATGTTGGGCAGAGACATGCTCCTCTCTCTACTCTTCTCCAAAGCAGCTATTGTAAAATGAATAGGAAAAAAAATTAGCTTTGCATTGTTCAAAATTATCATTACAGAATTATGAGTAGTACTGTTATTCATGCTGCAGTGCCCAAATATCCATAAAATAAAGTCTTTTTAAAACTCTAATAATAACAAGAATATATTATGTCAATCTTTCAGATTATCAATTGAATGTAAAGGACTCTTCATGCTTTCTATGGTCACAGATGGGGCAATTGTGTTGGAATTTTCCCTACAAAAGTAACAATTTACCTGGACTGGAAACCGAATGGAGACGATAAGTCAATGTTAGTTAGGTCCTTAGGTTCGTGGTGAAATCATGGCACGTAGTGTTAGATCCTTGTCAACTTTAGAGGACACATTTCACTAAAAAAAAGTCCACAATACCCTTTAACAATGTGAATGATTGCAGGCCTACTTAAAACTATGATTCTTATTTTCAGTACAAGTTATTAAGTCTTCTCTTATCTTTAATTCAGTTCTTACAAACTATGTATAACCTGTTTTCAAACATACTTGTAGTGATTACGTTAATTTCTTTTTCTTTAATTCATTTACGTGTTTATCTATTGTTGTGGCAGAGCTCTGAAATCAGTGAGAAACAAAAAATAAAGAATGGAAAGTTCAAATGAAGCATTGGAAACTACAGCTTCATAAAAATACAATAACATGAAATTTGATTTCATGAAGAAATTGCTTACACAATAAAATAATGCCCATGAACAAAAATAACTTTCTACAGTAAGTGAAAATGGTTCTAAGTACGTAACAGGAAAAAAAAAGGTTTATAATATCTAAAGGTGACAAGGTCTTTCATGTTAAATAGCAACAATTGAAACAGACAACACCACCATCTAATTAGCCTATCCGATATGCGTCGGGCTTTATGGCAAATATACTGATCGCATTATGGAGACTGACATCGGCGCGGGCGTCAGCCTGAGTGCCTATCATCACTGGTGAACTCATCATTATTCATATATGTGTATCGTATGTGTGACGAGCGTATTTTCATGCATGATTCATAAGACTAGCCTTATTTGGTAATCGATCACTTTGATTCAACCAATCAAATATCATCGCCAGGTTCCTCATCGCTCATTGGCCTATTTTGGTCCATGCTACATAAATATTCATGAAAGAGCTTTACAGGGGGTTCATAGATTTTCTACGAACGAAACATGGTACATAAAAGAAAATAAAACTTTTTCGCATGCACCAGTGATGATAGGACGACGTCCGCGCCGATGTCAGTCTCCATAACGCGATTAGTTTACTTGTAAAGCCCGACGCATATCGGATAGGCTACCATCTAATTGAAGGGGAAAATAATCAAATACATGTACAACATAACATCTCCACATCTCTCGACATGCAATCTACAAGTATAATTTACACAAAATAAAGAACTTGCTACCAAAAAAAGAAGAAAAAGGAACTGTCAAGTTTAAGAAGTCAATCGATTGGGACGGACAAAAAACCAAAAACTTTTAAGGACCAAGTATTCACATTGCGATATTATTTTATCTAGCAATGTACATATATATGTGCATGTACTCAACATGGTACAAGACTTCTTACTTTCATTTCTCATGAAAAATTATGTCAGAAATATTCATAATAGACTTTGGCCAAGTTCAAGGTGTTAAAATATTGTTTGTTTCTAGAGTTTACCCAATGTTGGCTCATACAGATTGATGAAATATGTTGAATCATCAATTATTCTGTAAATTATTGCCAAGAAGCAGATACTGTACATGGTGTATGAAAAGTATGAAATGTCAAATTCTTGGTAACCAAGCATTTGGACAGACTGAGAATCCTGATAAATCAAATCTGTTAATTTACTCTAAGTTTGAACAATTTGGCACAAATTCAAAAAGGATGTCACAAGCCCAATTTTGGCAGAGGCACAAACACAAGAACATGGGCAGAGATGGGGAATCTCACCATTTGCTAATTCAGACGTGCGTCGGTTCTTGGTTTCAGTTCGACACTGTCTTAAGTCTGAGCTTTTCATATTCTTGGGAGTACCAGGAACAGAACTTGGCTGGGATCGGGAACGGGACAGTAATTTATCACTTCTGACATGGCGAAGGGCTTTCAATTCTGTGGAAGGTGAGGGAATAACATGCACCAACAAAATAATAAATTTCATGCACTATCATGCAAACATAAAATAAAACCTGACTTGACATGATGTAAACTACAACATACATCCTTTACAAAATACAAATTTAGAATGAGTAACTATTACATATTTTACATAAACTTAGTCTTTGAAGACCATACCTCAATCTTTAGGAGAAAACCCATATAAGACACAGGAGTTTATGTTCCAGATTTATGTTCCAGATTTACCTTGTCATATTTTACTAATTCAGTAAGAGCTTTGCTAACAATTACTGTAAATCTCCAATAAAATCATAAGTATCCTTCACCAGAACATGTAACTTTCCAAAACATCTAGTAGGCTATTAGCTTTACTCAAATTATGTACCTGGAACTTATGCCACCTGCCAAACATTGCCAAGTCAGTGCTTTTCCTATTTTATGATATGTTTTTTTTGGATAGCTTTTTTCATTTAAATAAAATTGTCACACCTCTAGATATAAGTCTGAAGAGTAAACCCCATTCCTGTCCCCTCCATCCTTAGTTCATGTATACATACCACAAACTTGGCTTGTGCATTTTTTTTTTAATAATTAAAGTTCATGCTAATGTTTGCCTTCTTAATTTCAGACTCAATTGATAGATTTCTGATTCTAAACATCAATTTTGGCTTCAACATATTGAATTTCTACCAGTGTGTTCTTCTCAAACATACATACCGGGTAGTCATGTCTACAATCCCTGTTGTAATTTTTTTTTCAACATGTGAACATACATGTTTGAGGAAAAAGACTCTGAGAAATTCACTGTTTTGTAAGCAGATTTTTACAAACAGGAATGAAAATACTACTACTATCTTTCATTGGAGAATGAACTGTGGCATGAAATTTCAGTAAGCCACCAAGCCATCTCTAAGATCTGCACAAGCCAAGTTTTAGGTATGAACAAAGTCAATTGAGTCTGTTGAGACCGTAAAAAATAGTTTGACTCAGGAAGTATAAAGAACACGTTTAGCATAGTTTGGTCCTAAACATTGATTTGACTTCTGGGACTCAAGTTATGCAGAGTTAACTTTATATACTTGTGTCTCACATGCAGAAATCAATTGTTTTACCTACAATAAACTTGCTGAACGTTACTTACTCTGCCTTGCTAATCTGTGCAAGAGTTTTCTTGACTTGGCAGCATCATCATCCTCCTCATTTGCTGATCCTTCTTCCTTTTCTACTCTTTCCTCCTGTGGGTACACATTTCTGTCCCTAGCCTCTTTCTTGGTGACAAGCTCTCGTTTTCTTGTTGGGTCCCCACCTGATCTGACTGTCAACTGCTTCTGCTGGTGTTTCTCTTTCTTACGGAACTTCTTGAGTCTGCCATCTTTGGTATGCAACTTGACCTTGGATCTGTTTGGCAGCCGGTTATGTTTCCTTTGGGTTGAGAGGGATAAAACACTGGTCAATAATGATACTTGTACTTTCATTGTCTAAAGTTGTCTAAATCTCTTGATATTTCATATTACTGCATTTGTAAGTCACAACATTAACATTAAAAAGTCTGAAAATACGTTGTTTAATGAATTTTTTTGACAAATCTGTTGAAGAAAAACTGGAGCATGCAAAAACCCTGAGTAATATTGTATCTTAGCAATATTTCTTTTTAAAGAGTGATACAGTTTTGCTGAACTCGATCTTGCTTTTGCTCATACTGATTTACACATGCAACTACCTACCCTCATGGCATACATGTACTCATACTGTGGTTTGAAGTAATTTTACAGGTATCAGGAAATATTGCACTTGTTTACTTCTAGTATTTACTTCCTCTTTCAATAGTGATTGTGACTGGGGAGGGCAAAATGCAATATTTATGCCACATTGCCTGATCTATGACTTCCAAGTAAACTAGCCAAAGACTGCAGCACCATGCAAAACAAAAACATAATAAATTAAACAATTAAGAAGATAAATCAAATGTTTGGGCCATGTCTTAGTTCCATCAAAATGTAGAAGTGATCTGCAACAGCCTCAAGATCATTTTCCAAGTAATCTCCAGTGTGTCATGTATTAATACTAGTATAACATGTGTTTAAAATGTGGTGGTCTGACATGTGCTCTGGTGAAAAATGTCCCTGGCTTTAATTCATCAAAGATGTTGGATTAGGTTAGGTGCAGTATTTGGTCAAGGGGTACAGTAAGGAATTCTCCTAGGGGAGTCCTAGGGTAGGGAAGTGACTGCGGATCTGTGTCCATCAGAGCATGTCAAACAACTCTACAATGTATAAGTGATCTCCAAGAGCACATTCTTCCAGAAAATTATATTTCTGCCCACCAGTGAAAGTTAACAGACAATGGGTTCAAGCTTAAACTTTTATTAATTAAGCTACTACCTGTAGTATAACTTACTTCTTTCCTTGTGATCTGGCTGAATGTTTCCTTTGCCAGGCTCCACTTTTCAGGAGAGACTCAAAGTGCAATGTCAATGGAATTTCTGAAAGAAAAACAAAATGTTTGTATGATGAATAACACCTTGTACAAATTATTACAATTTATTTGTTAATGGTGACTTTATTAGTACTGGGGCCGTCACTTCCAAAGTGTTTTCATCTGTCTCATCCTTTCAAGGTCCATTGGATGCTCTGGTGCATAAGATGCTGATGCAACATTTCACGGCATTACACAATAGTACTTATTTATATTATTATGCAATATTCTTGAATGACATCTTGAGAGAAAGTTGGATGTTTCTTTTTGTCTCTGAAAAATAACACCTTGAACAAATTAGTACCATTCTTTTAATGGTGACTTTATAAGTGCTAGGGTCATCACTTCAAAATGTTTCCATCTGTCTCATCCTTTCAAGGTCCATTGGATGCTTTGGTACATACATTATGTAAGATGCTGATGAAACATTTCATGACATTACGAAATAGGACTTCTTTGTATTACGCAATATTCTTGAATGACATCTTGAGAGAAAGTTGAAAGTTTCTTTTGTATATCATCACCACAATGAATAAAGGTATCATTACATTTCCCTCCATAAGACATGAATTTGTCACCTTTGCCCATACTCACCTTCAGGGAAAGACAACACTGAATGGAATGCATACTCAAGGCTGGCCACCCTTTCATCTGATGGGATCTGATCTGCGTCATGCTGTTCCACATTGTTGAACCGTCCTCCACACATGACACAAGGGGTATGAGGAGGAAAGCAACCACACTGAACTGTAGAAAGCTTCTGGGCCTTCCTGCATACTTGGTATAAACCAGTGGACCGGATAAGTTTCCGTTTCCGGAATGGTCTCACAGGTCTAGTTCTTGCACAGTACTGTTCTTCTACGGGTATTGGAGAGCCTGCAACTTGGTCTAGTCCTACAACCCCAGAGTAGCTGGGTGAACTGTTCATCCCACATCGAGATGAAGGTGTTGCAACTGTTGTTGCGCTGTCCGTTAGACCATTCATTGGTCTGGCTGGTGATGTTTTATCTGAACATGTTGATGATGATGTCGACGTCGGTGAAATACAGTTCTGAAGACTCTGCTTTAGTTTTGCACTTTGCTTGTCAACATTGCTGAGTAAGCTTGACAGATTTGAAGGGGACATTGAGTGAGATCCTTCTAACAACACAATCTTTGTTTCAAGAGGTGATAACTTTCTACCTGTCCTGTGAGCCAAAGCCTGGGCTCTGAGATACTCCTCTGGTGATGGAGGTTCTCCCAATGACACAGCTCCCTTTGTAGCCCGAATCTGACGAAAAATGTCACTTTGTTGCCTGATGCGATACTCCAAGTCTGAAACCTGAGCTTGAAGCCAAGTCCATCTGGCTGCAATGGCTGACCGATCCATTGCCCATTTCCATGATGCTCGTCTGTGACTGTGATGAAGGATTAGAAGAAAAAGAAAATAACATCAAATTACATTTCTGATGGCTTCAATTGTAGAAGAATACAAAAATTTAGAATATCTTTATATCACATTTCTCCCTTGCTCCCTCCCTACAACTGTATCCTTTTCAATTTTGAAGAAAACAAATGTTATCAATTAGTTGAGGAAAAAAAAAGGTCATTTATCATTGGTTTTGAATCAATATTTAATGAATGAGATGGGACAGTACACCCACGCCCTCTGTGTGACATGTTGACACAGAAATGAACCAGGTTTTGTTACTCTTTCTTTAAAACTTATACTCACAGAGGCATCTTGTGGAATGAACGAGAGGCTTGGGTCTGCGGTAAGCTGTCATCCCCTTCATCACAACTCTCCCCACCTGAGCTGCTATCAGTGACATCTGAATCTATGGTACTTTCAACATGACCAAGGCCTGCTCGAAGTCTTCCAGTGACGGATTTGACTTCTCGATATGCCTGCTTTCCTTCCCGTAAATGCTGGGAAATATGTGTACTGGTCTTAGTCCTTTTTCCTGCTGGTAACCATGATGGTCTCACAGAATGTCTCTGCCGGTCTGAAGAAGAATTTGTATGTAAAGGACAAGTGTGGCTATGGCTTGAACTACTTCTAGGGAGTACACCAGGTCTGCTACCCGTCTGGAGACGATTCCTCCGGCATTCTTCACAAGTAACAGTACTACTTGCAGCAGAATTAGCCGCTTCTTTACTGGATTGTTTCGACTCTACAAAGGACCCAATTTGTTGATATATGCGTGATCCAACATGACAAGTCTCTAATCTTCGCAACTTCTCCATCAAATACTTGGCTCGATGTTCTTGTTTTGACTGTTTATGACCCAAATTGGTGACTTCTTTCTTTTCTTCATCAGTAGTCTGTCCATTATCAATCACAACCTTGAATACTGATTTTCCTACCTCCTTTATTCGTGCCTGTTTAGATTTACTACATTTTCTTTCATCTTCTTGCTTATCGACACCAGGGTCTAATTCTCCTTTCTCTTTTTCTTCAACCCTGTGACATGTTTCACTTTTTTTTTCTGCAGGAATGATTGCCGGGAGATCAACACTACTGTCGTCTGAATCGCTTTCATCATCTGATTTGGCATCGAGAGGGTCATCGACAACTTGTTCGAGGCTTGTATCTGTTGTTAGTGCATTAGACAGTGATAAACTTAATGAGCTATCCATGTCATTTGATAAAGAGCTGCTCGATGTATCACTGGTATCAAGCTCACCATGCTCACTGATATCGCCATTGTCTCGGATATTAATATTTTCAATGTGAGCAGCAACAGAATGTTTTGCGCCCGTTGGACTGGGACTTCCAGTAGCAGATATTGTTAAAGGTGGCATTTTGGATGCTGATGAAGTACAAGGGTGATTATCATTCAAAACCTCTTTCTGTGCCAAGGGTGCGGCAGAGTCATTCATTGTTTTCTGTATGCTTTGCTTTGTTGAATGTCTCTCACCATTCGTAACTAGTAGGTCCAGATCTATGCCTGAGCCAATGGTGGAAATTAATGAATTCAACTTATTTTTGATAGGGCCTTTGGCTTTACAATGGTTTGACGAAAGCAGTTCCCGATAAGTTTTTTCCTCCGAAATCCTTGTCACAGTCTCTCCTTCCGTGTGATTATTATTCTCCAGAAAGTGGGTGCGAATGGTGAAGCAAGTTGGTGAAGGAGTTTCCTCGTGATTTCTCAATCGCGTAGTCGTGGGGCTAGGCGAGTAATGCTTACCAATAATGCCAGGAACTGCTGGAGAATGACCATTTGCTAGTGAGGGTAAGTCTGGGCTTGTTGGCTGATTTGGATTTGAGTGCAGGCCACCACTGCTACCTGGGTTGGCAGGCGAAGCTGGCAACTTGAAGGAGCCTGTATGAGCCGCGGCATCAGTCAGTGCCGGAGCCATTGCAGCCATACATAGCCTCAGAGGGAACTGTGACCACATGCGAGGGGAAGCGAAGCGCTACGCGGACAGGGCACCGTGGGAACGGCACCACTGTACAGCGTTACCCTCGCCATTGATCAGAGGACATGGCTGAATAGCTTCAAAAATGTATCGGTCAAACTCAATAATAAATTGTATTTCCTTAAAATATCACACGAATATAAGTTTATTCACAGTATGAGTGTAAAAATAGTCAACAGCAAAGAGAATTATGAGGGTGAGTAGTCAACTTAGCCCGCACTCGTAAACATCGGTCCAAGCAAGCTAAGCGGAGATGCGTCCACCGTAATAATGGAAACAATAACACTTTTCATCGCATCCCGAGCGATTTACCACACGTGACACAGGACCAACATGCTGATATTTCCCGCGCTACACACATTGAAAAGCTCAACTCAATGACCATCAGTTTTTAACTGTGAAGGTCTCTCATCTTAAAATGGATCTTATGTTGATAGTCATTCAGTAGTCAAAAGATGATATTCACTTTAAAATAACGTTGCACTGACGAATGTACGAACCGAACGTTTCGCAAGGAATCATAACATGGACGGTAATGAGAATCAGCACCACGTGACCCCAGGTTCCACGTTCGTGAACAATCAAGCGATCTGTGCATTCGGGTTACACCCATTATTTTCCGAATTGACCAACATATTTCCTGGCTCTTCACAAAATTTCACATCATATTGTATGTTCCGTATGGATAATCAATGAGTCCACAAGTACACGCATCACATTATTCATCTATTGACTTCCATGGCCCAACTTATGACGCCGAAAAAAAAATCGTGTAATATGGCGACGTGCTCAGGCATTGATCTCCATTCCCACAACAAAAAAATGCAGGCGACTTCATTAACATCTGTCTATACGTCAATTGGGCTACCCCCTATAGGAAGAATTGCGTGATTGGCTGATCGCAGCTATTGGATTTTACGGATAATACCTTGTGGAAATCCCTTCAAAAAGTGATTCATTCATCTTCTAGACTATATCACGTTATCAAATAACTGAAATCCAACATTTTAATAGATTGACTATTACTCTTTTTTTTAATGAGAACATTTAAATGACAAAAGACTGTATTTTAGTACAAATTATGTCGCATAAACGTGACAAATGGAGAGGGAGGAAAATTGAGTAATGAAAGAGCACCAAGTTCGCGCTCTATCGATACGAAGTCAAACTTTTGCAGAATCTAAGAACATTTTATTAGTTTTTAGTGAAAATAATATTTTTTTAATGTTCGAATATAGCTTTAAAATGACACTCAACAATGCTGCTGAAATTATTCAAACGAAAAAGGAAGGCAGTTGTAACTGGGAACAATATGCTGTAAAAACCGCGATGAAAAGGCTCGTGAAAAGGCCTCCTAAAAGCATTGCCAATCACACATTTCTATCTCATAATTTAATTCTAATTAGGCCAGTCATTGAGTGTATTTGGTTACGATTTTTGTTTTGGATAGGTAGACTTTAATTATCACCAAAATCTTTTTTCTCCTACACAGTTGATAACTGATCCCTGTGTTTTTTTTTAAATGGTAGAAATATTTAATTAAATCATCATTGATAGCCCGGCAAGTTCGTGTAAATCGACCCCAGTCCCGCCCCAGTCGTGCTTGCATCGGTCCATCAAGGAAGATGCTAGCTGTTTTCATAACTAGAGCACATTTTTACTACATTTTCACTCTCCCTCGATTTTTTTTAGAGAGAGTAGGGCAAGGAGCCCGGACCCTATATCTATTCTATAAATAGGGCCTACATGAATTTTGATGGCTCGACAAGGTGATGTGGGTAGCGGTGGCGGATCCAGGGGGCTGGTGCCCGGGGGGGGCGGCCCCCTCCCCCGACCAAAAAACGATGGACCCCCCCCCCCCTTGCGCTCATTTTTTTTTTTTTTTGTTAAATTTTCGAGGGCCAAAAAATTAAAAAATGAGTGCTCACTACCCCCCCCCCCCCCCCCCCCCCTCCGAGTCCGATCAACTCCCCCGGATATGAGTGAGGAAGGGCTGTCCCTGTATGTTCTGGATTTACAAATTGCACGATTAATTTGGTTTGCACGAACACAATGCAGTCAGACTTTTTTCTTTTTGTTTACAGTTTTAGTTTTATTTCAGAAGGGAAGTTCCATTCAAGCCAAAAAATAAATTTAATGGCCTGCGAGTTTCCAAGGAAGCTCTACATTATACAGGTACATAACATAACATCACATTTAATACAAAACAACTCAAATTTAACACAGAACTACGTAATAATAGTATAATAATTAAAGAAATAAATGGATACTCTAAACGAATACATTACAAAATTATTCTAAATAACAACAACAATAACCAGGGCCTACAGCCCATTTATTCATTATCTTAAAAAAAAAATCTAGCACAAAAACAAATGAATACTAGATTTGGGAAGAAAAAACAACAACAACTAAATATTAAGAAGAACAAAAAGAACAAAAACTTTATTTTTTTACTGTAATGAGCTAGGAATGAATAAAATAAAATAAAAAATAAAAAAAAGTTTGTGTTTGCAGACTAGCTGAATATCATTGTAAAGTACAACACTCCAATCGTTTAACAATGTAGCATGATCATGTCTAAAATTAATATCCGCTATTGCTATATATTTATACAAAGCCAAGAGATGAGAGGGAGCCTGCAGACATACAGACATAGGGATAGAGCGAGGGAGCGAGAGAGAGAGAGAGAGAGAGAGAAAGAAAGAAAGAAAGAAATAGGAGAGAAAGGAAGATAGAGTGACGAGGACAACGTTTCCGAAGGCTCGGTTTTGATCATGACTTGTATAATGGTGATAGTCATAATCATATACACACAACTGTTGACTGATAGCGTGATAATGGTGCTGTTTTAGTTAGAACACGCCTAAATAACATTGTAGGTGATCCGTATTAAAAGTAACATTTAAGGTGTTATTGAAGAGAGGATTCTCAGAACAGGGGCGGATCCAGCCGGCGGTAGGGGAGGGGGCCCAACTCGTGAGAAAATGTTTAGCGGAGAAACATCCAGCCGGTGAAAAAACGCGGGGGGGGGGGGGGGGGGGTAGGAGCACTACTTTTGTTTGCCACCGAAAATTTGAAAATCGCGGTATTTCGGGGTGGGGTGTGGGTGGGGGGGGGGGGGGGTAAGGAGCACTTTTTTTTTTTTTTTTTTTTTTTTTGCCCCCGAAAATTTGAAAATCGCGATTTTTCGCTCAGTGGGGGGGGGGGGGGGTATGAGCACTAATTCTTTTTTTTGCCCCCGAAAATTTGAAAATCGACCCCCCCCCCCCCCTCCCCTTGAGCACCAGGAGAGGGGCCCGTCTTCTTTTTCTTTTCTGTTTACAAATAAAGGTAAAATTAATTGGATCCGCCACTGTCTCAGAGCCCATTGTCATTAATATTCTATGGGGACATGTACATGCATACAATTTTCAAGGAACTTACAGAGCACGAGTTTGACGTAACCAGCGCTGAGTGAAACAATAATCAAAATCGTCATACGCATGGTTTGAATAAATATGTCTTCCAGTTAGAAGAAGGCACAACTGAAAGTGAAACCATGCATGTGAGCTATTAAAGTCAATGATATTGTTTTTGTATTATTGAATCAGCTTCTTAGATAAATAAATATATAAATAAACATCATGAATATAAACATAAATAAATAAATAAATAAATAAATATAATAAATAAATGAGTTCTGTATGTCTTTTAATAGGCCGGGCTCTATAATTGAGTTGGTGTTTGTTTGGTTGGTGTTTGTTTTGTTTGTTTGTTTGCTTGTTGTTTATATTGTTAGTGTGTTTGTTTGTATGTTTGTTTTTTGTTTTATTTATTGTGTTGTTTGTATTGTTCTGTTGTTTTTAAAAGAGTACCAACCTGATCAAAAAGTGAAACGAATGAAGAAAAAATAATCAACATTTTAAATAAGAAAATTAAGTCGGTAAAACTGAATTAATACCATGCAAATGCACATGACATGTGCATTGAGTTAGTTATTAAAAAAATATATGAATCAAGAAAGTGAGAAAAGAGGGGAGAATCCATGGTGAGAGATACAGACAGAGACAGAGGCAGACAAAAGAGGGTGTATAGAGGGAAGGAGAACGGAGAGGGAGAGAGCCAAACAAACAGGGAGAGTGGAAGAAATTGCAAATGAATAGATGATTTGAATAAGCAAGAAAGGAGTGCAAAATGTGAGGAGAGTCTACATCGAAGCTAGAGTTTGTTATAGTTTTTATTTTAATATAGAACTATAAAGAGGTACGAGTTAATCGTTGTAATGATGGGCCTTCAATCTGGAAAACGATAGGAACTGAACGTACAGTATATACATAGTCATGTACTAGAATGTAATTAACAAAAGGTTTATTGATTAACAGCCCAGGGGCAGAGCAAACAATCGTGTGAACAAAAATAATGATTGCGTCACACCTCGAGATCAAAAAGAAACTGACGGAGCGTGTAGGCATCGTGACGATGCAAATTTATATCCTGTATAAAATATATCCATTGAGAAGTATAAGTGCCAGTTTGTGGTAGTATCCTTTTACGGTAAAATACTACTTTTCTCTCGTTGCCTTTTGAGCAGGAAGGCTGTATATGTAGGTAAGTCATTGGCGTATCGAGGGGGGGGGGGGGGGGGGGTGGGTGTTTTAGAATTTTAGAGACATCCTTTATCTGTGTTTTATCTATGCCCCCCCCCCCCTGGCAATAAAAAAGAAGTAACAAAATGTTGTTTTTGTGCTCAACTTGGGGGGGGGGGTGGATGTTGAGGAGGTAAAAAAAAAAAAGGAGTGTTCACCCCCCCCCCCCCCCCGTTGAGCTAACGAAAATAAATTAGTGCTTACTCCCACCCCCACCCCCCCCCCCCTCCGCTTATTCGCCACTAAATATTTTCTTACGAATTGGGCAACAAAAACACCTCCCCAAAATCCCAAATCCTGGCTACGCCCTTGAGGGAAGTTGTGTCTGATAATAGTTATTCCAGACTTAAATCAATCCATTATTGTCAACGAAAGGGACTATAAACTAAAACCAAACATAATTGAATTGTAGAGGCCTATGATATTGGTTTAAAATAACTTTAAAACTGCATTGGAGTACATTAATGTGTTCCGTTCGAAACTTATCAGTAATTATAGTGTCATAGACCAACTTCAAGTTTTTAAGTAGCCCGGGTCGAGGAGTGACAGTATTCTCGAAATCGTCGATTAAAACTGCTAGATGCAACGTATTTGGTATTTTATCATTAAATTATAAGGAGTGAGGTACTACACATTTTGAAGATGTCAGGCTCCTTTGGACATGTAAGTGATGAACTAAAAGTGTATACCGTCACCATATTGTAGGTAACAATACCAGTATTTAGTAGTGGACCCTGCATGCATAAGAAACTTCCTCTCGACAGTGTGATGCCTAATTAGTGACGACGTCATTACGTCACCGGTACCAATCGACTGTATAATATATTGATGAGAGATCATGGTAATAAAACGATTGCGGCGCTGAGTGAAAAAGCGATTATTACTGGTATATTATACTATACAATTATACGTATATCATTCTGAATGGGTGCATACGGGGTGCATAACTATACGTCATTCCAAATACATGAAGAAGAAGAAGAAGAAGAAGAAGAAAAAGAAGAAGAAGAAGAAGAAGAAGAAGAAGAAGAAAAGAAGAAGAGGAAGAAGAAGGAAAACAAAAGAGAAAGAAATAATAGTAGAATTATTATCATTATTATTATTACTTATTAACCTTAAAGGCACACTGTCCTACTTGTAGCTACTTGCTCCCTCTATATAGAAAACTTCCCCAATCGGTGCCTGTTGGTCCCCCATGATCCTCTTGTTCTTATGTTAAATGAGAGCTGAGTTAATGAGATAGCCATCTGTCACAGTGACCTCACTGGCTCGCTGGGTGGTCTAATCCCTTCTAGCTGAAGTAGCAAAGCCTTCTTTTAACATGTAGTATAGTAGTAACATAGTAAGATAGAAGTACAATCTCAGGCATTTCATTGCTGGCCTTTCTTAGCAGCTCGACGGCCAGATTCCTCTATTCGATGATGTACGAAGCACTCCACTTTTTGTATTGCTTCCTTTCATAGGACCTATATACAGTGAATTATCGAGAGAAATCTGCCTTCCAATCCACAGCCTTATTTACGAATATATCCAACGGTCATACACCTAAAATTAATAGTTGTATCTATGTCTTCTCCCCCACGTTGCCTTTATTGAAGGACCCTTTGTGCCCTGAACTTGCACGCGTGAGTTATCAATAATTTTAGTGCTTCACAGCGGTAATATAGCTACTTCAGGCACGTCAGGATCGAAGAAGAAAGAATACGTTTTACTATAATTATGTTTATCAGTACCAGCAAAAACTCATGGTTGAAGGATTAATTAGAACGAAATAACAATATTGATATATAATTATCTTTCCTGACAATTACCACCCCTTCCCCTGCTGCAGACCATCCGACACTCCACGACCCCCCCCCTCCTCCCCCCCTCCCCCTCCACACACACACACACACACGCACACACACACACACACACACACACACACACACCGTCCTCATCAAGAAGATTCTCGTTTCATATCCCACATTGCAATTTCGAACGGAAATTCCAAAAATAGTAGGAAGCCGGAAATAGAAAAGATAATTATGTAGGTATAATCAGGGAAACAGATAGTTAGCCCTCAAGAATAAGAGGAGTAGGCCTATATAGAAGAAAGAGGACGAGGAGGAGGAGGAGGAGAAAAAGAAGGAGAACGAAGACAGTTATAATAATCACAACAACAACAATAATTATAATGTAACGAAGAATATTTAAGAAGAAGAAGAAGGAGAAGAAAAAAACAAGAAGAAGAAAAAGAAGAAAGAGAACAGGAGAAAGAGGAAGAGAAAAAAGAAAGAAAAAGAAGCTCGAGGAAAAGGAAGGCGTACATGAAGCAAAAAGCCCATTCACTCTAAAAATTGAAAGAAGGAAGAAAAAAACACTATAATAAAAAATAGGTCAACAAATATCGAAATATGGAGGAATGACAAAAAAGAAGTATGATAAAATTATGAGGAAAAGAGAAAAAAAATATTACACTATATAATTTTCTCTGAAAATATTTCTGGATTTGCTTTCATGAATATTGCACTTTGGACTCTCCATGACGTCATTCGAAACCGCATCCTTGCCAATTCAATGGCATAGTAACTGTTGTTCTATTGTGTGTACAGTGTCTCGTATGTTGTTTATAATTATCGTCTACTATGTCCCATTTCAGCCAACATCAAATTCTGTAAAACTTTGCAAGAATGATAAATAATTCACTATGTCCTATCTGTGAAATTTAAACATTATCAGTGTCCTATTATGCAAATTATGCAAGGAAAGCCGTTCACTTTCTAGACTTCACTGTCAGACACTATTGCATGACTGATCAGGAAGATCTTCCTGGACTGAGCTGACTCTCCTTTTGGGGGGTAATAACATTAAGAGAAACTCTTTGGCGGCTGAATTTCAGATTTGTAATGGATGATCATAGGTACAGATACCCCGTAAATCATGTTGGGTAGTTTGGGTTATATAATTGCTCTAATTAATACCGATATATTCCGGTAAAATTTAAACTTGTTGGAGAACAAAATATATCATGCCTATTATGGTTGATTCTACCAAGGTCTGCACACTATTAGAAAATTCTAATTATAACATCTGTTGTGAGTTTGATGACGGAGCCTAACCACCATTCATTGAAAAATCAAATAAATGTAAAAAGATTACACAAAGAGGCCAAGACTTTTAAAACTGAATTGTGATATACTGGCAAGTCATTAATAATATTGGATATCTTGTTATCCGTCTAAAATAAGATTAACTACAAAAATAAATACTGTCAGAGTGGTATCTTATGCGCCTTGCGATCCTTCAAAGAGTCGCAATTCTGGTGAAAATTATCATTATAATGACTATAAAATTATGCATATTATATCATTCTGAATTGGGTGCATACGGGGTGCGTCATTCAATACATGTGCATGAAAATGGTTTTACAGTTTAAAACGTAGATGGCAGTATATCACCTTTCTTCAGAATCCTTATCAATCGTCTAACTTCGATCAGACCTGCCCGCCTAAACTGTGTCTAGTTAACATTGATCCAGGGAGGTGGGAAACAGACTTTTTGTCACTGTTCCTATTACAATTTTCTCGATGGTACACTTTCAAAAATCGTTTTCATAGATTGTTGAGGCAGATGAATTAGACTCCTAACAACTTAAAGTATACATTTTCGTCCATTTTCGCCTATTAAAGAAGACGGTCTGGGATTCTGACAAAGAAGAAGCCCCGAATTTATAAATGAAGGTTTGTGGAAATGGACATAAAATAACAGAGGGAACGGGGAAAGCCTTATACAGTCATGTTTGCCATCCCTAATTCTCTTTCAAAATAAAGGCTGTGCGCTCTCCCTACCCCACAGCATACCCGTCCCTCCTGCATGGATCCGTCAAAATATACAGTACATTGTTAAAGTACTGCTGTATGTGTCCTTTATACCCCCCCCCCCCACCGTCAGCATTTCACCTTTTTTCCTCCTGTTAATTTTACTATATACATATAAATTCACGTTCACATATTATACGCTAATATAGAAAAGCATGCAGCAGAAAAGGTGAAGGGTTTCCAGAAATACTCAATGTATGTGTTGAAAGGTTTTATATTATGTCACCCAGGAAAGCGGCCATAGAGTCACGCACAGAACAGCTTCAATTTGCATGTGAATACCTACAACAAAATTTCGAAGTTGGAGATATTGCCTGCAAGCTCAAATGAGAAACCTCCTTGAGACAATGCTAAGTTTTTAAAAATGTGATGACAAATCCACTCCTAATTAAAACTTTCTAAGAAATGAACAAGAATTTGTTTTTGAGTAAGAACTGAATTCGTTCAAGAATTATAGACACTACCCAAATTGTAAAAGTACAGGTACGTGCACATTTTCTATCTCATATTAGGCTGTATCATTCATAATGCATATGGCTAGACAATGTTTATCTTACTGCACAATTTAGCAGTCAAAATGATCATCAATAACACCACTCGAAGAAACGACAATATACATGACACTAGGGTACTTTTATGACATAATTCCATATTCATTTCAAGATTATTTTGTACATAATTATTGGAAGACATACAAGATACACAAAGAGGAAAAGACAAACAGAAAGAAAGAGACAGAGAAGAAAGAGAGAGAGAGGGAGAGAGAGAAAAAGAAAGAGAGAGAGAGAGAGACAGACAGACAGAGAACATGACAGCTGTATTGTGTCTGCTAAATAACAATTATTGGCAAGAATTAACTTTCAAATCAATTTCTTAAAACAGGCCTTTTGGCAAAAATAATAATTTCCCCTGGGAGTACCATTATACAGATATAATGTAAAGTACATATTGATCTCTTATATGATATTTATTGCTCTTGTTTACAATAACATTCAAAATGCCAAATTACGGGAAAATAGACACAACATATAGCACATAATGGTCTTATGAATACTAAATAACTTTTCAAACAATTTATTTTCAATCATAATTTATATTCATAACAATCTGATTTATGTACACACATATTTCAAAGAACAATATATGGCAAATAATTATTTCAGTTCAAGAGTCTATTCACATGGCATCAAAAATGGTTGACTTCAAACGGCAGGCCTATTTAATATAGATCATCCTAAAAAGCAATTTACTAAATAAAACATCAGAAGTGTTCTCTATAGCAAGCTATTTGCTTGAAAATTATTCATGATTATGACAAATGATTTACAAATTTCATTGTGCTTCTGTATCATAAATGTATGATCAAATAAATATCTGCAATACAAATCAATCAGAGTAAAACGGTGACAAATTACCGAATATCATGAGGCAATCAACTGACCCAGATTGAGATACAATGTAGTACAATATAAGAATAAATTTGATGTGCAATATTTTGTTGTTGATTATGTTCTTCGTGTTTTACACAAGATAGTTGAACAAATTAATAGCAGTATTGTTAGTCTTTTCCTTACATGCTTCATCCTAAAAATTGTTAACTCATTTTATGTTCAGTAGATTTTAAAAATTCAGTTTTTATTCTTGTTTGCAAAAGAACTTCATTATTGCATTTCTAGCATTATGGTCATGAGGTTATTGTGTGCCTTTACTATGCAATGGGATGTAAAAATAAATGGTGAAGTTAAATAGACTGGCCTTTAAATAAAAGGATCCCCTAATGCTTTAAAAAAAAATGCACATCATCATCGCCCTCTAGCGTCCCTTTTCCCACACTATCAAACAAAATCATATATATTATCCTATATGATGAACACCAGCCCCCAGTCAACATTACTAGATTCTTAAGAAATAGAATAACCGACTTTAATTTAATCAACTTCTGCTACAAGATTAAAACTATCGATAACACTTGAGGTAGTGGTAACATAGAACTAATAGCCTATAGTACTGAATTTCTCATGCAAATATTGGAAAATTATTTAAAAAAAAAAAAGTAATTTCATAGGCTGTTTGCTCAATATTTCATATGTTCCTACTTCCAAATCTCACATCAATTTTAAATGCAAAATAATTAATTAGCACCTTCATCCCCCTGGGGATTAACGCTGCCTAAATATTGATTTTGTATCGTGTAGAATCTCTTCGGACACTCTTCTTGAAATTGCAAACACTTTCATTATGACATGTTCTCTGTGGCTAAATAGAAAAATGCATGACACCTCTAAGATTTAAAGTTTGTCCCACAAAATGTTACTTGTCATAGATGTGTGTAAACATGGGTGGCAATACTGGGGTTAATCTGAAAATATGAAACAGCTTTGTCAATCTAAACATATGTAATTTGAATGTTACGTTATCCTGAAGCCTGCAAATTCATATCACATGAATCACCAAAAACAAACTTCAGACTAACAGACTGCAACCATGGACAATCACGCTCCTTGAAACATCCAGGCACATAATTTGGCACTTTCATTTTTTTGGATTTCAAATCAACAGAACTCTTACTTTCACAAAGTGAATGAGTTATCGGGAAGCTACAATGGGTCGGTAGATGAGTTCCTTCATGATCTCGTTGCTACCAGCATAGATGGAGTTCACCCTGGTGTCACAGAATGCCCTAGCGATGGGGTACTCCCACATGTAACCCCATCCACCGTGGAGCTGAAGGCATTCTGTTGCTATTTTGTTGGCAGCATCAGTGGTCCTGAATAATTAGAAGATGGAAACAATGATAATAAATATAATAATGACTATGATGAAATAATACATTCATTGTGTGCTTTTATAGTCACTCTCCGTAGTATTAGGGATTGGATTACTCACTATATCTATTACAATACAGCAATACTTCTATACTAGTAATTAACAAAATTCCTAATTTGCATTTTTATTGATAGATATTTAGATCAGAATTAAAAATTGGCGAAAACATTCATTAGTGCAAACAACAATGTTCATACTCATCGTAGAGGATGTATAAAATGAAATATTTTATAAAGGCCTACTATTTATTTGCTGCGTTTTTGCTCATGAAAGTCATTTGAATATCATTTCTAGACAAAATTTAGGGATATATCCCTACTTCAGTTTTTAAAATATTTCTTTTCAATAGTTCAAAGTTTAAGAAATTGTACAAAGGACAACATTACCATTTTCTAAAAGCCTAAAAAGCTCACTCGAACCCATTTCATTATTTGGAAACAAAGGTCATCCCGGTATTTTGATTTCATGAAATTATCTTTCAATATTAGTATGAGTATCCAAAACTTATTACATTGGAGCTCAATGTCTGAGGGTATAATAACAGCGACTCACTTTTTTTCAAGTCCTGTCGAAAATCATGCATGTTATGTTATTATAATATGTTGATTTAACAAATAAAGTAAGTACGAAATATCTTTCTTGAATTCTAGTATCCTCACCAGAGTTTTGCCATGGAAGCAGTGTAGGTGTCTAACTTTCCGTTGAGGCCCAACTCCAAGCAGTTATCTACAAAGCTCCTACCCACACAAAGCAGTGTCTTTAGCTCTGCAAGCTTGTGTTGGATTACCTGCAAGACATAAATATACCATTGTTCATCAGTAATTCATCTTGTGGTAATAATATGATTCCACAGCAGTTTTAATACTGTCGAGGTAGACAAGACATAATTATCATTGTTATGATTTTGATCTCTCTCTCTCTCTCTCTCTCTTTTAGTTACTCCTCTCTTCCCAAGCCATCTCTGCAGGCTATCCAAACATAGTAGCTTCTTCTGCCTCTAACCCCCTTTCCTTCTCTCTTTCCTGTCAATACCAGATTTTATAAAGCTTTTTGCAATCATTCATTATCCCTTTTTTGTATCTTTCTTTCTTTTTGCCTTCTACTATTTCCCTCCATTTTTTCCCCTCTTTTTTTATTCCCCTCCCCCAAATTTCGAACTTCTTAGCTACATAATATTTGTCTATATATTGATTTCTAAGCATATTTTGTGCATGTTATATTGTAAAACAGCATTTGAGGAACTAACACTTCAACAAGCTCTGCTTCAAGTTAGTTCCTCTTTTCTCGTGCTTTTTTCCATCATATTAGTCGTTACATTGCATATTTTTTGAGATATAATTATTCTTGTATTATGTTTTTGCATGAGAAATAAATATCATTTGAATCATTTGAATCAAAATCAAAAACCAACTAATTTTGATTTAACAAAAAAAGTCCATCCCAAGTTATATAAGGCATTGTATTCAATGAGTAGAACATACTTAAGTGGTGATATTATAATATTGTATAATGTATCAGAATAGTAGAGCATATCTCAGTAAAGTGTCTCATTAGAGAATCTTTTAAAGTTCAGTGTACCCTTAAAATTAGTAAACTGATTAAAATATTTATATTTTCATACAACTCGACTCTTTGTTAACTTTGTATAAAATTTTGAGAGCACACTCTCCCCGCTACATTCATGTATTCATCAGCAACAAGTGCAACATTAATACATTTCACTTTAAAGAATTATCCCAAGTGTTGCATGAATACTTTAAAAAAATAGTTTGCTGGCCAATGGGATAATGAGAAAAACAGAAAGACAGAAAAATGACCCCACGAAATAATGCATCTACATGTATAGCACCATCTGCAGGGGTGGATGCATCATGATCCACACCACTTCACACAAACCACTTCCACTACACCAGCATACCAACCTGAATATTGGAAAGAGTTTTGCCGAAAGCCTTGCGTTGCCTCACATAGTTCCTGGTCTCTTCAAACATGAATTCTGCATGGGCCTGGGATCCGACAGCTACAATCAGTCGTTCCCTTGGAAGCTGATCCATGAGGCAGTAGAATCCTTGATTCTCCTTACCCAAGAGGGCAGACTTTGGCAGTCGAACATCATCAAAGAATAGCTCGCAGGTGTCCTAACAATTAACAAAAAATCATCATAGTTCTGTTGTTATCACAGTTGTATGACACTACAGTGATATTTGCTCCACAATCAATTTCCCACACTAACCAATTTGGAAAACCATGAAGCTAACATTATATTCTAATATTAACCCAAACGCGATCCTAACCTTAACCCTATAACTTAGACAAGTAGAACCCGGAGCAAATGGTGACAGGGCATTTTTCGGATCACCAGTATTATTGTACGAACCCTGAACATTTATTTTATATTCATAATAATTTGATTTTAAAAATGCCACTTCCTGTAGATACCTCGCGCTGAAATGTCAATATTTTTTTTAGCTGAGCTGGCATACAAGGAATGCATTCCAGAAGTTCCTTCTACCATTCAACCGTTTACTTCCTATGAACTTGACCTTGTGACATCACAATTCAAGTGTCTGAAGGTGGGATATGTGCTGTTCTCGTATCCGGACACCTACCCCTGGACATCCATCCCCGGATAACCACCCCAGTCAACTACCCCCGAGGACAACTACCCCCTAGGACAAGTATACCCCCTATGGTAACCACCCAAGGACAACTACCCCCTAGGACCCCCTGGACAACTACCCCTAGGATAGTTTTCCGGGGGATTTGTCCTAGAGGATGGTTGTCGTAGGGGTAGTTGTCCGGGTGGTAGTTGTCCAGGGGTTGTTGTCCTAGGGGGCAGTTGCCCTGGGGGGGGGGGGGGGTAGTTCACTTGGGGTGGTTATCCGGGGGTGGATGTCCAGGGTAGGTGTCCTAGAACCGCTGTTCTGTGCATCGTTCATGTTGCAAGACTTACCACAGCCTTTTGTCCGACCTTCTCCAAGGGTTTGCCCTTGGTGAATCCTGGCATGCCCTCCTCCACCAGGAAAAGTCCTATGCCATGAGCCTTCTTCTGAGCACTCAGGTCTGTGATGGCTACCACAATCACCACGTCAGACAGGTAACCGTTGGTGATGAATACCTGAAGGGTTGTGAGATAGACAGGAGACCTGTTATGTACACATTTTTGTTTCATTCTCTCAACTTTGAATACTTTGCTGACCAATGACAATTTAGTAACAGAACATGATGTACACCTGAAGGGATGTGCAATACATGGAAGTGATATATCTGAAGTTCAAGAAACATACGAGAATGAAATTTTGACTTGAAATACTGTATCATTGATGAATAATATGAGTATGGAATACATTCTGTGTATATAAACTTCATGATACAGGTAACCATTGCTGTTTCTAGAAGAAAAGATTTTTAGTCTTAATCATCGCTCAATAATTAAATTGTTGGAAGTCTTTGCCAACCACGCCAAAGTGATGTGAGGAAGATAATATGATGCCTGTCATTTTTCATGGTGACAAATATGCTCAAGTGAGCATCACACTTGATTTTAACTGTTTGAAACTTTCAACATGAAGGGTTTTCCGGATCAGAATAACTCTTCATAGACTTATTTGCAGTCCACTTTTGGAGTTAAAACAAGAATAAATGACCTAATAGCCCCAAATGTAATAGCACCATCTTTTTATAGCAATACCGTCACAATATTCAAGGCTAAAAACCTTTAATTTCAGAAATTTACCTCTCGACCTTTGACTCATTTACCCTAAAACTATCGAGACTGTCTTCCTATGTTGATACATACTATCATGACGTTTGAAGTTCATAAATTAAGTGGTTCTTGAGATATCGCGATAACGAAAAAGGGAGACGGACGGATTGATGGACAGACAACGCGAAAACATAATGCATCCGGCACTACCTTTGGCAGGTGGAGGCATAAAAATAAGCATCAGTACAGTTCAGTTGTACCATAATTGTTTCTAACTAAAGTCAACAGATGATACAAGTTTGAATTACATGACACAGAACTTCACAAGAATCACAATTCATAAGAAAACAGAAAGATACAAGTATATCAAAGTCCTCGTAAAAGCAGAATTCTTACCTTGCTTCCATTCAGGATATAGTCATCCCCATCTTTCTTGGCAATTGTTTTGATTCCCTGTAAGTCACTGTCCAGTGAAATAGATAATAAACACAGTTATGATTTCTTGAATCTATGTTACCAACGGGGGTTATTACATATTATGTATTCTGTACTAACTTCAACAGCTTCGTTCGCCTTGCAGAAAGTGGGGATGAAATTCTTTTCTTGGACTAACTGATGTCGAGACAAAAGATTTTTGTTTAAAACAATTAAATGTGTAAAAGCCCACCTTTTTTCTTTCCTATTTCTTCCTTCATCCACAAGAAAAGTTGTTTTTATATTTACTCCAATACTTAGATTACAGAGAAAAGAGAGTCTTCTCCTTTTTCAAGGAGCTCTACCTTTCATAAGTGTAAATTAACTCGATGTATATGGCACTGAAATGCTCCAGCAACAGTTACTCTGCTGTAAAAATTTCTTCACAAACCGAATTCTTATTCTTCAACCGTTGACCAAAGACTGTACCTAACCCTTGCCCTAACCCTAACCCTAAATCTAACTTCAAACCCAAATGCAACCCTAGCCCTAGCTCTATATCTTTGATGAAATAAAGCCAGGAGCAATAATATTGTTGCCAGGCGCGTACGCAGGATTTTTTCAAGGGGGGGGTTTTAACATTTATAAATCGGTCCGAAAATTTCGCAACGACTCAGCCAGCCGCTGAATAAGCGGGGGGGGGGGGGGGGGGGGGGGGGGGGGGGGGGGGGGGTAAGAGGACACATTTTTTTTTTTTTGGTCCCAAAAAAATCGCAACGACTCAGCCGACGCTGAATGGACGCGGTGAATGGGGGGGGGGGGGGGGGGGGGGGGGGGGGGGGGGGGGGGGGGGGGGGGGGGGGGGGGGGGGGGGGGGGGGGGGTAAGAGGACACTTTTTTTTTTTTTTTTTGGTCTCGAAATTTGGAAATTTGACATTTTGCTTGGGGGGGGGTAAGGTCACCTTTTTTAGGTCGGCCATGGGAATAATTTTTTTTTTTTTATTTTTTTTTTAATAATTAAAAAAAAAAAAAAAAAAAAAAAAAAAAAATTCAAAAGGGGGGGGGGGGTTTTAGGTTTTTTTTAGGGGGGTTACACACAAAAAATTTCCAAAGGGGGGGGTTTAACCCCCCAAACCCCCCCCCCTGCGTACGCGCCTGATTGTTGCTTGAGCAAATGTCGGAGCACCAACTACCCACCAGTAGCGTACGCAGGATTTTTTCAAGGGGGGGGGGGTTAACATTTTAAATCTGGCCGAAAAAAAAGGGGGAGGGTTGCTCCACAATACTAACATTAAAAAAAATGAAGGGGGGTTCAACACCCCCCCCCCCCCACCCCCCTGCGTACGCGACTGCTACCCACCTTCCTGCAGCCGGTTCCGTCATGGCAATAGCCCCATTTTCTTTCCTGCTGCCATATCCGGGATGAACTTCTCAATCTGCTCCGGTGTACCATACTCAGCGATGTAAGGCATTACAATGTCACTGTGTAGGGGGAACGATGAGCCAGCTCCGTTCACATATGCTCTGAAATGAGAAGGGAAGACACACTTCAACATAGGCCTTATGACTCCTTTATAATGTTACAAAGTTTGTGAGAAATCTCGATCATGGTTCTCTAGATACAGCAGAAGAAATGATAAGAACTGAAACATAATTATTGATGTCCATTGTTTGTTACTTATACTATAGCTGGACAAGACATGTGCTTACAATATAACGTTTATACTACCCTGTCTAAATAACAACAGAATGAGGAATCTTCATGGTTACTGTTTTATGATTTAACCTTGAACTCAACGACCAATATCAATAATTATCCTTAAAACTTTTGAACTTTGATGGAAGGATCCTACATGTAAAAGATATGATCACATTATCTCCCGGTTGAACTGACGCGTAATTCATAGACAGAGCTTGAACTTTAAATCCTATTTAGCATTATTAAAATTTAGCTAAGTGAAGAAGAAAAAAAGTGGGCAGCTACAATAACATTTCTCAAGCAAACTGTTACTTACTGCTCCTCCCATGTGATTGCAGTCATAAGGAGATCACCACCAACCCCGCCTTTCTCTTCTGGGATGGCCACGCCTAGCAACCCAGCAGCACCCATCTTCTGCCAAATCTCCTTATCAACATGTCTCTGCTTCTCATACCTGTTCAAGAAATACAATAATGATACACACCAGGTAATACATCATCATCAAATGAGGATATCTAACCACTTGAATACTAGTGAACACAATATAATGCTAAAAACACATTCCAATTTTGAAAAAACATTGTTTCTACATTTTCTGCTTTTTGAAAACCATAAATATTTCCTGTGATTCTGAATCAAAGATAATTTGTGACTTAGTGAGTTACATCTGTTATACAATGTAAGCATTTAAGTTACGATCCACTTCAGCAGCACTTATGACCTAAACTACATATCACATGAAAATACCAAACACACATTATGCTAAGTTTCTTAGCAGAAGTACCCTGGTGCTGATACCAATTATGAGGTACTTCAGAAAATGGTTCTAGGACACCTACCCCCTGAACATCCACCGGAGCAAACTACTAGGACAACTACCCCGGACATCTACCCCCAGACAACTACCCCTTGTTCTAGGGGTAGTTGTCCGGGTGTAGTTGTCCTAGGGGGTAGTTGTCCTAGGGGGGTAGTAGTCTGGGGGGGGGTAGTTGTCCGGGGGGTAGTTGTCCCGGGAGTAGTCGTCCTATAGAGGGTGGTTGTCCTAGGGGGTAGTTGACTGGGGGTGGTTATCCGGGGATGGATGTCCAGGGTGTAGGTGTCCGGATACGTCAGAAAATATATAGCAAACAAGGGGTACTTTATGTGTCAATGCATACTTTCAACCTGCAACATTGCTGCTATTGTCATTACAACCAACTACCCCCCCCCTCCTCCTGTAACAAAGGCCATTTTTCACTCATTTACGGACCAAAGGTTAATGATATTTCTGCCATACAAGAAGCCTGAGCTAGCCTACCTATCCTGATTAGGTGCCACCTCTTCTTGGAAGAACCTACGAGCAGAAGCTCTGAACATGTCATGCTCCTCACCGAACAGAGATCTGGTCCCTATATCCATCATGGTATCTGCTTGGCCTGTACATGGTCTCGTGCTCTGGTGCCGTCTACAATAAGTGAAAGAAAAAAAGGAATAAATTGTTTTCAAAGAAACAAAGAAAAGATGGAGATTTTTGTTTAGGGTTCCTATATTTAGTCTACTTGTATAGTTGTATCACATAAGGTCTTGACTAGGTAACTTAAAAACTCTAGGAGAGGTAGAGAGCAGTAAAATTTAAAGGAAATGAATCCAGTGAAAAGGGGTATGACTTTGCATCTAGGCACTACAGTAGTCTACAGCTGTATTCACCCTAAGTTCATTCTAATTGCAGTACAATTATTCTTGACCTTTAGGGCCTTGTAGTATAAAAATGAAAATATAAAATATCAACAAACAATTAATTCTACAAATCCTCTGTATATCCATTCCTGCTACAATAAATTCTATCTTTCTGTGACATAAATGATATATATATAAAGACAAGTTGAAGTTACTAGTGATTGCAAAAGAAAAGATTCTTTGAACATCGGGAACTTTTCGAGGGAGATACAATCAATCACATATCAGTTTAGTTCATGGACACAGAAGGAGGTAAAATAGCCAGAAGAAAAAACACACCCGTATAATACAGAATTACACACGCACTCACACAGACATTATGTCTATTTAATATTAGTGATGGATTAAGTTTAGATAATTCATAACAAATTTGTTTGTATTTGGCCAATATAGGCCTACTCAGTATTCAATGGTCAATATGACATCATCAAATCTATACCATTTCTATAAACACCACACACTTTAATACTAGATCAAGATTTCATTACACTATTTCATATATTTTCTTTTTGGCTGCATTCAGGACTGATTGATAAATCCAATTCATTATCAAGGTTGTTGCTTTACAGGTAAAAGCCGGTAGGGGTAAAAATTGCGGTTCAATTAAGGGTTTTGGGTGCAAAATATACATTCAATATTGTATAAATATTGCCTTCAGAGGTTTAGATGGCATTACTTCAACCTAAATTTACAACAAAGCAGAAATATATGCTCAAATGTTCAATGCTTAAGTGCATTCGCGATATGTATCGATAAACATGATAATTTACCAAATATATCGATTAGTAGGCAGTTTCCCGACAAAATTTGTATCATCGCGTATTAGCCAAACGTATTCTTCACATGATTGGTAATAAGAGCTTCCATTTCATTTTTGAGAGGGGGCATTTCTAAAGTTGGTCTAAAGCTAATACCTTTAATGTTTCCTCGACTTTGTTTAATCATTTGTTTATTTTGATTGTCTATATGCTTCAAACTATTATGATGATTAGAAAGAAACAGAGGAAAACTATAATTAAGTAGTTAGATTTGTTAAATTGTATTGATCTCCTATCACGAGACAAATGATTGTTGATGAAAACAACTATTCCATATAAGATAATGATACATAAGAAAATGTCAATCTAATATAAAAATAAACACATTTTGAACAAATTAGTGGGGCATTTGAACTACCGGTATAAGAAACGTATTGTGTTACAGCATTGACTCTGAGCCTTAAATGCTTGATAAAAACATCCAACCAAACTCTGGGTCAATATGAAAGCGGGTCCAAAGTCCGTTTGCAAAAAAACTGTTTGCTCTTTTTAATACAGTTCCAAACTACGGTATGTACAAAAAACCCTCCAAGTCGCCTGTATGACCTATATACAGTATTTCATTCGGTTTTGTTGACAGAGTAACGTCGACATTGATCGTCATTCAAGATTACTTGTTCTACGCCGAGTCATGCTCGCAGCTTGTAGATATACACCTGGAAATATAGGCAAAAGGGCATTGGATTCAAAATACAATGCTGAAGAGGACTTCCCACAGATAACAATAGTAGAAGATTAACTCTTATCCCTAAACAGACGACACGTAAAGGCACTTTACAGGACTTACTTTCATGCTACTTAAGATAATTAGAATAAATTTTGTTTTATTGAAAATGGAAATGAATAAAATGAATTGAAAACGAATTTATTTGAATAACTTTGTATGAGAATTCTCCTGTGCTTCTAATACTAGGTCTACATAAATTAATATAATTTTTAAAAATATTCCTGCCCAAATACAATATACACGGATCTATGTAGTTCACACAAGGTAAATTCATTAGCAGATCACTTATTATGTAGACTTTTGGTGTCTGGTCTATGTTGAAAGCAGTGCTACACAATATGCAGGGTCTCCATGCCATTAACACCTTTCCCAGTTGATGCACATTGTATTTTAGATTAACATTTGAATATAAACTTAGCCTGAGATAACTCGAGGTAAAAAAGATTATTTAGAGCAGGTTAAGGAGTGTAATTGCTTATCACTTTGAGTGAACATTATATGCCTGTATAGGCTCTAATTCAAATGTCAAATAATTATGACTATATAACACATTCATATTCTTCACCAAAGTTCTTCCAAACAATGTGCTGATCTACCTCTATAATATATCATGATATATTATGCAATGCTTCCAGTTCAGAAATATGCGTACAAATGCGTTTTTTGATAAATATAAGCCTATAATTTTAGCTAAGAGTCTACTAGAACTCTGCTCATTCCATGATTACATCTGAAATAACAATTGTATAAAACTTATTATTGAGTGAAGGTAACTTTTAACACCGATATTAACTACTATGGCAACATCACTCAACAGCCAATCAAAAAAACAGCCTTTGTAGACTCATTTACAAACTCATTCAACAAATCAATGATAATTTAATATATAATAACAATGACATCCATTGAGGACGGACACACTTCAATAACTCATGCATATTTAGCATTCAAGACATTACATTTTTATGAAATTTGAAGAATAAAAAAAATCGTTTAGAACTACATAGCACGACATTCTATTATACTATAAGTACGAAATTAATTCCTTTGGAAAGATCTAAACTCCTTTAGTTATAGGTAAACTAGTTCCCGACAATCATGACAATACATTCTTAGCGGCTAGCCTCCAATGCCTATAGCTATGTGATAATATTCAATACAGATATTTATATCATCGCCTAGCCTCCAATGCCGGACAATCAGCCGTCACGATCAGCGGAGAGTCACAAAGATATATTCTTGCTAAATCTATATACTGAATCTAATCAAGTTAGATCTAAAGTATTGGATCTAGCTGTCTACTTGCCTTTGACAATGTTGGCTCAAAACACTAAGATCACTTGTTTTCTGGAAACACCCTCGAGTGGATGATAATTTTGTGATTTGACGCAACATTTTGGAAGCCATACTGGTCAGGATTGTGATTACTGTCAACTGTGAGCGCTTGTACGGGTCTTACGTCTGTGGCTGCGTATAAGGACTCCAATCAGGACCCCCTGGACAATCACCCCCCCCCCCCCGGAAAATCACCCACAAGACAACCACCCCGGGGACGATTAAAAACACCCACCCCTGGGAAATTACCCCCCCCCCCCCCACTAAGACAACCAAGGACAACCACCCCCTCCGAGGAAAATTCCCCCCTGTCCATTGAAGGGAAAGTCCTCCCAGATAATAATTGATATTCATTCTTTTTTAGGGGTAATTGTCCTTGGGGTAGAGGGGGGGGGGGGGGCTAATTTTCCAAGGGGTTAATTATCGGGGGCTACTTTTCAGGGGAGAATTTTCCTCGGGGATGGGTGTGATTGTCCAGGGGGGTAATTTTCAGGGGGGGGGGTAATTATTTTGTTTAACCCTTGACCGATATGTATATGTACGTATAGGTAGAAAAGGAGGGGTGAGTATATGTGACGGTTAGGTCAGGGGCGGGGCGCGGGCGGGGCATCGGTCGGTGAAGCTGCAGAGGTCTCAAAAGAGGACGGGGCCGGGGGGGGGGGGGGCTAGTGGGGGATATGGATGGGGTATTGGCGGATAGGGATGTGGGCGGACGGGGGTGTGGGTATGGGCCGGAATAGTTTTCAGAATACCCTGCGACCGTAACGTGATAAAGAAGCCTGACGTAAACTTACCATGCACCAAGTATATTAACATCTGATCATTATTTTTAGCCGCTGGAATATGTCTTAGAACTAACGTAAGTGTACTAATAAATACTAGGCCTTGTAACAGTGGCAGTATGAATATTGTAAATAATTGTCAATAAACACCTTTTTTTATCACGTGTACCTCCATCATATATAAGAAACAAACATTACCAGGGGCGGCGAGGGAGGGGGGAACGAAATGCGAGGACGAGGGAGCAGTGGCGTAAGACCAAAACGTTTGGGGGCAAAAAAAATCCGCATCACCACACTCTTACGTGTTACGCAGGCCTGGGAACATTTTCAAAGGTGGGGGGGGCTCAAAGTATTTACGATCAGGTAGAGCAAAGCAAAGCAAATGGAGCGTAAATTGGCGTTGGGTCCAGGGGCAAAGCCCGGCGGGTGTCAAGGGGCGGAGCCTCATGAAGCTCAGGGGTTTTTGCATTTATTAAGGTCAGATAAGCATCCTGGGGCGGAGCCCCCGGAAGCTCAGGGAGTTTAGGCATTTAATTACGGTCAGATGAGCATATTTTGATGCCTTATTTGTGACAGTGGCAGGCAGGTCACTTGGAGTGGGGTCCAGGGGGCGGATCCCAGAAGCTCAGGCGTTTTAGGCATTTAATTACGGTCAGATGAGCAAACCATGCAGGGTCCCGCTTAGGGCCCTTGTGGGTCCAGGGGGGCAGGGCCCCCGAAACTCAGCGAAAAATCATGCCATTTCAACAACATTTGTAAATCACTGGTATCGAACTAGAAATAAACCACGTTTGAATTGGGGGGGGGGGGGTAAGGTCAACTTTTTTTAGGTCAGCCAATGGTTATAATTTTTTTTTTTTTTATTTTTTATAATAAAAAAAAGAAGCTCCCCCCCCCATCAGTACGTAAGTAGCATACTGAATGAGAGGCAGGGGTGAAAGTGACGGAAGTGACTACCCCCTCACAGGTTATGTTGTATTAAAGAATTACATTCCTTAACAAAACTATAGTATAAAAACAAGCAATATACTTTTTTCACAATTCATTTTCTCGGTTTTTGCTTGTACATTTTGAAGGATATTATGCGAGAGAGCGTAGCTACCGAGTGAGAAGATTTTTGCATTGTTATTGTTCTAAACGCTGCACTCTTGGGCCCCCAGAGCTAAAAGTGTGTTGCAGTCTTTAGTCAGTATTTGCTATACATTTTGGGGGGCACTTTTTCAAATTTTGAGGGGGGGGGACGATCCCCTTCCATCCAGACCTTCAAGAACTGCACTAAGACCTACCTTTTAAGAATTAGTTATTAATCTATAATTTGAATTGAAAAATGTATATGCCTACAACTTGTAATATATAAATAAAATCTTGACCAAATTGTTGTATCATTATTTAAGAATGAATATCTATCTAGTTACTGTTATATAAATTTTAGTTAAGATCTTGTCAGATTTTTTGAAATTTTTTGAGGATAGTTCAATAGTAGATGTATGTAATTAATTAAGCTTGTAATACATGTAAAGCGGCTAAGGACATACCTTGTATAATGCGCTATAGAAATATAATTTATTATTATTATTAAAAAATTGAGGGGGGAGGTGTAGCCGTTTCCCCTCCATTCCCCCCCCCCCCCCCCCCCCCCCCCCCCCGGGATCGCGCCCCTTGCCTGAACATTACTATTAAAGTGCCTCGGTGAAACATAATATCACTCGGGAAATCCTTATTTGTCGGTTCACATAATTATGTTATTATACCGAAACGCCGAAGCATGCAATATTTGCATAACAACCTTATTTTTCCAAGGTAATTTTATGATCAACAGATACTAGATATTAGAAAAGTACCAACATAATATATAGAGTGCCTGAATATTGGGAAATCCAGAATTTGCTTGGTTATGTTTTTGTTCTTTTTTGTTTTCGTTTCCTTTTGTTTTCTGGTTTTGGTTTGTTTCGTTCTTAATTTGTTTCGTTTTGGGTTATTGTTAGAGATACATCTTCACTCAATGTATGGTAGGGTAATTATATCAGGACCTATAGATGTGTATTTCTAAGTAAATTGCCCCAAGCAACAACAAAAAAGTGAAATTGTCCTTTCTTCAGATCAATTATTTCGTATGGAAGAAGAGAGACTGGTGGCGAAGTTCACATATTGTTGACATTGCATAATTTTATCCAAATAAAAAGTGGTAGCCTTAGGAACACATGCAAGTAAGTTTTAACCATGGCGAGCTTGAGGTACACCCTGTGCTATGTTCTCTCCGCTTTTGCGATCGTAGCATGTTGCTTATCGTCATCGGTTTCATGTTGCGATCAGCCAGTGGTTCAGACATCGACGGCCACCTTTCATGGTAAGAGTTCGAGATCAGCTCAAAACAGGTCCCCGGTTTCGAGCGCACTGTGGATGTCTACTCACAAAACCGTATGCCGAGCCACCGGTTGGTAATCTTCGATATGCCCGCCCTGTGCCGAAATCGATTGTCGGTGACTTTGACGCAACGAGGGACCCGGTCGGCTGTGCTCAAATTGAATTCCCTGCTATGGTCCTCGATTTCACCTTTTTGAAGACTGCCTTTTTCTTGATGTAGCAGTTCCACAACCCCAGGTATATCCAAAGTTATTTCATTTTCAATATTTCAAGGAGTGTGTGAGTAAAATAGGCGTGAGGAAGTCCCCCCCCCCCTGCCCCCGGCCGAGAATGTTAAAATACCGATTTGTGATTTTCGGGTAAACGAGCCCGAATATATAATTGTAATTTTGTTTGTAAATATTTTATCGAAGAGTATTTTGATGACGGAATAACATTTTTTATCAAATTCATGCGTATTGTTTGTTTAAAAAATGGTCGGGAATATTGAAGAGAGAGAGAGAGAAGAGAGAGAGAGAGAGAGAGAGAGAGAAGGGGGAAACAAAAAGATTTGCTGCCAAATGGACAGGATTCATTCATTTTTTAAATATATATAACCTTTGCGGATACCATTATTTTAACAACAAAAATTACCAGTCTTTTCGTGGTACACTGTTTCTAGCTAAATATCAAATTGAAATAAATCACGCGTTTTACTATCTTTCTGCTTGTCTCTCATACACCCCTTTTCTATCTCTTAATCTATGATGTATAATTTGTCTCCGAGAAACGGTTTTCTTCATGTTTTTCATCGTTCAGGCGCGGATCCAGAATTTCTTAGGGGGGAGGCCCAAATTTAAAAACAATTTGAAATTTAGTGTGCTGAAATTTGAAAATCGTGCCGGCCGATATTTCGCTCAGCATGCTGTGGGGGGAGGGGGTAGTGAGCACTAATTTTTCTATATCTTTTTAGCCCCCGGAATTTTAAAAATCGTGCCGGTGGATATTTCCCTCAGTGGGGGGGGGGGGGGGGGGTAGTGAGCACTAATTTTTTTTTCTATTTTGACCCCGACAAACACACTTAACACCCCCTCCCCCTTGAGCAAAAAATAAAGGTAATTTTTTTGTCACAGTTTTTTTTTTCCGTTTTGGGGGCTAGGGGGGGGGGGGATCCGCGTCTGACATCGTTGTACATAAAATTCGCCTCGTCTAAATAAATATGTAATTACATGTGAGGATCACAAGGTCTGATGTTGAGTGTCGGGACACTGATAACGATTAATGGATGATTAATTAATATTTTGAGAAGTGCCGCTGCAAAGTGTGCTTCTCGTTTACATTATCATTATTATATAGCTTAGAGCTCTATTCTGTCTAATCATGGAATATCTGCAACTATCTGGATTCTTATTTGCCATAGGCTACTTCTAAATCACCCTGATCATCAAATCTGGTTGTATACGACATGCCTTTTCCCACTGAACTCTAAACTATAAGTAGTGTAGAGGTCGGTGCTTTTCCCTCTTCCCTTCTCCATCTCTCTCTCTCTCTCTCTCTCTCTCTTTCTCTTCCTCTCTCCCTTTCTCTGTCTCTCTCTGTCTCTGTCTCTGTCTCCTCTGTCTCTTTCTCTGTCTCTCTCTCTGTCTCTCACCCCCCTCCTTCCGGCTCCTCCCATAAATCATTTCTAATAGCATTCATTAATCAAAGGTGACTGTGACAACTATTGTCATTTACTGAGTTTTACTACAATACACATTGTGATTTTTAGTACTTGTGTTTCTTTAAAAATGATTATTCATATCCAAGAAATAATTAGATATGTATAGATATTAACCATTGGGAGAATCGCTAGTAATACCGTTGCGAAAATCAATCTAATCAATAAAAAACCCTTTCATGAACGAACTTTGAAACGAAAAACGACTGACTTTTCCACCGCAGCCTGAAAATGCAGCAGTGATGGTGTGGATACATGGGGGCGGCTACCACGTTGGAGCCCCTAAGGGGCACGCCAATGATACACTGTTCTTTGCTGCCATGGGCGATGTCATCGTCGTCACCATCAACTACCGTCTCGGTATGCTCGGCTTTATGACGACAGGTACGACATGGGTTCCTCTTTTCTTGCGTGTTTGAGAAAGTTGGGATCTACAGGACAGTTTAAAAATCAGCTGAAAAAAATTGTCTTTGTTTAAATTTCAATAAGGTGTAGAATATGTTGTAAAAAATACTGTATTTCAATATTGAATATTGATGCGCCTTGATCGAAGGTTTTAGGGTATGCGTATAAATTATTAATAAACTCAATTTATCAATATTATAGTTGCAAACTATTCAAAATTCGATTGACGCACACATTTCTTTAGGAATTTATTTTCAAAACAAATCTAAAATCGAATTGTTATCATCAAGTAGTCATGAATCTCAAAAACAAACTGTTACTCTCTTGATATTGTATTGTAAATTTCATTGTTCTCCTTCTACCTAATTTAGTCGATTTTGTACAAACGGTTGGGCCTAATTCTCGTTTTCAAGACAAGATGACAGACTTAACATTTGCTATCGTAACCACATTTGATTTTGGACAGTCTTCTCGGTAGTTTTGAAAATGTCTCCGATGATTATTTTCAAATGCAAATTAGTATCAAAATTTCACATTTTTGTCGTGAATTCATTTAAGTACTTGTTTCTTTGTGTTTTACAGGGGATGATTCTATGCCGGCTAACCTTGGTCTTCTAGATCAACGTCAGGCATTATTATGGGTACAGGAAAATATCGCTTGTAAGTATGTAAGTTCATTAGTAGACAAAGAGGAGAATTCGAACTTTTTCAAAAATCTTCTTCATAAAGTAAATTTGAATATAAGTGCTAAAAGCAGACTATATAGTTTTTTTGTCATGCTGACTTCAGGGGTAGTACGAGAGGATGACAATATATTATACCTTGTTAGTGTTAGTATTAGTAGACCAGCCAAGACATTTAAACGTTATTCATTTCTTTGGACGGCATTTTGGGGCAATACATGGCACCCATGCTAAAACTCTTGCAAAAATACCAAATCATTTCTTAGTTTTTTACAGTTTAAGCATGGTTGCCATGGGATCTTTCTCTGGAGCCTTTTTTGTAATGTTTGGCTGGTCTAGTATACATTGTATTCTTCTTATGTCGTCGACAGATAAGTTGATCTTCAGCTGACGGATCGCCATCTCGCCTTTTCATTTCTCGTTAGCAGAATTTAGACTTCAAACTGCGGAGATTGAGATCTCGTCTTTTCGTAAATAGAATTTTGATTCCGAGGTCACGAGATCGGACTTTAACAGTTATGTTTGCTATCTCTTCATTATTTTTTGTTACCCCTTCTATGAAATGACAAATTCAAGGTGATGAGGCTGTAATTTTGTCCTCCTGACATTTTGTCAACAAAAATTAATCTCGAGGTGACGGCATCTCTTATTCTTGTTGTCTTGTCGGTAGAATGTAAAATACAAGATAACGACATCGGGACCTTATCTTCCCGTCCTCTAGTCATCAGAAGAAACAAAAGTATATTTCAAAGTGTCGGAGTAACGTTCTTTGTCTTCTGACAAACTAAGTTTGATCTCGGGGTGACGGAATTGTGAGCTCGTCCTTACGTTTTCCCGTCACCAGAATGTCAACTTCAAGGTGACGAATTCGGGATCTTACCCTGTCCCCTCATCAGCTGATCAGCAGAAGGAAAGGTGATATCAAGCTTAGAATATGGGCATCTGGTTCTCCTGTCTTATCATCGGGGGGGGGGGGGGGTACTTCGATCAAGATGACGATATCGGGATCTCACCCCCGGCTTTGAGATCAGCAAAGTTTCGACTTGGCAACTTGCCTTCTGTGGCACTAATAAGCTTCCATAGTCAGGTACAGCAAGATGTCTGAGAAAGAAAATAATTACCGCTATCCATTTCTACGTACTTTCGACGTAGATATCGAAAGAAAGGGCAATTCAATTCACTTCCAACACTATTTACTGGATTGACATCTTTTGGTGTATTTTCTTTTATACATGTATATCTCTTTTTTATTACAAGACTCGAAATGCCTAATACTTCGTTTAAGTAAGATAATCGCTCACACTTCTCTTTAAAGTAAAACAAATGGACACGTTATTTTTGGTTGCCATTTACAGCGTTCGGTGGAGATCCGAGTCGTGTGACCATTTTCGGTGTGAGTGCTGGATCAGGTAGTGTCAACCTCCATCTTCTATCACCCATGAGCGCTGGTCTCTTCTCTGGAGCTATCATGCAGGTACTGTATTTCATAGTGATCACGTAGTGGTGATGACACTTATTAAGTTTGTGATGGTGTGTTGGATGTTGAAGCACAATGTAGGATGATGTGGGTGTGACGGAGATGTTTGTGCTAGCTTGGGAGTGTCGTATGGTGGTAGTAGTGCGAGTTATAATGATATAATAGTGATTGTGATTCTTAATTTCATCTTCTGATATTGATTTCTTGTGGGAAACCCCTAAAACAGAGCGGTGCCCTGACCTCGTGGACACACCAACCGGTTCAAACTAACATTGATATGACCAAGGCTTTTGGAAAAGAATTGGGTTGTGACGGCGCAACATCAGTCGAACTTGTCAGTTGCCTACGAGGAAAACCAGTCGAAGAACTCATAGAGCTCCAACAAAATGTAAGCAGGACTCCAGGGGCTGATCCAGGATTGTCAGACATTGGGGAGGGAGGTCGAAGAAATGATTAATAATTATCATGGAATAACCCCCTCCAAATATGAATCTCAAAAGTCCCCATTGTGAGTTGTGATTAAAGGTAGAAATTAGGGAAGGGTTTGGGTGAAGAATTGAAGTAATTCCCCCCCCCCCCCGAAATTTATTTTGAATGGGGACTGTAGGCGGTCCCTTTACCCCGACAGAATTCACCTATAGGCATAATAACATTTGCTATGCTGATTGTGGGGGTGGTATACGTAATCTTTTTATAAAACAAAAACAGTATATATTTAGTCAAAGCGCATCGATTGCAACGCAGTTATATTCCTTATGTTCAACCGGTATAACTTCACTTTGTAAAAAGAGAGAAGTGTCTCTCGAATTTTTGGCTTGTCTATAAATTGATAAATTGTTGGATTAAATAACGAATTTCCCACGTAATAATACATACTATACACGTGAATTCATAATTTATGTTTATATAAGCCACGTCTGACTCAATACCCAGGCAACGACAAATCTTGCACGCTACACGGTCTTCCCTGTACCCGATGGTGAGTTCCTTCTAAAGGACCCCTTCTTGCTGGCAGCTGAAGGTTCCATCAACCCGGCCAACGTTATGGTCGGATGTCTCTCCGAGGAAGGCAACATGGCGGTGGTGCCCATGTTCGGTAGGGACAGGGTGAACAAGGAAGCGTACGGTGTGTACATGGCCAACATCCTGCAGATGCGAGATCCGTTGATCCAGGATCTTGCCACTGTTGTCTTTGGTTCAGATGAAATGGTACGTTACAGCAAGTGTTTATTAATAATACAGGGGCGTTGTGACATTTTGAATACGGAGTATGGAGCCTAAATAATTTACCGACAAGATATATCAGATTTGCAAGTTGCCGACAATAATACAAGGAATACATCGCATTTTTCCTGTAAGCCAACAAGGTCATTAGTATTTCAGATTTCCGAAAGCCTATAAAAATTACGCATTACGACAGCCAATTTTTGATGGGGTGTCACACCATGGACCTACTAAGGTCCATGGTGTGACACCCCCATCTTACTCGTTCTAGCGGCGCTCCTGATAATGATGATGACATATCCCAATCATGGCGGGGTTCATGATTCTTTGATCTGGACGGGTATATGCTTGCACCGCACATCTCGAATGTGACTATATTAAAAACAAAACAGTAGCCGGGATATCACGTTTAACATGCCAACATTTGTTGTTTCAACCTCGGCTCAGTCTTATAAAAAGTTGCGATTGATTCGAATCGATCGCAATTTGAAATTAATCGCAACTCCTTTCTCTTAGTACACAGTTGCGATTAATAGAAATTGCGATTTGATTCGGATTGATCGCAACTCGTTATAAAACTGGGCCCCGGTCTCAACAATCGAGCCGCATCTAAATAATGTTATAAACTACTTAATTTTTTCGGTTAAAAAGGACACGTGAACTCACTATATCCCCCATTTTTTCTTTAAACTATCACTCGAAATATGCTGACTTAAATTTACTTCATCACCCAGTAAATTATCTTCAAAATATTCTCTCCATACAGTTCAGTAGTCTTGAGCCAGATTACAGAGATGCCGCTGCAAACTTTCTCGGGGACAGTGTATTCTTATGTCCAACATTCGATTTCACTCAGCTCCTCGCTCAGGCTGGGAAGACTGTATTTTCCTATTTGATGACGCACCGACCCAGTCACTCAGTCTGGGGCAAAAACATGACCGGGCTCGGGCCAACTCATGGCGAGGACGTTGCGTACGTTTTTGGCGCACCATTCATGTATGATAACGATGCCGACGACGAAGATCAAGACTGCTACCTAGTAGGCCGTTTCAACGTCGAGGAGGTTGAAGTGTCCATACAGATGATGAAGTATTGGTCAAATTTCGGAAAGACCGGGTAGGTTGGGCGTCAACCCCTCAAGTTTCAAGTTTTCAAGTTCAAGTTTCAAGTTTCAAATTTCAAGTTTCAAGTTTATGTGAAACTATACATGGAGGCGATAAGGAATGATTTAACGGATTCCCCCTGTAATTAACTGGCACTCGGTACTACCCCCCCCCCCCACTCTCTCTCTCTCTCTCTCTTCTCCCCCCCCCCCCCACTCATCCATCTTGATGAGGCCAGTGCTGCGACTTCATTCAGATTTTACAAGATTAAGGTTATTGTAATCTCCCATGTTGCCAAGATAATTGTTCACACGTCAGATAAGCTGTAGAATGCGGGACTCCCTCTCTCCTTATTATGTCCGCCCTTATTGATACAGTGTCCCTTATAATTATTGTTCACATTTTATTTAGGTTCAATCTTTAAGATCACTGTCGATCAATGTCGTCAACAATTAAGCGCATGTTGATGCTCATAATTATGAAGGTGGTTACATATTTATTTTTACTGCGGCTTAAACCAATTGCTCACGTGGCGTATGTCATTCCATTACGCTAGTCATTGCCCATTGGATAATGAGCGTCACTATGTTTTGCTGACTTAGGATTGCGTCAGGGGCCCAGTCTTTGCCGGGCGATGTGTGAACGGCATCGTACAAAAGATGCATGTAAAATGAACACGTAGACGTCGTCTAGAATCTGCGCATGCACAATATTTACCTTTATACGCTTGATGGGCGTTTGTAATAACGCAGCTAGGTGAAATGACGCTTATATTGGTAGTATAAGGGGTAATTATTGCAAGTTACGGTAACTATAATATATTCATTGCAATATTTACACTATTCATGTATGATATCACTGGCGCATCAAAAACCAGGTAAGTTGCTATAACGCTAAAACTCAGCGAATGACGTTTCGTGTGTGACGGGCATAATATGTCCGTCGCACTCAAGGCGTCGGATTGTATTTCATTATGCGCTAATCAAGTCTCTAAATTAAGGCAGTTAGTGCATGACGCCAGTCATTCAAAGCTATGTTTTCATTGTTTATGTTGCATTTATATTCGACTTGTACGGTGTCATTTATGACGGCACGTCAAAAACTACGTCAGTGGTTGACGCAGCCCTATTATAAAGGCCTTTAGCAAGTGACACCGCGTAACATACAGCGGGCAAAGGTAATACAAAGTTTTTGTATGGGGTCATGAATATGGTTCAAATGAAAATATTTGAAGCATATGTAATTTTACAACATTCAATGATTGTTGTCACGGTTAAAATCAAGTTAAGTGATGAAATTGTAAATAATACTCTTTATGTTGCATAGCGCCCTTTCAAGACTGATATTACTTTAGCTTTAAAACAATGTTTCTTGACTACAATCGACCGATTTGCTATCCAGTTTGGAAATTATATATCAGAACTGCATATCCTGAAATGGTCATGGTCGCAGCTACCATGGAATGGCCTTATGCGCTATTTGAAATATTTGAAATTTACCGGGAGCTCGAAAGCAGAAGTGTTTTAGGGGAAAATTTTTCTAGTGCTTATTTTACATCCACAGGGGCATCCAAATATATCAAAATTGTAAAGAATTACTATCCATCCAATTTTCAAAATTTCCAAAAACATTGCATTACCTGGAACCGTGGTTCATTTGATAATTTCCTTCCACAGTGATCCTAATCTATCTTCTACTGAGTCAGCTGTCGAGTCTGAATTTCCAGTTTGGCCGATCGAAGTACACCACCTTGAATCCAAAGTTCAAAGAGCTCAACTCGCAGTTTGAGAATCGAGCCGGGAACCCATTCGCCAAGAGGTGCCACTTCCTGAAGAATATTCTGCCCAATCTTTTGGGAAATACAGGTATTAATCCACTTTGTTTTTGTCAGACGATAACTTTGTATATTAAATGGCAGGAGACAGAAACACGGTCAAGATTTCGCTTGAAAGTTTCTGTCGTTTTGCCCTAATATTAACTTTCCTAAATGACTTGCTTTTTGCATTCCTATGTTGTATGTTTTAAATAGTTAGCTATTTTAGAATCAATTTTACAACCGAGAATAACCTGGAGAAATGCAGTTCAGTCGGATCTGCACGATGATCGCTTTGCATGGACCCGATCCACATGATACTACTTTGGTCACAAGTTGTGGAATATAAGACTTTATGATATATAATAATAAGCCTGTGATAATTCACAGGAAGGGCTGCACATATAAAATTTAAAATATCTAATGATCTCTGTTATTTTTGTTCTTCATTCAGCTGAAATTGAGCGCCTGAAATCCCTCTTGGAAGGTAGAGTCAACTAAGGAAGCTGTAACGATCCTCAGTCCTGCCGATAGTGTTCAAGGAACAAAAGCTTTTCTGCAAATCTTACTGATGTCTCTACGACAAATACATATAGAGTTGCTGCATTTAAAATTATAAACTGAAGCTAAATAAAGTCGAAGAAACATATGGCGGTTAAAGCATGCAATGTATACATCAGTTTATACTTTCTAAAGCTGAAATAGACGGTTTGGAATCATTAATATTCTTAATGTTATAAGCTCCGTCACTGATCGTATTATGAAAAGTTCTCGGGATTATGGTCATATAGAGATTAAAATATATTTGATGGGTACTTTTTTATCGAGGAGAAGAATATGTAGGGGTAAATATTTACTAGAAATGATAAGTAAAAAAATACAAGCTTGCTAAAACATTTTCTAGTGCAGTACGCTTTTTCAGGTTCAGATGCTGGACCTATACCGACATGATATACATCCTTTACCATTATATTTTTAAAAGCAGGAATCACGATAGCTTGGACCATAGCTAAGGCTAAGAGCACTTATTTTCTAGGAATAAAATATATAGGGGGTATTAATCATACCATAAAAGATAGAATCTTGTACGCTTGTAACATAGGTTAGGAGAAGAGCACTTATTTTCATTTTCATGATTTCACGATAATAAATGATTACCCCCCCCCCCTCTCACTCTAAATCTCACCTCCTCCCCCCCCCCCCTTCCCGGCTCCCTGCATGCCCTTTCATCTAATTCCCTATTGTCCTAATCTGCCTCCTTTATTGGAATCGTGAAACAGAATGTTCTGAATAACGGATAGTGTATATAATTTATATAGAAATGTTTGCTTTAGATGCACAATGGAGTAGAAAAAGAGGGCCCTATCGGCATAAAGGAAATTAATTGCATTTTCTTGAAATAATACTATAGAATAAACAAAAACTTATGCTATATAATGACAAATTTAGATAAATGTTGGACTTTGTTTAAACAATTTAAGTATAAATAACAATTTGGAAATCATAATAATCATATTACTTGTAGTGTTCTTTTTGACATTATGTAACTTTCTCAATTAAAGCCCCACTGTACTACTTATAGCTACTTGCTCCCTCTATATAGAAACAATACCTAATCGGTGACCATTGGTCCCCCATAATCCTCTTTTTCTTATGTTAATTGAGAGCTGAGTTAATGAGATAGCCACCTGCCGGTGACCACCCCACCCTGGGTGGTCTAATCCCTCCTAGCCAAACTAGTACAGATGGCCTTAAAAACAAAGAGTTTCTCTTCTTCCTTCCCATTTCCAGAATCTCACACACTCTCTCTCTCTCTTCTCTTTCTCACTCTGTCTCTCTCTCTCTCTCTCTCTGTCTTTCTCTCTCTCTCTCTCTCTCTGTCATTCTCTCTGTCTTCTCTCTCTGTCTTTTTTTCTTTTCTCTCTCTCTCTCTCTCTCTCTGTCTGTCTCCCATCTCTCTCTCTGTCTTTCTCTCTCTCCCTGTCTTTCTCTCTCTCTCTCAGTCTGTCTTCCTCTCTCTACCTCTGTCTGTCATTCTCTCTCTGTGTATGTGTCTCTGTCTGTCATTCTCTCGCTCTTTCTCTCTGTCTGTCTTTCTCTCTCTGTCTTTTTCTTTCTCTCTCTGTCATTCTCTCACTGTCTCTCTCTCTGTCATTTTCGCTGTGTCATTCTCTCTCTGCCTTTCTCTCTCTCTCTGTGTCATTCTCTCTCTCTGTCTTTCTCTCTCTCTCTCTCTCTCTCATTCTCTGTCTTTCTCTCTCTCTGTGTCATTCTCTCTCTGTTCTTTTCTCTCTCTCTCCGTCTGACATTCTCTGTCTTTTTCTCTCTCTCTGTCATTCTCTCTCTGTCTTTTTTTTTCTCTCTCTCCGTCTGACATTCTCTCGATCTCTCTCTGTATGTCTGTCTTTCTGTCTTTCCTCTCTCTCTCTCTCTGTCTGTCATTCTCTGTCTGTCTGTCTGTCTTTTTGTCTTTCACTCTCTCACCGTCTTTCTCTCTCTCTCTGTTTTCCTCTCTCTCTCTCTGTCCCCTTTCTCTTCGTCTCTCTTTCTCCAGCAATTATACACACCCCTACTCATTCTCTTTCATCTCTTTCCCCCTTGTGCTCTCCTCTCTCTCTCTCTTCATATTACTTCAGTTACATTTTCTGTGTGACTCTGCTGCTACAAACATGACATCTGAGGAATATTTGTATTCTTTATCTTATTTACATTTTAATAAGCATAATTTATACTTTATAATATATATTCTATACAAAATGCATTCTTTTATGGACAAGATAAAAATGCAAGGCTCATTGGAATGTACAAGATATACAAAATCGGTGCATAAATCAGAAGCTTGTAAACCTCTATAAAAGATAAATCATGTACAGTTTATATAGTTGACTCTGTATAACCCAAAGATGCACGAGTCAATTTTTCCCTAATTTGAATCAATTTTTTTTTACCAGACTATGTGCAACATGTGTAATCTACACTTTCTAAGTCAAATTTTGCTTAATTCAGACCAAATTATTGTGGTCCCAACAGATTCAACTTATGCAGAGTTAACTGTAATTCATATACAGTATTTGGGTTTTTGGTTTAACACAGTGGATGTATTCTTTCTATCACTAGGTACTGCAGTAAAGCATATTGTATTGTATAGGACTTCTCTGTTATAAACAGTTTTAAATGCTTATGAAAACAGGATGGAAGAAAACCATGAAGATATGAACATTTAAAGGCACATTCAGTACACTCAAATGACACTTGATAGACACATACCTTGTATATTTTATTTCTGATGATGCTCTCTAAATATTAATTTTCAAATTTTCCATTCTTGGAAGTTGAGTACCTCATGACCTTATCATATCTCCAGCATCAGAGTCAGCATCAGAGTCTAGAATGTTACCTAATTAATCTACGGTTTTGCAATACAGTACAAGCAATATTCAAGGTCACAAAGAAAACATCTAGTGAATTATAGCAAAAGTGGAATGGACGGATGAATATTCTTATTGAAGCCTTCACAGTTGGCTTTGCATGATCAAGTTCTTGGGGGTTTTCCACTATCTACCCAATCCACATTTGACTTGGTATGTAGTCAAGCAAGAGAGAAGAAGTCAATTATTATTCCTGCTTTGATGAGACTTGGATACTTTCAAAAGTTCCACATTGATTTTTACAAATGGTATCTCGTAATTCCATTATCAAGTCAATCCTCATCTATCGCCGTATGTTGTTAGCAATATTCAATGTCACAAATAAACAGCAAGTGAAGCCCTGAATTAGAACGGACGGATGAATTTGAGCTTTCTTAGAAGCTGGTTTTATGTAATAAGAGTTCTTGACAGTCTTCTATTGTTTGCCCAAGTCAAACTGTCAGAACGGAGAACTCAATGGGACTTTGATGATAGAAATCCTATGTGAAGAAATATGCCATCTCCTCTTCCTCTTTGTTTGCTTTCTCCTTGGAACGGTCAACTTTGCGTTTGGTCTGTGGAGGCTCCGAACGTAGACAAGTTTGCGACCAGTCTGTAACAAAAGTAAACAAAATACACGAGTTAATGCCTTTCTGGCTCTCAGCAGATGAAATACTGCAAGCTACAAGAGACTCATCAACACTAGAAGAATAAGGTGCTATGATAGAATGAAAGGTAGTGTCATTTGTACTTTAAAATGCTACCAACAGAGATCTACTATGACAGGATGAGAGTTACTTTATACACAATTCATGTACCTTCAAATGAATACAAATGCCAATGGTATTCTAAGGTCCTAAAATCTAATGATAGTGGCTGGCTCATCTGTTGGCTTTTTAAATATAAATGATATCAATGAGATTTTAAAAAAGCAATAGCTTTACATAACTTGACTAGCATTAAAAAGAAGATACTTATTCATATCGTCGCTGTTTTCACGAAGTGACGGTAGTGGAAAAAAATTGCATTCACTTTGCGTTACGATTTTCCTCACTACCGTCACTTCGTGAAAACAAGGACGATATATTTGATGAACGTTCATATAAAAATGGTCAAATACATTGGCAGATTGAGGTTTGCCATGAAGTGAATCTTGTATATCTTTAATGAAATAAAGCCCAGAGGAAATGTTACAGGAGCACACGTTGGATCGCCTGACACCTACCTTCTTCTTAGGATCTGCCTGTGCCCTCTCCAGCGCTCTCCTAACCCTCTCCTCCTGGTGGATCCTCTGGGCCTCCAGCTTCTCTTCTCGGAGGCGGAGACGTCGCTCTTTCTCCTTGGCCTTCTCTGCAGCCTCTACCTTCTCTGGAGGCATGGTCTCAATGCTCTCAAAGAGCTCCTCAAGCTTGTTCTCTATGTTCGTCAGCATCTGGAGTGTGCTGTAATAAACGTTTGGGTCATATAAGTTATAACACACAATTCCATTTAATAAAGGGTTTCAGTCTCATCAGCACCTTTGATTAGGAAACTAGATATTGGCCCTTTATAAAAACCTGGATCGGATTGGATGGAAAGATGTAGGAGCCAGATCATGTTATATTCTGTTCATGATTTATCAGGAATGCTAGTGTAAATTATCTATAAGAAACTCCAAATGGAGGCTACCCTGCTATCCTCTTCAATATCATAACTTGTGGCATAGCAATCCCACAGACCTTTGTGCATTAGTGTTCACAGCAGAAGTGCTTATTTCACCCCTGACCAGCAATGTAAATTACTTTTCACCTCTCATTTCTTTAATATTCCAGCGAAAGATGAAAAAATTAGCACACATTTGATGTGGCAAATGAAGATTAATTTTTTGGCAGAGGACATAAGTGCAGCAGCCTAATTTGAACCCCGTACCGTGTGGATAACTGTCCATAGACGTTTCCACAAGACCACAATAGCTCTTCATTATGAATAATATGACGTTTTTTTAATCTTCTTCATGTTATGTAGATCTAAATGGAACACTTACCTGATATTAGCTTCATTGTCACCGATACAATTGGCATAGACCTCTTCTACTTTGTTGTTTAATGTATCCAACATGGCTTCCTGTATAAGACAATTCATGAGAGGGTGTGGTGATATTACAAATAGGCAAAACTTGTTACACAGCATATTCTCTAGGTACACAATGTCGAGTGACAGTACCTTGTGTTGTTTGGTGTTTACATTGAACAATTCCTTATACCTAAGCTCAGATCCATCAGTATAATGAGTTGGCTTTCTGTTTGATATTCAGAGTTGGCTATCTATTCTTTGTATACTAACATCAGAATTGAGAATAGATCATGTGATTGGTGCTCCTCACCCTTCAACTTTCTCAGGGAATCTTTTTAAATTTATATTGAAGAATGCCCACTCACAAGAGCTTGTCTGCTTCAACATTTTTAGACATCACACATGAAATCACATGACTAAAAAATATAGACAAGAATACAATCTTAATATATACAAACGAGAGAAAGATATGAAGAAAAGAGATAAAAATACAAAGAGATGCTAAAATCCACCATAGCAGAAGAAACATAAGACAGCAGGGTGCTCATGATGATTTTGCTGGAAACATAATAATATGCCCCACAGACATGAATTCAATGAAGGATGTATGAAAAATGATTTCATGCCATCTACATGCAGTCAGACAGGTCCCACAAAGTAGAGGCTATAAGAAAGAAATTGATGTTGGTGGGTTGACAAAACCTGGTAACTCATTTCTGACGAACCCCTACCTCCAATAATTTTGTGGCTGAGGAAAAACTTGATGTTTTAATATACCTATGCAATGCATATATGCAAAAAATTGTGCAATAAGCAACATGACATGGAAGATCAGCAATGCTTCTCCTACTCAACTCCTACCTCCAATGATTTTGTGGCTGAGAAAAAATTTGATGTTTTTATAAACCCATGCAATGCATATCTGGCTACAGATTATGCAATAAGCAACATGACATGGAAGGTCAGCAATGCTTTTATGCTGAACTGTTAAGTCTTTTTTCCTCTCCTAAAATTTGAGTTACAAGGTTTTATCACCCCATCAATGGCAATTTGTCTCTGGCATTGTACAACCGCTAACAGTCTTCATGAATCAGAACTTCTAAGCAAATAGTCTGTAGCAAAGGATGGAAAATGTATTCATCAACAATGGTGTAGTTGGAGTCTCGTAATGGCTCTAAATATCAGAAAATAACAGCTCTGATGGTTTTTAAAAAGTCCTATTCCAAATATACAGACTTCTTTCTGGTATTTCTAATTTTATCTTTGTCCCTTTACTTGTACAAGTATAATGCCTGTATAGTACTAGCACTCTTGAGATACTAACAATTCACTGATTACATTAAGGCTAAGGATTTGAGTGAGGATAGATATATCTAAAGGGAGATTGGGAAGGGATGATTGACTCACAAATCAATGTCTAAAGTATCAACCACAGACAAGACACATACGTTTTTAACCCGCAGAACTATGCACAGACTTCATGCACTAGCCGTAAAGACGAGATTCCCTCTAGAGTCTCCCATCCAGCAAAAGCAGGGCAGCTTTGATGATGACTGAGCAAGGAAATGTGGGATTCTTGGAGCAATGCTGAAGCAGATTTCATTCATGCAATATCATGCTCATAAAAAAAGAGAAGGGGGAAAAATCACCAGAGAAAGAAGCTACCCAGATAATACCAACATAACAGAGAGGATAACTCGTTCATCATAATGGATGTTCAAAGATTAAAATGATTCTTCAGCATGGCAAAATTATCCTTGTTTCAAAGGCAATTCATCTTTAGGTGATCACTTTCATTATTAGCCTCATAACTTATTCTAATAAAAAGGTATGGTACTCATTGTGTACATAAATTGGCAGTATCAAAGGGGTCAATAAGTACATAATCAATGTTATTACCCTAAACTTTTTAATAGCATGTACACATTTTGCAGTCTTCAAAAATGGCTAGTCCAATATGACCAAAATGATATAGTTCAGTGATTGATACATATCATTTTTTTTAAAAATAAGTACTTAAACTACCGGTACGTTCTGGAATGATAAAGATATACAAAGAATGTCCAAAAGACCAACAGAAATGGAAGCAAATAGGACCTAGCTGGCCAATAGGGGATGAATGTGGCATGCATTTCCATAGTCCCAGGCTGTAAGAGAAGGATTTGATACGACTCTTGGAACCTGAATCTCTTACGCTTGACGGTGACGTATCTACTGCTGACGCTTTTGTGGCCGCACTTGTGGATCCCTGCAGAAAAATTGTCACACCTCTAAATACAAAAAGCTGCTGATCTCAAGTTAAGACCCTTTGATATTTTTCTCCATAAAACATTGTGGACAAAAAGATCAACAGAATAAAGTAAAGACAAACAAACAAACAAACAACAGGATTGCACTGTAATAACAAATATGCACTACATAGTTGAGATGCACAAGTATAACAATTGAATATTTCATCAAATGTTAGCCTAAATATCTTTGCATCATAACAATACACTAAACATTTGTGAGATTAGTGAGAATAAATTGTAAGGTATTGCAAATCTTGTCTTGCTTTTGCTTCCATAAGTTTTGTCTCTCAACCATCCTCTGTTCCTTCCTATTCTCCCCCCCCCCCCCCCCCCCCCCCCTCTCTCTCTCTCTCTCCCTCTCAATGAATGTATATGTTGTCTCTTTTTCTTCTGATTATTTGTCTCTTTTCAAGTTGGTGTTTCATTGCAATGCTCATATTTTTCTATAGGACTTTGTGTACTTGATTGTATAAACATATATCTCTTTCTCAATATCTCTCAGTCTAGTTATTGATACATTACCATCTATACTAACACATTAATACAAAACATGTTAAACACTCTTACCTGATCTTCTGCCTTGAATTCACCAAAAGAAAACATTCTGAAGAAGAAAAAAAAACAATTAAAAACAATTATTAAATCACAAAGTGTGGTTACACTGCAGGAAATTTGATCCAAGTGAATATGTATATTTCAGTTACATCTACATTTCTTTTACACAAGTATAAAGTTTGTATTAATACATTCTAGGCACAATTGATGATTTAAAAGTCTATTCTCTAAAGCCTTGTTCATGCAGATACAAGACAGCTAATTGCTGTAAAAAAAAAACTGCCCCTGCAAAATAACATGAGATAAGTGCACTTCACAAATTCTGTATCTCATAACATACAGACAGATCTGTAAGTATGATAATGGACCTTTATTGTGCACAACCTTTTTTTCTTCTTTTATTCACACAATCAAAAACTTGTTTTTTTAGGGGCATTATTGTTACCATGTCGAGTCTAAATGGGGCTTCAATGATATCACAAACATGAAATGATTGATTCTAAATAAATACATTATAAAAAATGATTTTCGGAGACAGCTGTCACAGATCCTAAATGAGTATGTGAAATGGGATTATCATTATGTTAAAGCTTACTTGGATTTGTGCTCTAAATCTTTGGCCTTCTCCTCCTCTCTATCAATGGCACTTTTCAACATGTCAATCTGCTGCTTAAGAATCTCCGTCTCACGGTCCCTGCAATAAAACAAATACATCATTGCTTTACTATACATTCCATAATGCCGCATTGTAGTCTTGTTCCTGTCATTACTGGAAGCAGAATAAAAGTATAGAGTTGGGTATGAGTAGGACATGCAGTGAAGATTGGTGGAATGCACATCACACTAACATCAGGCAAATTCATACATATGTCTAACCAAACAGATATTGTGAAAATACAATGCTCTAACAGAAAAATAAATAGAATAAAAATATATTTACAGCAGAGCATTAGCATTGCAAGGAGGGGGAGGGGCAACAAAAGAAGGGGGCATATGGGGGAAGAGACCCCTAAAACTCTGGATACAAAGCTTGAACATCTGAGACATTGTGACTAAATGGGGCAATTATTAGACGTAGAGAGGGACAATTAAAAGAATGGAAATGGAGGCTTATCAATACTCGATTGGGGTACCAAACATTTTTTTTTTTTGGGGGGGGGGGGTGGGGGTGGGTAATGTGCACCCTCCCTAAACACCACCTTTGGATATGTGTGGTGAATAAGCATGAAATTCATGACTCCATACAGACATAGATTACATTAATATGCATCTGCTGCTTGTATGCTTTTCAATGGGATGTGAGCTGTTCTTAAATCTCAGTGTAGTCTGGTTAACTCACATTCTTGTCTCTGTAGCCGAGATGGTCTGCTTGATCTCTTCTAGGTTCTCTTCTGTTTCCTGACTGTTCTGGATCAAGGACAGGTTCTGTTCCTCCAGGTCAGCAAAGATGTCTAGGAGCTGCTGAGGGTCGATGAAGAACAGCTCTGGCTCCTGAAAAAAAAAACAATTTAAACAAATGATAATATGAACAAAAAGAAGAACAGCAGCAGCAAAACATAAACATAGTGAAGCTACTATACAAAAACGTACTCCAACTCCACTTTACAAAGTATTTATCATCCTGGTTTGTGCTGAGCTACAATGAAAAGATGCTCATTTAATGAATTCCTCCATACTCAATATTCACTAACATCCCCTGGGTCGAGAGAAACAAATTTATGCAGATTAATGTCTCATCACTGTTACAGACACAATCTATGTCATATCTATTTCAAGTTTGTGATTAAACTGATGTTTTAATTCATACCTCATCACTTTCATAGTCTGAGTCATCATCAGTTGGTCTGGCTTCATCTTCGCTCTTAGCTGCACTCTGGATTGTTGCTCTGGGAAGACAAAAGCGATGGAAAATACCATTGATTAAACCAAGGCCTCTCATGGATAAACAAAAATATTTGGGGGATTTTTTTTCTTCTTCACTTGTTTGACCCTATGAACTTTGAGTTTGATCCCTTACACAAAATTAAGTAAAAATTGCTGAATGATTCTGAAGTTATTGCAGTAAAAAGACATTTTCTAGGATGACCCTGCAACATTTGAACTCATTCACCAAAAATCTACTTAGTTAATGTTTTTCATCATTTCATATACTTGAGCCCAGTTCAGTTTCGTAAAAAAATACTTAAGTTCCATTGTCCACTTATTACAGTTTGAAAAGTGGGACAGACAACAAACAAAAATCTTGCAAATATGGGACATTACAGACAACTCAAACCAGTGAGAATTGGATGGACAGAGAAAAAACTGTAAAATTAAAAAAAAAATCAATGAATATATATTTTGTTTAATCAAATAAATCAATCAAGAACATATGAACAATTTCCAGCACCATTGTGCTGGAGGCACAAACAAACAAAAAAGAAGAAAAATCTGACCTTTTGATAGCTGATCCTTTTGATGGCTTGCCAACACCCTTTGACATACTGGATCTAGAATTCCTTCCATCGGTACTTGCTGATGTTACTGGAGTAAGAAAAAGATGATCCACATTGTCTAATGTGCTTTCATTGTAACACAGACATAATATCTACCCTTTCACATTTGAGGATGTGAAAATTTTCCTTAAATTTTTAAATGTATAAATGAAACACAGTTATTGTTTCCCTGCTATGATGATAAAAATAGCATCATACTCATGATAGATGTGTCCCAGACATGCCAGTTAAAATGTCTTTATAGAGTTAGATCAGGTTACGTTATATCAGGCATACCCATTGACTGCTGAATCCTGCATACACTTTAATACAGGGCCTACCCCGTCCCTGTAGGCAGCGGGATAACAAATGTATCTACTTTTGATAAATTGGGCATAATGAACGAACATTGTACTTGAGATTAATTGATGCCTTATTTGACAGCATCCATATTCTCCACTATGTGCCTACCTTTCTTCCTGCCTGCTGATGAAAGCTTCCCACGCTCTTTGTTCTTTACATTTCTCTTCTCAAGCCTCTCTTTCCTGTTTTCTTCTTTCCACTCTGAGGGTGTCAGAGAATCTAGAAATTTCTTGTAGAGTTGGTAATCCTTCAGCAGCACCTCGTTCTTTGAAATTTCACTACAAAACAAAGCAGTTATAAAATAATATAAACATGGTATTTGATATGTTCTACAACACATGCTCTGATGACAATTGTTCTATAGTAAATTTCTACCACTAACTTCAACCCTAAACCAACAACTAATTCTAGACCTATCCCAAAGCCAAAACATATAACCCAAACCCTACATCTTTAACAAACTACAGCCTGAAACAAATCTCACAAAAACATTTTGAAATCTAAATCATTAGAGCTGTACAAGATTCATTCAATGATAGAAGACTTCAACCTACTGAAGTAAAACAGATACTTTCTATCAGTTTGATGAGAATGGAGATGGCAGTGTAAAGCTTTACGTCCCTCGTCTTCTCATACCATTTGCTAAAGGAGATGAAGTAGCAACTAAAGGTTCAATTGACATGTATCTTATTGGGATCTTTACTAGAGCTCACGGCCAATGGGGTTTGGAAGAGACAGTGGATAAGAATGATAATGTTCTGAGACCTGTTTGGAATAATGAACATCTCCTAAATGCTCTAAACAGATGCAAAAGTATTCAAATTCCATTGTGATACACCTTGCTAAAAGGGTTTTTGTTTCAACTGTAGTTCCTAGAAGGGCCAGAAGAATTGAATTCTTTTTGTCTCAGTACCATTATTATAAAAGCGAAGTGCTAACAAAACACATACGACTTCTATGCAAATGAGGACGTAATAAAGGATTTATGTGTGTGCATGTACATTCCAGGACACTAGCATTCTCACTTGGCTTTGAACCAATGAAGCAGAGTGCATCTGTTCAAAGGATAAACCTATTATTACTATAAGAATTTACAGGAACTTACCCCCTGATACGTCCAATCTCTTCATTGATCTTACGGATTTCTTGCACTTTTTCCATCTTGGCCTTCGTTTCTGCTTCAGCTCTGAAAGAATAAGGAATTTAAAAGTAGATCAATCTAATATTTAAAAAAAAAATCCTCTATAAGCACCATCTAATTGAACGGCACCTCAAACTTGAAAAAAAAAATGAGGCCTGTTTTTTTCAAAATAATGATCTTGGACACAGACACAATTAGTTAAGACAAATTGTAATGAAATAAATGAATGCACAATGAAAATAGATTTACAAGTACTACTTCAAATATCTAGTGTCAGATTTCAATGAAATATACAACTAATGTGAACCCTTAATACAAGAATGCAATTTGCAATAGTAAGAGTTGTATATTTGATATCTGAGATACTACAGTGAAAAGGGAAAGGTTACAGTACTATTGATAGCTGCAATGTGCTCTGACACACAATTTGACAAATAACTCTGTAATCAAGAATGCATATCTATTGATCTATCTACACGTACAGTATGTCCCATCACTTGGAGTCCATTGAGGCAACAATGAAATGGACCTTGAGACACAGGCTCTCTATAATTTCCAGTTTCAGCTGTTCTAGTTAGCTGCTATGCATATATAAGGACAAAGAGACCCATCCTTGGTTTTCTGAGCTCACATTTTGATTGCTTCCACAGAGTTCTTATCATTCTCCTTGAGGAACTCATCAAACATGGCGGCATCCTCCTCCAGGTATTGCTCGGCCAGCTCCAGTTTCCTCTCCTCTGCCGATGCGATCTCCTCTAGCTTGCGCATCTCATCTCGCTTCACACCAAGCGAATACTGTACAAGGAACATCTCCCGCTTCTTGGCGATGTAGTCTGGGAGGCTCTCCTTCTCAACATGTCTGTCTGTTATTAATAAAAGGGAATTTCCACACTTTTAAATTTATTCACATGATGCAATTGCCCCCCCCCCCCCCCCTATCATAACAAAACAGCATAATTGATAAGACTAAGAATATTGTCCCTCCCATTTTAATATTTTATAACGTACCGATCAGTGAGTAAATGGACTTTGTTGCTTGCAGCTTTGGAGTTTTATCCTTGCCCTTACCCTTTTACAGTTTTTACACTTGCAATTCATTTTCATGTAAAACATTCTTTTGTTTTGCAGCAGCATTTTTGGCCTGGTTTATTTTGTCATTTATGAATAATACTTACCTCTTGTGACTGCGATGGTGAATGAAGGGTCATCCTTGACAGCGAGCGCCTGCTCATTCTTTTGACCATCTTCAGGATCAAGATCATCCAGTGGCCTTCGCATAGAGGCCCTTAGGGCGTTCACCCGAGATGTGTACGTTGTCTTCTCATGGACTTTGAGTCCCCTTTGCTTGATTCTTTCCTGTGCACAAAGAAAGGAAGGGATGTGAAGAGTTCTACATGCATAAACAATGGATACGGATATTACAATTAATGGCAATGTTTTCATCGATAAGGCCCAGGTCACAATATTACAAATAGTTAACATTGATTTTAAGTGATTGTAATTTGATATCATAACTCTGTATTTAGGAACTGGACTTTGCAAGTTTGTGATTGATTGGAGGACTGGTGATTAATCAAGATCAGTTGCAACCCTTAGCCTGGACCCAGAATTCATAGCTTTGTATATTTCTTATTAAAATCAACATGGTTTCCCTTATTTCATCAAATCATCTTTAGAGACATAGCACTCACATCAATTGAATGAATGAAGTAACTATATGGATACTTTATCTTCATCCCTTTAAACTCATCATGATATGTCAGTAAGCCTAATGCTTTATAGACTTTAAACTGCTAGCTGTAAAGTTGCATAGCATATTTTGCAAAATTAGGCAATTTTTTTTGGAAAAGGAAATGGTATAAACATAATCATAATACTCTATCAAATTCTAGACAACTTAAAACTACTGACAGAGAGAGACTTCTCAAAGCTTATATCAAGGAGAAAAACACTTACTGCTTTCTTTCTTTGCCTTTCTTTGTCTCTTAACATGAAGATGTCATTATCAGCTGGCATGGTAAAAGGGTTGAAATCTGCCGGCATTTCTTCATCCTCTGTGGTAAGATAATACAAACATATTAAATGTAAATGAATGGCCCGAGTTAGAAACATCACATAATGAAGCTTCAAATCAAATATAGTTATGTTCTCATTAAAATTGAACATTTTACATCTCAAAATGCAAAGCTAAATTAATTTTTAGTCCATATATCAAGAGGCATTTTCAAAATATAATGCAACTGAAAAAAACCCAACTGCACATAGACCTACTTGATACATTCATAGTTGCTTTTATGTTCTATAATTACACTTGAGGAGAGAGTGCACCTCCTTTTTCCTTGCTTTTATTGCCATGATTTAATCTGCATGGAGTACGTAAAAGAGATGTACTCCTCGAATAATTTCTGCTAGACTGAATAGTCTACTGATTTTTGGGAAGACCAAATGTCAACCTTTCCATTCAATACAAATCACTTTTATGATGTAGCTAGAAAAACATACAAAATGAACTTGGTCATGAGCTGAAAACGAGAAAGAAGTTCCATAGTTTTAAGTTTATATATTCCCACTTAGTTCCAGAATTATGTTGCTTTATACAGAATAGGGAAATTCAAAGTTGGCACTCCATAAATCAGCATACTAACTACCCCTGTTATCAGGGTCTACAGCAGGACTAAATTGAGTAAGCTGATGAATATCCAATGATATAACCCCTATCCTTACCTGTCATTACAGAATTCTGAGAAGCAGATTTGATGGATTGTGGGAAGGTCACTCTTCCCGATTGACGAGAGACGATATCTTGTCCTGCAAAACATGACAAAAAATATATGAATAAATCACACATACCTGTAAATGAACATGCTTACATTTTTCATCACTAGAATACAATTTTTTTGCAAAAATTATTAATTTCAAAGCTAAATGAAGCCTTTTTAATGCCAAATTTATGAACTATTAAGGAATAAAATAGTGATAATTCACAAAATAATAACATGCGTTAATCAGGCCTGGGTGAAATCAATTATTTGTCTAATAAAGTGCTGCTATATTTTAAAATTTCACCCACTCAATTACCTTTTAACTCATAATGGCATCAGGCATTTAAAGGTAGCAAATATGGTTAATTCTATATACCTCATTTTTGTCAAACTTTGTTCTACAATTACAAATCTACATACATCATGTAGAATTGTAGATGGTTAGTGTACTGCGACCTCAAATTACATACTTCAAAACTTGAAAAGTTGAATCAAAATAAAAACAAAAATGATATTCCTATACTTTACAGAAATAGTTGAATGCGATGCAAAAACTTACTGGATTTTTTCTCTCCTGAGTTTGGTGATTGTGAAGGCGAAGGGGAACGTGCTGAGGAACCTGATCCAGACATGTTTGCAGTTCTTTAAGTAGTCTACGGTGAAAGAAATCAAAGACACAGCCAAAAATGAATAACATCAAGTTTTCAGTTTAAGTGTAGGGTACTAAATTACAGGCACCGAGTTTGCTGACTTTGGCGAACTTCCTGCTTGCGCATTGCTTTTACTCTTATTGCTATTATCGTAAAATACGGTCAATATCAAATTGGCAACACAAAAACAGCTATTTTTGTGTACACCTCATGTAATTGCGTTTTCTGGTAGAACCAGGCAACATCGCGAACTCTCATGAGAGGTCAGCATTTTAAAAATAAGTGCATGTTAGCTCATTTTCATCAAGAACACGTGTATGGTAAGCAAATTGCTCTCAGTTTGTATAAAATTTTTTGTTTAATTTCTTGAATGGTTTCATAGTGCTTTGTATTAGTAGAAAGAAAACTCTGAAGCTAGCTTAAGGAAACTTAGAGATTCCTTCTACGCTAATCCATCCATAAGAGCCTTGAAACAGTTAAATTTCATGGTCACTTATGGGGTTCAGAATTAGACAGGCCAGAGGAAATTGGCATGTCATTGCGGGGACAAAGTCCAAAAAGCCCTACTTTGAGATTTAAATTCTGCACGAAAGTACATTTGATCGTCAGCAGCTAGTCTGTTGAATCGGTCGCACACAGTATTTTAAATTCGTAATTGTAAACAGATTTCACGGGAAACCGCTGCACAATTACAATACCGTAACACAAAGGGGTGCGGGCCCGCGCAATGTGCTTGAAATTTACGGTTGCTAACTTCACGCACGCGGGCCTGCCCGTACCCCTTCGTCGGTATACGGCCTGCAGCGTTTCCCATGAAATCTTTAATATTAATAAAGTGTAGACCAGATATTGTAATGTCTTCGTTTTTAGGAAAAATACTCCTAAAAAGATGAGAAAATTGACACGAAAGGGGCAGAAATATAACGACTTTATATCATGAGCATGCCATTATTTGAACAATTGATGAAGATTTAGATCTAGACTCTAGTTGATTTTGGTATGTTTTTACTTTAGTAGGTCTAGATCTACTGTAATTGTAAACTAATAACCTCTTGCCAATTCTCACCAAATAACACCAATCATGCAAACCACTGCCAAACTCACAAATCCTCTCTCCGGCCAAGCCGGAGTTATGCTAGAATAGATCTAGATCTAGACTATAGACCCTAGAGTAGCCTAGAGTATAGAATCTAGACTCTAGGTAAAAAATGGATTCGAAAGTGTCACTAGCGCCACATTCTTGAACCCATTTTATACAGGTCAATACACATTAGCATTGACTCTATGCTTTGCTGGAGTGCCTCCCTAGCTACATCATCATGTAGATTTATGTGTGCGAAGCTTCGGGGTGACGGTAGCCCGGGCCGAGGCACCTCGGCCCGGGCCAAGTAAGAAGCTCGCACCTCATCAATCATAATCATCATAATCATCATGCACCACATTGCACCATATTGCTCTGTTTGTTCACATAAACTTTAAAATAAGCCCTTCTAATATTTCTTGATAATATATAGAATATCGAAATGTCAATATCTTACCACCTATGAAATGAAATCCTTATGATAAAGCAAAGATTTTAGGGGTCGAAAACTGACTGCCAAACTACTAACTGCTCCGTTGGATTTTCTCTGGCGTCATAGCAACGCTGTACAGTTCAAGACGTAGAGGGCTTCTGTTTGTTTCAGGAAACCAGCGATATCGATGTGCATCAAAGAAATATATCCGAGACATAACTTTATCCACTAACACCGCAGACGTCTCCGATCTTCATTAACCGTTCCATAAAAAGCTCATGAAAATATAAATTTAATTATAATGAGCACTAATTTTTGTGGCCCTCGAAAATTCGAGAAATCGCACCCCCCTTGAGCGTCAGGGGGGTGGGGGGGGGATCTCCAAAAAAAGGTAAAATTAACTTGTTTTCACACGTTTCTTCCCAGGGGGGAAGGGGGGGCGGGTCTCCCGGCCCCTCCCCCTGGATCCGACACTGCTCCTACCTTTTCCCCAAGTGCCCCTCCTGCGACAAAAAGTGACCCTTCCAAATTAATGAACCCCACCCTCCCTTCCCGATGCGGTGGTTAATCTTTTGAAGAAACAAAACCTGTGCGCCCTTATTTTATTTTGTTTTGTTTCGTTTTTAGTAATTGATGTGTGGATTTGAGGAATTGCAACTACAATCATGAATAAAATTTAATTTGAAAAAAAAATGATAGGATCCCATTATTGATTGGTTGAGTTGGAGAGAGAGAGAGAGGGAGAGAGAGAGAGAGAGAGAAAGACAGAGAGAGGCAGACAAAAAGAAAGAGAGAGTGAGTGAGAGTGAGAGAGAGGGGAGAGAGAGAGAGAGAGAGAGAGAGAGAGAGAGAGTTTACCTTGATGGATAACTCGTCCTTCCCGAAATGTATGTCACTCTGTAACGCTTGGGTTTGTTTGCACTTCCCTTCCCTTCTCTTTCTTTCTTTCTCTCTGTCTCTCTCTCTCTCTGTCTCCGTCTCTCTCGTTCAGTATTCTGTTGTAACTATACCACGATTAGGGCAATTAATCAAAACCTTCGTAAGCCTCAATTGACTTTAACACTTAATGCATCAACTCGATCCCATGCATAGAAGCCACAACCTTGCCGATCAATCATTTTGCACTCTAGGATGAAGCATATACAGCATTATAACTTATATAATATTAATATATTATCAGTAATATTGGATATGGTAAATTGGCTTTGCAATCACCAGTAGGCTTACTATTCATCAAGGTCACCCTAATCCGTTGGTCCGTGTGTGTTTGATGGTACCCTATTTTTCGATGTTAAAACACTTTTGTTTGGGATGTGCCGCTCTATATAATTGCAAAACATAATGTTAGCCCCGGTGTTAGCCTAATATAATTTAATTCAATTGAGTTCGTTTATTTGTTCACATCATCCACACTTTGGGATTATCTTCATTATACATTGAGTGCATACAAAAAGTAACAAAATTAGTTAGAAATGAAATATTAAAATTCATCAAGAATAAAAAATAATCAATTATCAATATGCTATACAAAAGTGGCTATTTTATAGAACGACAAAAAAAGAAAAAGTAAATATTGAAATTTTCATCAATACAAAATAACGATTGCAACACAAAGGGTAGTAAATACTCAATATTCGTCCGCCAATATTATTTCGAACAGTTTAATAGTTCAGGTAGTGGACTACTAACAAACAGGGCGGATCCAGCCGGCCGCAAGGGAGGGGGCCAAATAGGAGGCCCAATTCGTGAGAAAATGTTTAGCGGCGAATAAGCCAGCGCCCGGCCGGGCCAGGCGGCGAATAAGCGGGGGGGGGGGGGGGGGGGGGGGGGGGGGGGTTATGGAGCACTATTTGTTTCTTCTTCTAAATTCGTGAGAAAATATTTAGCGCCGAAGCAGCCAGCCGGCGAATGGCGGGGGGGGGGGGGGTAACTTGCGCTATTACCGCCGAATCAACACCCACCCCAACCCCTTGCGCCAAGTCTTTTTTTTAATTTAAAAAAAGGTTACATTTACCTGTTTGGGGGGCCAGAGTACCCCCCCCCCCCCCCCCCCCCACCCCCCCCCCCCCCCCCCCCCCCCCCCCCCCCCCCCCCCCCCTTTTCCCTAGATCCGCCATTGCCTGCTTCTACTTTACGACTATACTCCTCGACTCCTCGTCTCAGTAACATCTCCCCTTCCAAACAGGCCACGCCCATGTCTTCCAACTAGCTTCAACCACGCCTACTTGCCCCTTTTACATGTTTACCAACAGCGCGGCGCGGCGCATGCATACACGCATGCACAATATGCATTCACATGCAGCATGCCCAAAAATATAATATGAAGATTGTGCTGTGCTTGAAGCTAGCTAGGTACATGTGCGTTGTTTGTGTGTGGCTCAGCTATTACGTGCTTATTCTATGAGCTGAGCTGAACTGCACTGTACTGCTTCATCATTGTTCTCTGATGCGTACTGTGTAACGGTAAGTACATTTTCCAACCGTTCTGTATGAAATATTTCTTTCATATCATACTAGATTATGAATAGTCTATGAGGCATGGGCAAAGATGGTATTTTTACTAAATTTTAGACGATTTAACAACACATTTTTGGTTGCATTCAATTCAAACAAAGGATAAACTTGAATTTGAAATTTGTGCTGCACGATCAGATGACAATTTCATGTCAATTGTCATTATCATTGTAATTTGTAGCGGCATGCAAATCCACCAAAGTCCAAGGCCCCCAGGATCTGGAGTATTAATGACAAGTCAATGACATAGATCCTAGTCTAGACTAGTCGATCTAGGGTCTACACGGGATGGACTGGATGGGAGAACATTTAATCGAAATGGGCACGCTCCCTCACACTTGTAGGGGCTTTGGGGGCAGTTCCCCTTAGATGAAATTCAAACGTGGTTTATTTCTAATTCGATATCAGTGATTTACAAATGTCGATGAAATGGCATGATATTTCCCTGAGCTTCCGGGGGCTCTGCCCCCTGGACCCCACCAAGGGCCCTAAGACTCATCTGATCGTAATTTAATGCCTAAAACCCCTGAGCTTCTGTGGGCTCCGACCCCTGGACCCCACTCCAATTAGTGACCTGCATGCCACAAATAAGGTATCAAAATATGCTCATCTGATCGTAAATATATGCCTAAAACCCCTTGGATGCTAAATATGTCATGTAACATCGTAAAACTCAGGGGTAGGATTTTTACGCCACGTGTTTGTCTAGTCCCATATACATCTTTCTGTGCACAGTGTTTGTAACTTTACCAAGACTTGACCAAATTTCTTATCATTTTTTGATGATTCCAGAACCTTGCAATACACACAAATTCTTATATGCTAGATGATCAACCTTTTCTGGTTGATTCCACACCATTTCTTTCACAATGCAATCGCATGACCAGAACTCAACTTTACCTGTTACTAATGCTATACCTGACATGCAGGCGCGGATCCAGGATTTTCCAATAGGGGGGGGGGGGGGCCGGAATTTCGAAATTCGCGCAGAACGTTATTTAAACTTACCAATACTGACAAGGTCATGTTAGAAGCACTGTACTTTAATAGTGTACTGGTACCTACAAACAGGCACGTTTATTTTGGAAAGGGGACATGCTCACGTCACATCTCTTGTCCGATATCAACATTCCCTGTTTTAAAGTTATGCTCGCGCGCAATTTTTTTGACATTTCCATCAGTGGGGGCTGAAGCCTCTTGCCCCAAGATCTATTTCCTGGTTTAATATTTGGCGAGCGAGCGAAGCGAGTGAGCGGAAATTGAGCTTATGTATGTTGTGAAAGTGTTAATTGTCACCAAAATATACGAGATAAGATATAACAAATGCATATTGGTAATTTTTAAATTTTCGGGGAAAGAGAGGCTGCAACCCCATCCTGCATTAACTGCAGATGTTTTGAAATCAAATCAGACTCCCCCAAAAATTATTAACCAAAACGCACGAATCCAGTTTCAAAAGTCCAAAAAATGTCAGCTTCAGAGGGGGGCATGTACATTACCTCTCAGACTTCCTCTAAAAGTATTAACCGAATCGCACGAATCCAGTTAAAAAAAAATCAGCTTCAGAGCTAGAGAGGAAACCCCCCCCCCCCCCCACACACACACACACACACACACACACACACACACACACAGACACCCCCTGTGCGCGCAAGCTCGAAATTAACGCTGGCGCTAATGCTTAAGCAGGGGCGGCGGAGCTATTTCCAAAGTGGAAAGCACCAACAAAAAAGGGCACCTACAAAGCGAAATCTCAAAGTGAAAATATACATTTTTTTAGACATTGGTACATACCCTTTCATTGTGATTCCATTATCAGGGACGATTTCAATATTTGTTTTTCTTTATATATTATACAAGATATTGCTTAAGCATCACACTTTCGGCTTGGTGTGATTGTCTGAATATTCATTTGCGAGCGAGCAAAGCGAGCGTGAAAAAAATATAAGATCTGCGAGATCGCAGAGTGAAAAATTACATCTTATAAAGAGGAAAAAACCAAATCTTGATGGGGTTATAAGCATCACGGAAGACTGAAAAATCCTTTGTTTTAAAGTGACATCATCTATAAATGCGAGCGAGCGAGCTTTAGGGGAAATTACTCTTAGTCGCTTTAAATTAGGTGCAAGACTAATGATGATCAGGTTAGGGGACACGTGCCCCCCCTTCCCCCCGTGGCTACGTGCCTGATGATGAGAGGTTAAGGGGACACTTATCGAAAGGGATAAAGACACTTATTAGAAAAGAAAAGGAGCATATGTCAAGGTACAAAGAGTAATTATCAAAGGTTCAAACGGGGCACTTCTAAGTTCTTACACCTGAAAGGAGGCACTCACCAGAAATGAGATAGGGCACTTATGAGTATGGGTATGGGAAATGCATGGGCATATGTCGACGGAAAAGGGGAATCCGCCAGAAATTGATTTATCAGAGGTGAAAAGGGGCATTTATGAAAAGGGGATAGCTCCCTTATTAGAAAGGAAAAGGGGCACGATTCAAAATAAAAGGGCAGTTAGCAAAGGTGAAAATGGGCACCCATCATAGATGAAAAGAGTACTTATCAGGAGGGGAAGGGGGTACTTTTCAAAGTAAAACGAGCATCTCTCAGATTTGAATAGGGGCAATTATCGGAGGTGAAGAGAGCACTGAAGTGAAAAGAATTAACTTCTCATATATGAAAATGGTCATTTACCAGAGATGAAAAGGGACACTTTTTATTTATGAAGGGCCTCATTTTTCTAAATAGCCCTTATCAGATAGGAAAGGGGGCACATGTGTTGATGAAAATGTGCGCTTATCCGAGTTAAAAAGGGGAAGGGGCACTTCTTTACAAAGTAAAAGTGGCCCTTTAGGGGGGTACTTGAAAAAGTGGGGCCCCCTACCCCTGCCACCCGCCCCATCATCTGAAAATCCAAAATGATGTTGTAGGGGCCGGGCGCGGCTTTATCATGAGCTTAAGTAGTCTGCGGACGAAAGTACAACAATACGAAAACAGAACTTATATGAAATTGTCTTTAAGAGAGAAAGAGAGGTTATTTCTAAAATGAAATGAAAGGGGTTATGTGACTCTCAAGGAGGAAATTACAATTTCTATCGCTCATGACGACTATTTGGAATTTCCTATTTTTGTTTAAAGTTCAAGAACTTCCTTGGGGCTCTGCCCCATGCAAGACTCCCGGCAACAGCAAATTATTTACACAATTTCTTGCTGTCTGCTGCCTCGAGATCACTGGAGCGAAGAAAGGTAACATATAGCAAGAATCCCTATTCAGAGAAGGATTTATCCCTTTTATTATTAAAGACTTCCAGCAAAGGCTCTCCCCCTGCAAAATTGGAGAGAGTTTTATGTAGTTTAAGCTTCTAACAACCACTTCCGTGGACCTTTTATTATTTACACAAAGGTAAAAGTGTATAGCAAGAATCCCTATTCAGTGAAGGATTCTTCCTTTTTATGCAGATGCTTCTTCTACCATTCTTGACCAGAAGTGCGTTTCAAACTCAATGATGTGGGCATCATCCCATTGAATGTTGTGTCCAGTGTTACGGGTTTGTTTTGCTACTTGCTGCCTAATCTGAGGGCTCTGTTGTGCTCTTTAAAAAGAGGACAAAATAGGGGCAGCGCAATTTGAATATCAAGGGATGTATTAGAGTTTATTTCTAAAATGAAATGAAAGGGCTATTTGACTTGCAATAAAAACTCTAATCCATCCCTTGAAATTTAAATTGCACTGCCCCCATTCAATGTGCTATTTTCAAAGAGCACAAAAAGGCTTCAGATTGAAGATTCATCTCATAAAATTGTCTATAAGAGAGAAAGAGAGCCTTATTTCTGAAATGAAAGGGCTATTTGAGTTTCAAGAGCGATAAAAACTCTAATCCATCCCTTGAAATTTAAATTGCACTGCCCCCATTCAGTGTGCCATTTTCAAAGAGCACAAAAAGGCTTCAGATTGAAGATTCCATCTCATAAAATTGTCTATAAGAGAGAAAGAGAGTTTATTTCGAGAAAAAAAATGAAATGAAAGGGCTATTTGACAAGAGCCTTTACATTTCATTTTAGAAATAACCTCTCTTCCTCTCTTATAGACAATTTTCTCTCTTGAAAGTCAAATAGCCCTTTCATTTCATTTTTAGAAATAACCTCTTTTTTCCTCGTAAAGACAATTTCTCTCTTGAAAAGGCTCTGCCAGGCCCCTCAAGCTCTGCCATGTTGTATGGATCCATTAGAAAGCAAAATAAGCCCACTCAATAATTAATATATATTAAAACGTCACTGCAAGAAATCCATGTAAGAGGCATTTTGAAAGTTTTAAGAAAATTCCTTCAAATTCCAGGATATTGGGTGTTATTTTTCAGGAAACTCTATTTAAACGAGTGGAAGCACTGGCGGTTCTGTTTTTTTTTAAACTGTAACAATTCTCCTTGGATCAGATATAGACCAAAAACAAGCCTCATTATGTTCAGTATACAAGTGTCATTTCGAATCTTACAGCTTTCACAGAAATCGCTTCTGGACCGTCAAAGAAAAAGTTTGAGAACCCCTGGTCTACGCATTATACACATCAGGACCAACTTGACAACTTGACAAAAATTTGAGGGGGGTTCGACCCCCCCCCCCCCCCCCCTGCGTACGCGCCTGCATGTGCATCCCTTCCTCCTTATTCCCTTATCCATCGTTACCGTCACTACCATTTGAGTAGGACCGGCCCCCTCTTTAATAACGGCTCCCAAGCCATCAAGAATGACCCCATAATTTATAGATTACCATTCTGCCGTTCTTTGGAGGGGCCAGGCGCGGCCTTTTCAGAAGTGTTTCTACACTAACCTTTTCATGCACTACGGCTTAACATAAACAAGCATGCTAAGATTTTTTTGAAAAGAAGCATAATTACGACTCAGTTTCGCATAACCTAAAAATAAGAATATGGCCAGTCACCCCTCCCCCCCCCCCCCCCTCAATGCATCCGCCTTCACGCACCCCCCCCCTTTCCCCTTGTCTTTCCCTTATTCGTCGTTACTGTTACTAATTTTTAGTGCCATTTCGTTGTCTTTCTTTCTCCCCGGCTCCTCTCTTCTTTTTCTTTCCTCTTTTTTGAACTGTCTCTCTTTTCTTTTCTTTTTTCTTCTCTTTTCTTTTATCTTCTCCTTTTTTTCCCTTTTTTTTTGCGCCGCCAATAGGGGGGGCCGCGGCCGTTTCGGCCCACCCCTGGATCCGCCACTGCTGACATGCATACCTGCATGTATCAAATTGGATAATTAGATGAGTGCATTGTGCTGAATTAATAAAAAAATAGGTAGATTACCACAATATCAAGTCAGTGGGAAATTAAGTAGCTAAATTCAGGCCTATATCATTAAACCAGGTCTAATCATCAACACAGGTTAGTCCTTTTAAGTCATTATATGATAAGATAAGAAGGTCAGATCCTCTTATAGTAAAAGATATGAGTGTGTTGACACAACACAAGAGTTTAGTGAGCCCTGGTATATATACTCATTAGGCCCGTTTGCATCAGCTCTAGTTTGCCAAATAACCCACTATTTTCAGACTCTGGTTATTTCCTGAAGCTCAAAATTGCGTCTTCACCAGACCGATACGCTCATCACAAACTAGCTTGGACAGGCTAAAAAATAGTAGGATATTTTGGAAAAAAGCCAATATTTCTTGGGATATTTTCTTGACCAAATATCCCGCTAATTGTAACTGTGGGCTGATGAAGACACAAATTAAGTGGCTAATTTGCAATCGGGGTAGTTAAAATAGCGGGTTATTTGGCAAACTTGAGCTAATGAAAACAGGCCTAAGGGTTCTGTCTGTGTTGACTGTACACAAACTGATAAGCATGCAGTCTGTAATCAAACAATTCTCTTCTCTCATGGTTTTAGGCCATCTGAGATGATCTTTCAAAATATTTTGTTATAGCCAACTCCAGTATCAGAACAACTTGCTTTTAAAGGAAGCTGAAAAATCAGACGAAACGGATGAAAAGAATGAGGAAAATTGGACAACTAATTGGAACATACATGTAATGTGATTAATTGTTTTTTTAAACACATGGCAACTATGGAAACCATCAAAATCAATAGACAAATTTTCATCTCAATCATGAGTTTGTGCTGCCATTCCCTCTGTTCACCGATTTTGAAGCCTGAATAGGCAGGACTAACAGGGAAAAACTCACATGTATTTGTTATTTCCTTACGGAGTTATGCAATGACTTTCCAATACTAAAAGAAAGGATTGATGGAGTCTGTATTACAAATTGAATTACAGACCCACAGTTTCCAACCCCCCCCCCCCCCACCAACACCTTTTTTGGGGGGCGGGGGGGGGGGGGGGAATATCACTCTGCTGGGAAGTTCGGCTATGTGGATAGATAGATACTTTTGCCTTGCTGAATTTCTACTTTAATGCATTAACATTTAAAGGTAAAGACCAGTTTTGGAAACGCCCCCCCCCCCCTCTCAAAAAATGAAATGGAAGCTCTTATTACCAATCATGTGAAAGAATATGTTTTGACTAATATGTGATCATACAAATTTTGCCTAGAAACCGCATACTAATTTATATATTTGGTAAATTATTATATCTATTTGGACTTGATAGATATAACGCATGTGTCGCGCACGTGTGAGTAGTCCCATATACATCTTTCTGTGAACAGTGCTTGTAACTTAACCAAGACTGGACCAAATTTCTTATGACTAGGGACTTTTAGATTGAGTGGACAGGAACACGACGAATGCCGACTGATCATGCGTGTCAACGTACTCACTGCCCATGTTGACTACAATTAGAAATCTTTTAGATTTCACTCGGCGATATACATGCATGCAGGAAGTAATAAGCGTGAGGCGCGCGCACGCGGCATACTAGTACCGCGCTAGATTTGGGAAAATCAAGGTTGACGCATTCTCGATCGCCGACTGAGACGATGTGACGCATGCGCAGTGCCTTAAAATGACGTCACACGTGGCAGTCAAAGCTGTCGACGTGCAAATCTAAAAGTCCCTATTTTGAGGATTCCAGAACCTTGCAGTACACACCAATACTTATATGCTAGATAATCCACCTTTTCTGATCAATTCCACAACGTTTCTTTCACAATGCAATCGCATGACCATAACTGGTATTTATCTTTAACAATGCATACAAAACCCCTCTGTAAAGACAACATGAGCTGCGTTTCCATTGCAACCAAAAATTGTGACTTGCTCACATTCCGCTGTTTCTCTCTTTAGGGGGAAGGAAACAAAGAATACAAATCGAAAAATCCACCTCTAAAATGATTTTTTTTAATGCATGCCGAAGCTTCACTGATCTTTGCAGTGTAAATGAATTTCGGTTCGATACTGACTTTTGCTCACATGACTCTTTTCGCTTCCATGCTAATGCATGCAGGGCACCAATGAATGACCGAGCGCAATACTCACCAAACATCTGTATGAGCAAACTTATGACGTTTTTTATGGGTTTTCAAGCAGTTCAGAGGGTAGTCCAAATAATTAATGTTTTTCAAAATGTTGTTTGGGATGTGTGAAGAGACCTGTAAATAATATTTCTCTATGGGCGCGTTTATCGGGCTTGCCACTAGATATGTACATATCGTACCCCACTATCATACCCACTATCGAACCCCACTATCGAACCCCACTATACGATGTGATTTGTGGGATGCCGCGTTTATCGTCTCTTCACGATTCACAATAAAGGCTTGTCTCTTCGCAGCTGCTCAGCGCCGTTTGACCCGGGAAGCAGACTATAGCCTGGAATTCCTATTTGTATGTGAGGTTCAAAACAGCTTTGCATTTATCGGTCTCTCAGAAACGTGATTCTGGCTGTATGTCACATTCAAAACACACCTTTTTGCGTCTTTAGATATGCCCATATCTAAAGCCCTTTTAAAAAGGCTTTGCATATATCACCTTCTAAATTTGCCTGAAAGACATTTGAGAAACCTGATTCTAGCCAAAAATTTGGTCGATAACCAACCTATGATGATGTTCAATCATAATCAAATTTTTATAGGTAAATTCTGTAAACAGATTGAGCTGGACTTTAAAACGAAGGAATTTATTTCACCCAAACCTGACCCAGGAATATCCAGCCATTTTCCTGGTAGTATGTAAAGATGAGGAGATTAGTGTAAATGTTAAGAGATCAAAGTCCAACAAGGGTCACATTTGTATAGGTTACAATTATATTCCTGTTGATTTTAAAGGAAATCTGTACTGGTAGTTGCAAGGGATTTTCTTATTAGCCAATGTTCAATGCAATTCAATTAAAAATGATTTATTAAAATACTTTCATTGCGGCAAAGCCGAATTGGGAAAATTAACAATAACACAATGACAATTGATAATGATATGAAACATATATATATATATATATATATATATATGTATAACTTAAGGTTCATATTTATTGTCCATTTAACAATGGAGATTTGTCGTGTTACATGGTAATGCGATACACATGAAACATATACACGTATATATATACGAGGAGACAGAAACTGTCCTAACATGGACAGAGAGGGTAGAGATGAAAGGAAAGAGTTCAAGAAGGAGGATGGTATAGAGGGAAGAGGGAAAAGAGTATATAGGGAAACAAAAACAAAAAATGATGCAGTTATTTATCATGATAAAATAGATTATACTTCCTTCACATAAATATTCTTATACTGTTATAAACATCTCAGCTAATTTATAATTTCAATTAAAAGTATAAGACTAAATCATTTTTAAATTTTTTTAAGGAGAATTTTTTTAATTAGAGAACAAAAATATGGTTTTTAGATTTGCAAACATATTAATAAAAATGACATTTTATAATCATTCTAGAAAACAATTTTGAACAAAATCTGATATTATTAAGATTTAATTTTTTTTTTCTTTTTAGAGGACCTGTAATAATGTGCTCTCCATAATATATTTTGAGTAGTGCCCTAACGGTGAAGGCACTTGGGAGAGAAACATAAATTAGAGGTATTTTTGTATGCTACGAATGCTAAAGTTATCCGTTACTACGTCATAATCCACATATGAAAATGCCAATCAGAGATTTACAAAGCTGTATATTTTTAGTGATCTCATATCTCAAACATTCATAACTTTCTTAATATTGGGCTGATTTATTTCAAACTTTTGCCATTCTGTTTCTGTTTAACATAGTTATACATGCCTCTGGAAGAAAGGGAGTAAACTTGAATTGGAATGTTGAAAATGTTAGGGAAAAACAGGAAATTCTAAACAGCTGGAACAACCATTACTAGGTTAAAATACTCATACGTTTTAAAGAGAACAATAGGATTTTGATAGTGCTACGGTAGGATGGTCTTTAAAGTGAACAGATTAACAGGAGCTATTTGTATTACCATACTTCTTTGTAGAAAATTGAAGGAGAAAGAAAGAGAAAGAAAAAGAAAGAAATAGAGACAAGGAAACTTATGAACAGAATACAGATTTCATTTGAACTCATCTTATCTGGCAGTCCACTGCAGAGTGTATAGTAGTCACAATCATCAGACTATTCTAGTGCAAGTATACGCATCAATGCATCGACTATGTGCTTTTGTGTTTTATTGAGAGTTTATTTAAACTTGCAATATCTCCTTATGATATCAGTATTTGAAGCTCATATTTTGAGAGGAAAGAGAGCTAAATATTTTCCGGTGATTTTACACATAAAATGTAACATTTTAACTACCGTTTAACATTTTTACCAGTATGCTGTGGATGTCCATGCCAAATATGATTTTTGTGAAATTGTGCAGAGCAGATTACAGCAATATATAGCTTAGCTCTTATGTTAATAAGGGAAATAATGTTTTGTGTATACATTGATTGTGATTTCATACTGTTATCTTTCTAGAGAGTGCCTTGAAACAACGCAATGGCTATGTACAAAGTGTCATACGGTGGTTTAGATGAGAAATTAAGTGGTAAGTATCAATTCTTCCCTTTTTATACAGCATGCAATGGCTCAAATTACAAAGGAGGTTTAAATTTAACCCATGGTTCAAATCTTCATTTACCTAACCCATGGTCTAAAATTAGCGCAAAATAAGCGTGACACAGTCAGAGTTCCAATATTCACTATGAACATCACGGACAATGAAAGCGGACAAAATATACAGTTCCTCAGGTAGACAAAGGAACATCCCTTCACTGCTATTATGTAAAAATGTGTAGAACAGGTGAATATGCATGTGACACGTGTTCTACACATGTTTACATAATAGCAGTGAAGGGATGTTCCTTTGTCTACCTGAGGAACTGTATATTTTGTCCGCTTTCATTGTCCGTCATATTCATAGTGATTAGACGCGCGCAAGGCAAGGTATGCTTATTTTGCGCTAGTTTATAAACCATGGGTTATGTAAATGAGGGTTTAAACCATGGGTTAAGTTAAACCTCTTTTATGAATTCGGGCCAATAATTTTAAGGTTTCAAACTTTATGAAAAAATAATGGATATCTTAATGTAGCCTGTCAAGCGTAGTTGTCTTGCAATATTTCAAGAATTGTATAGCTGTACAATAAGTAATTACTTTTTGCCTAGTCTGAACGTTGTACAAAGAAACATACACACAAAAAATAGTCATTATAGTGAAACATATGTTTGAGCATAATTTTAGAATGAAAAACTTGCTAAAGAATCCAGGCCCTGCTCTAGTCTGATTGTTTTATCATACAAAGCAACAGTGTGCATACACTGATGATTGACAAGCTGTCATGTCGATTGACCTCTTCAAAACTAATTCACCCTTTTACGGTTCAGGCCGTCATTTTAATTTGCGCGTAAACAATGTTTTTTGATTCGCATGTATTGTTGCGTCACTGCCTGCGCTGTGCGCTCACATCATATTTACGTGGGCAGTGGGCACCATTTTAATTTACAAGTAAAATCTTGTAACCGTAAAAGGGTGTATTCTTTATACAATAGTCTATACTCTTCTAGTCTGTATGGTCATTTCACTATAAATGGTTCTTTATATGACATTTCTTTGTCTGAACAGACTATTAGACCAACATCCATAACTCATGCATATATAACTACCATATATGGTACAATATATATAATCTTGGTAGCATTGGTGATTTTGTTATACTCAAACAGGAATATGTTATGCAATCACAAAATTGGTAAATTCATCAGTGGTGTGGAAATGGGTATTACCTTTATTACTCCTACATGTAAAAGTAAAAATCAGGAGGAGAGAGAGATGCTGAAGTACAGGGGGATATAGACTTACCCCAACACACTCATGAGATCCATACTATTCTCCTGATTGGGGGTATAACATCTAGGCTTACCCCAAGTTCCCAACACACTCATGAGATCCATACTATTCTCCTGATTGTGGGGTATAACATCTAGGCTTACCCCAAGTTCCCAACACACTCATGAGATCCATACTATTCTCCTGATTGTGGGGTATAACATCTAGGCTTACCCCAACACACTCATGAGAGCCATAATATTCTCCTGATTGTGGGTTTTTACAAAAGGAAGAAGTCAAAGACCTATATGTATCCCAAAAATGTTTGTTTTCATGTTTGTTTTATTCAGGTCGCAGGTGATTAAAGGGATAGTTGAGTTCTGTTGCAGAGGGCACTACACAAAATATTTTTTTTGTGAAAAAAATGACAAAATCATCTTTGTTTGATCAAAATCGGTTCAGAGAGAGCTGAAATATAACTATTCTAATACTTGTGTACCACCACAAATATTAGATATTTTTAAAAATTTGAAAAAAACGTTAAAAACCCAGAAATAACGCCTTTTACGTCGTATTTCAGCCAATGCCGATGTTGGCTCTTTTGTTGGCATTTTCGTGTTGCTTATATTACTCACAATTAGCCAGCTCATGTATCGTTATTTTTAATTAAATAATCAATTAACGGTCTCCATGTTTTTTTGAAAGTGGAGCTAAATTGGTATGATCGTATTGGCTAAATTTCCATATTTTGGGGTCTAAAATTACCTCATAGCAATTTTAGGTTCTAAAAGGGCACTATAAACGTCATAGATAAGCACAAGAGCAATAACCATTCACTTTGAAGGTATTTGCGGTCTGAAAACAGAACTCAACTATCCCTTTAAAGTGCTGACCTGTACCGGTACTTCTTTTTACAACATGAGATCCCTCTATGATTCATTGTACAACATGGTGACCTACATGTACCTTCCTGTGTTTTGATTAATCATCTACAAGGTGCACTTGGCATCTAATCTATTGTTTCAGAGTAGTTTGGTTTTATTCTAAAATAGAGCAGGAAATAACAAGAATCATCATCAACCCCTCCCTTCGCCCCTCCACCCTGACAAAAGAAAATAATAAGAATGCATAGGAGCAGTATACGGGGTAAGCATCTGAAAAGCTCTGAAAGAGCTTAATAGAGGTCTGGAAAACAGAAAAAAGAATGCCTACTAGTAAGAATTACAAGGAAATCTCACATTCAATATAACAATGAAAAGAGAGCTCCCATGAAAAATAACTACATGTAGATAAGAAGCAGTGGCTTAAGGAGAACTAATTTGTTTTGTTATAGGGGGGGGGGGGGGGGGGGGGGGGGCAATGCAGGCGAGACGCCAAGCACGTTTCCCTTGTTAATTGTAGACATTTAATTTTGTAAAAATTGAATTTCTATTATCAACTCTTCAGTTGCAGTCAATGTAATGTTAAGCTATCAACTGGCCTCAAGAGAGGAATAAAGTTTGCAGTATATATCATACTGCAAACTACTGATTTGTTTAAATTGTAGATATATTATTTGTAAAAATTGAATTTGTATTATCAACTCTCCTGCTACAGTCAATGTATGTTTAGCTATTCACTGCAAAAACAAAATTAAGCGAATGGGTAAATGAATTTTTGAGATAAATGAGCAGGTTGACTCCCATTTTATCACCACTATTTTATCAATCAACTGAGATTTTGCAAGAGTCTGTTGGTATATTGTAATGCAGTTGTGCATGACCAAGGTTTGAGTAATCCCTGCATTACCTCAGGGTCCTTTATACAGTATTCACTTTTCAGTAAGGTGAATAGATGACCATCAAAATGGGGATGTCTATAGACGTTTCCAGCTGCCTATTGTTATCAGTCCTTGATATGACAAGACAGAATGCCTGGGCTTTAATAATCCAGAAGAGGGCATTTCTGTATTGGATTTGGAGCATATAGCGTGCTACAACAATACCCCATTCACAGTGGTTTGAAATTTGTAGCGCGTTCTAGCGGAGCGGCGACACCGCCATAACACCGCTACAAATGCATTCACAGTAGAAAAGTTATCCCGCTGCAGCAGCGGGATAAATATCATGTACCCATTCACGCTGCAGCGGGTGATTTTTATTACCTCCGTAACAAACACGTGTATGCATGGTCATGACCGCGAGTGACCCCGATATGACCGGAAATACTTCAGCGCGGGGTTTTCGATTGAGGCAAGCTTGCAAAGGTAAACATGTCAGTTGCTTTTGTATCCTCGATCATATTACTTTTTAAAAAACTAGCATTTTTATTGCTTCCAGTCAGAATATTTTAATTTTTTGAAGAGTGAAATATTTTATTTGATAATTATAATATCTACATAATAATAAAATCAATTTGAATCCACTGGTTACTTTATTTCTATTTCACTTTATGTTCCCCATTGCTGGAGAAAAGAGGTCAGTGATAGGTAAGTAAACAAATCACACGTGTTTGTCGCGGTGTTATAGCGGAGAGCCTTCACACTGAGTAAACACCGCGACAGCAGCGGGACTGTCCCGCTGCTGTAGCTAGGCGAACCTAGCGATAGTTGTCGTGGCGTTATCGCGAGGCGGTGTTATCCCGCGATAGTTTATAACGGTCCGACTTCACACTGAAGACAACACCGCGACACAGTGGGACAGTCCCGCTGCTGTCGCGGTGTTTGAGGCCACTGTGAATGGGTACAAGAGTGCCTTTGAATGTATAACCAAGGAGTTTTAGGAGCTTGAGTTGGCAACAAATTATTCCAAGCAGCTGCCATTTTCTAAGGTACGTTGCACAATAGAATCTACAGGTGTGCTGTAGTATGCACCTACAACATACAGTAAAAGAATCCACCTGAGTGAGGACTGTACTCACAGTGAAGAAGAAGATCTGGGGTCATCTATCTACTTCGACTACCATTAATTTTACTACACTTACTACTCCACCACTACCACGACTCCTAAATTACACTGCTATTACCACTGCTATTATTATTACTATTAACTACTACTTTATGTTATTGATACTAGTACAATTTGTATTATAATTTTTTTTTCAGACCGTCAAATGGCCAAGGAGAGATCACAGATGCACTTTGCGGCTAGCCGAGGTCAACTGATGGTGATTCATAGTCTGATCAGGGAAGGGTTCAGTGTGAATAAAAAGACGAGCATGGGCTACACCCCTCTTCATGATGCATGCTGGACCAACCACCCGTACTCAGCATCTCATCTCCTGAAGGCAGGGGCTGAGGTAAACACCAGCTAATTTTGGGGTGGGAGCAAAACTGCCCCTCTCCCTTTTAAAACCCACTTGTGCGTACCTTAATACCACCAACAAAATATGTGTACCCCAATTGAGCACCTCCCTCTCCCCTTCAAACTTTAATGCACTGTGTTATTTTTCTTCAGGAAGGGGGGGGGGGGGGGGGGGAGCTTGTAAGATTTTTTCCCCCCCCCCCCCCCCCCCCCCCCCCCCCCCCCCCCCCCCCCCCCCCCCCCCCTTAGAATTTTGATTAATCTGCCCAAGTCACAGTTTGGCAATATATTATCTTAACAAACTCAACTATTTAGTACATTGTTTTGTTATTATCTGGCAGAAATTGAAGCCAAACATGAAATTCGCTGAGATGTTTCCAATTTGTCTGATTCTTATTAACCCATTAGCAATGGTAATCAGGTGGCTCCTGTATTAAAAGCCTTTGGAATGAAAGCATTCAGAAGTCAACGTGTTTATAGTCACCTCTGTTCTGATGTACTATCGTTGAAGCTTGTGCAAATAGTCTTAATTCACAGATTGTTCAGAACTATATACTGGTGTGCCTCTGAAATAGACGCAAATTATGTCATATAGTTTGCTGTTACTAATTTATGCCATGAGGAGAGCAGGAGATATTGTTAAACAAATATGTTTCTTTTGTTGTGGCCTTAATGTATCTGTAAGAGTGCTAAATACCAGTACCTTCGTGGCCTACCATTATGAAAAGCAGTATACAAGCCAATACTGATACCAGTACCAATTAACAGCTAACATGGCTTGCAACAATAAAACAGGTGTTAGAGGTAAGCTGATCCTGATGAATTCTAATGACCCCCCATACTTTAACAGTTGTTCAATAAAAAGATATGGCAGAACCCTCTTAACTTCCAGAGATAAAAATATCAGAATGAGCCGTGTCATTTAATTGGCTTTCAAGTATCAGTGCTAATTTATGCGATGAGCAATAAAATTGAAGCTCTTGTGTAATTCATAGTACACATTCTATAATAAGAGGGTGGAAGACATGTAAAAATAGAAACCCCAATCTTATTGTGAAGTATAAAAATATTCAAAAGAATGAATTATTGCGTGAGCCTTAATCTGAATGTATGTCAGCCTTATGTCTTTAGATACCGGTAGTCCCCCTCCCCCCCCCCCCCCCCCCACCCCCCCCCCCCCCCCCCCCCCATAATTTAAAAAAAAAAAAAAATATATATATATATATATATATATATATATATATATATTTTAAAAAATCTGAATTTGCAACAGAATTAAATTTCTCTTTTATTGGACTATCAAAGCATTTTGATATTTCTATTTACAAGAAAAATATGGATGTTAAGTAGAATTTATGTACAGACAGGTACGATCAGTACGATTCAGACATGTTTGCCCTGTGGAACAAGTACCGATATAGAATGATATGTTTTGATCATGTTAGATAGAGGAACTAATGCGTATCACCATTTCAGGTTGATGCAATGAGCTCAGATGGCAAGACTCCTCTGGCATTAGCTAGCAGCGTAGGAAGCAAGGATTGTGTCAAATTACTCTTGGAATGCAAGGCAAAAGTCAACGTTGAAGACGGGTCTTGTCCGTCTCCGCTGCATGCAGCTGCAGTGGGAGGTATGATGTAATAAGCCAGTCCATAGACACAAGATCAAAATGCTGATCAGTCTATTAAAATTACAATGTAATAGGCAAATATTTGTCAAAATATACACAAAATTAGAAGATGTTCTACTGGCCATTACCTAGATTTGCTGACCTGATTTGTGAATTAAACAAATAGATTTGATAAATGGGAAGTTGGCACTGTGTATTGTTGTACCACTCTTGAAATATATAATGGATAATACTTCTACTTTTGCTTCAACTGTGGGTGATTGGGAACCTAATCCTATAATCCTATTTGGGAGAAACATCCCAATGTACATGAAGATTGTGGGTACTTAATGAAAAAGTCTTTTCAGAGTTCATTATTACACAGTTACACACATTATTACACTACCATATGTATTCTACATATAGGTCTCTATGCTTTTGAAATATATGTAAGGGAGGAAACGGGAATTAAGTATATTATGCAATATTGTAAGAATTCATTTTCTTCCATTCAAGTAATTTCCTGGTGTAGTCTAGTCTTAGTACAGTTTCATTAGAATCTGACACCTGTTGTATTGTGATGAAACTAATGTTTACCAAGATTAAAATGCTTTGAAATGCTTTGTAAAGAAAAACAATTATGCAATACTTTCTCCTTCCTTTTGCACTATTGACAGGTCATCATGAATGTGTGGATCTGCTTATTGATGAGGGAGGAAACGTGAATGGGGTCAATCCTTACTATGGGACCCCTCTCCATGCTGCATGTGGGGAGTCAAGCAAAGAGTGTGCTTCCTCATTAATATCCTCAGGTCAGTTCAATGGCAAATTTAGGGGGCACATCCAAACTTTGCTCACCCCCCCCCCTCCCGCCCACCTCTCAATAGCTCAAGAAAGCTATTGTGATTGTTTTTATGTGATTTATATCAAACTTTCGCCATTCTGTTTCTCTTATTTGTCTGCTTTCATACAAGAACTTATAAGTAAGGCTGGATTGACCATTAATGTTGAGTGTGTTAGAAAAAACAATATTTATTGATTTTTAAGTGCATTTCATATACTTCTTCAGTTGCAGTACAGGCCACCGTCGGGTGTATTGTCGTACTGTGTACATACATGCATTCTTGAGCTATGAATGCTAATATCAATTCCATGTTAATTTTAAGTGAAATATTTCTTCCTCTTTTCATTCACATTGGTGATTTTGGTGTCCCAATCTTTGTAAACAAATATTTTGTGATATCACATAATTAATATTTTGTGATATCATATAATTAATATTTTGTGATATCATATGATTAATATTTTTCTTTCAAATATTCTCTTTGAATCATTTGCAGGTGCCGATGTGAATGCAATCAGAAAGAGGGACCTTCAGACCCCCCTCCATGTTGCTGCAATAGTGAATTGTGATCAGCTGGTGAATCTATTAGTGTGCAATGGTGCAGACATCCACGCAAGGGACAAACAAACCAAGAAGCCCATCGATCTTGCAGACAAAGATTCCAACGCACATACACTTCTTCAGACATATATGAGTATGTTCATTGGTCAATAAACCAGTTCATGGTTTTCATGTAGATAAATATGAACTCACCTAGGGTATTAACAGATCTTTTAAAAATGGAAAGGTTCTATATTTGTTCATTTAGAACATCCACTCCCACAATAACAGAGATGTTCCATGAAAAGCTTTTGTTTCCCCCCTTTGAAAAGATTAAAATTACATGCATGTTGATGGATAATGAAAACTGTTATTATTGTACATATTCATTATTTTTCTCATTTGGCCTTGCAATTTGGTACAAATTACCTTATCTGCTCATGGCTCATGTACAAATTGTATCTACAGACTGCCTAAATGCCAGGCAGAGTTTCTCATTCACATTTTTCTTAATAAAGGGAGGAGACAGGTTCATCGGTATAGAATAGTTGTGATTTCTACAACTTTAATTCATGTTTATGTCATTTTACATTGCTGCTGCATTTTATTTTTAGGCTATTGGTTGCATCTTGTGTGAAGGAGACCGTAGTGAATAAAGAATACTCAATAACGCATGAACAAAGAAGAAGAAGGCATTGTGGTAGTGTACTTCAGTTCTCAGTCAAGATTGTTGAGAGCTTGAGCATTCATAGTAGGTAGAGATCACATACATCCTCTGTGAAGCGCATTGTTTCGCACTGAACAATTTATAAAAAATGTGTCAAATAAAATCAATTTGATATTTTCATTTGATGATTTGATTCAATGATCTTATTAATTTTGTCACAAAATTAAAGTAAATTTTTTGGAGGATAGGTTGACCATTGGTGATTCATAAATCCACAGACTTCATAAAAGTTGAGAAATAAAAATTGAAGTAAAAATCTCTTGTTTCTTTTTCCTTTCTGTAGCAAACCCAGAAAACCTGACGAGTCTATGCAGAAATCAGATTCGCTCATCTCTTGACCTATCGGCTCCGAAGAATCAAGTCAAGGAATTAGACCTACCTCAGTCACTCCAGGAGTTCATTACTTACACAGACAGACCTGCAGCTTCTTCCTAGATACCATCAGATGGCATGGAATCAGGGAATTCTTTAAACTTCTCTGTCATCCTGATTCTTGGCAGTGTGAGAGATAAAGAAATCTGTTTTCTGTGAAAACTTCTGTCTTCTATAATCACACTATGTAGAATGCCATTTTTAAGGTGTTGTATACCTACAATAAATAGCCATTTTAAAGCTGAATACCATCTGTAAATGGCCGTTTTAAAGGTAGCTTAAACAATTTGCAAATTTCATAAAATCTTGACATGTATCAGCAATATATAATCCAAAAGGTTCCATGCACAAAATCTGAATAAAAAATGGAAATATACCATAACCTTAATGCTTATGACCATTGAGGCGGATTATGAGGTGCTTAGTTTGTTATTAAAATTGTCAAAATGTTGACTCCATAGTTTAGAAGCACCTGCTTTTTATTATACCTGATTCTCTGCCATTAGGCCTACTCTCAGTCCCTCTGAATAATCCTTGTGTATTCAATTGCTGTTATATTTGTTGTATATTGTTTAATTTTGATGCTGCATGTGAATTTACAACTCAATTTTGAATAATAACAGTTTAACTCCCTGCCATCACTCACAGTCCCACTGGTAAGTATCTTTGTAGGGAACTCATATCAAATGTCTTATTCTATGCCATGTTGTGGTAGAAAAATTGTTTTTATGATAATGCATCTTGATTCGCAACTCAGCATTTCCATTTTTATTGATGATTAATGTAATCATGATTTGTATCCAGAAAGAGTACAAGAAACCATGTTCTATGTAAAAGTTAGAGGGGAAATATTTGTACAAGCCATCTTTTCAATCGGAAGAATTATAATAAGGAAAGAGTTACAAAAATAGAGACAAACATAAAAAGGTAGACAGAAAGAGTGGAGAGATAGGGAGAGAGAGGGAGGGGGGGGGTGAAGAGTAGGAGGTAGAGATATTGATTTTTAAAAACCACGCTCGAGAGAAAGCCTACTAGATTGAGCTAATAGATTGTAAACTAATTGAAAGATATCTCATGTACACATACGTATCTATACCTATTAAATATGATTTACACTAATGTAAACTTTTCTTGGTATAATTTTTTTAAAACTAACTGGTTCTGTGGAAAATCCATACTTTCAAGATGTGGCTGTGGTACTGTTATGTATGTGGGTCATATGTAGGAAATACATATTAAGTCCAATTTGGCGGAATCTTGAAAAGTGACTGAATTTGTCTCAAATTTTAAGTGATGTGTTGATTGAGAAAATTAGTTGGTCATTTTTCCCTGCAAATTGTCTAATTGTGGTCTTTTTCTTTAATGTGGCTTGCTAATTTCTGTGCTAATAGAATATGAAACAGCTCAAATACAATACCATAGATTTATGGCCTTTAGTTGCTGTCAATTAAGTCAAATACGTCAAATACATGTCTTTGCTCTGTGTACTTGAATGGGTATTTTGTGAACCGGTAATGATAAATAGGAATTCTCATATTTTATGCTAACCTGGTATTTGGAGAAATTAATATACTCTTACGGACTATTAGTCGGGTGTTTTTTAGGTGAAAATATTGTCTCCATTTAGACACGTATGTATCTTCAACTCTAATTTGTATTTTTGTAAATGCACAAAATTTAGTGTGTGAAGGAATATTAATATTTGCCTTTATTGTATATAATTCTTATGTTAAGAATTTCTTCCATTTATGAAAATTGAAGGTGATTGTATTTTTGAATGTTTCTTCAGGTTGGGGGGGGGGGGGTAAAGAAAGAAACAATCCTACCACTATTCATGCCTTACTATGATAATAGTTTTTTTAATTTTAACTACTGCAAGTGCAATTAGCATACTACAAATGACTGTAAATGAAGTTGTTCTGTAATTGTCAGAACTCTCCCATCTCACTATCAATATTCCATCAGGATGTATGGGTAAGTCACATCAAGATAATTTGGATGATGTTTGTGACAAAACAATTTTACTTATCTACTTTGCACCAAAATCAAATCCATTGTATATTAAAGGTAAAGACCAGTTATGGTCGTGCGATTGCATTGTGAAAGAAACGTGGAATCGATCAGAAAAGGTTGATCACCTAGCATCTAGCATCTGCAAGGTTCTGGAATCATCAAAATGATAAGAACTTTGGCCCATTCTTCGTAAAGTTACAAGCACTATACACAGAAAGATGTATATGGGACTACCCTATATCTCTCACAGACCATGAGAGAAACAAATTTACCAAATATATGAATTATTAGGCGGTTTCCCGGCAATTTTTTTATCATCATGTATTAGTCAAAACATATTCTTTCACATGATTGGTAATGAGAGCTTCTATTTCATTTTTGAAATTGGGGCGTTTCCAATACTGGTCTTTACCTTTAAAGATCATTGTAAATACATTGTCAGCTGTCATTTTTATATATACAATTCCTTAGTGGGGCAATATATATCAATATTCATCTCATATTTTACTATTTTCATATCTTGTCCAAATCAGCTGAGTAATTTTATTATATTGTATTGTATATAGCATGAATGTACTGCAACTACAGCAAGAATAAGGCAAATATATTGTGAAGTATGATAAAGATAAGAAATATGGACTACAGGTTGATTATTATTATTGGCAAGAAAGGAAGTTGTGTCAAGTTTAGTGAAAGGGTAATTAATGAAGCCACCGGTTACATACTGTAATAACACAGAATAAAGTGGTGACTAACTACAAGAAACAGAGACCTGTTGTGGTCTTTGCTTCCTCAAAATAGTTATATTTGTCACTGCACAAAAGAATGGAGATTTACTCCTATGAGTTAAGGTACTATACTGAACGCACAAAACTAATCATGGTTATCTGTATTCTTGTACTAGAGCTGTTTTTATTTATGTACATAAAACAGTATAAGGTAGAAAACTGTAAATATGTTATTCTTGGCCATTTCTTAGGAATCGTTTCACTGCAATATATTTTAGAAGCATTTGTGTTTAGTGGACATCATTCAAGCTAGGTGGATATTTCTTTTGATTTTATTTTACTACATGCATATACGTGTACTGTATCAATCTACATGTACATGTATGGTGTACAATACTAATAAATGCATTTCTTTGTAATTGTAACATGTGTGCAATTTGGTCAAAAATTGTCAATCTTGTAAGCAATATATCGCCTGCTGAGAGCTGAAACTCTTTTTAAAGTGACAAGATATCGACACCCTTCCGGGTGATTCCCTCTTGTGTGGTATATATCCTTTATCCATTTATTCCATCCAAAAATGAAAAATCTTCTGATATTATCTGTTTAGCGCCAGAAGGGTGTTAACTCTGTGCTAAAGTATATGGGTAAATGCCCTTCTGGCTCAAAACACACAACATATCTACTGACAACGGTAGTGGCACAGGATAGAACCACGAGTCAACGGTCATATGAAATACTTTCATTATTGGATCACTTGGATGAAATCAATGCAAAGAAGTGCTCTTCTGGCTCTCCAAAGATGAAATACACTATATACTCCAGTCATACCAACGAGACCGACACAAGACCCCTCACACGATTGTAGTACCCCACAATGGCTTAGAATCGCTCGGTTCGGAGTCGGTATGGGGTCGGTTTGGAGTTGGTATGGGGTCGGTTTGGAGTTGGTATGGGGTCGGTTTGGAGTTGGTATGGGGTCAGTTTGGAGTTGGTATTGGGTCGGTTCAGAGTCGGTATGGGGTCAGTTTGGAGTTGGTATGGGGTCAGTTTGGTAGTGTGACTAAAGCAAAGGTACCGGGTACATGTATTAGCCTTTTGCTATGCACTGTACGACTCAAAATCCATGTATGCATATCACATTGATTAAAAGGGCTGTATGTAATATTTACATGCAAAGAAGGTACTGGTACTGTCTGCAGTACTGAAGTTCCAAGATCAAAATCTCATGAAACATGGTTTGCCTTTGATAATACTCTTTCATTCTTGATAACTGATGATGGTTAGATGTGTGTGATTGTTATGTTCTTATTTAGGAATCATTTGTTAATTTCCTATGTACAGCAGGGTCAACAGACTACATGAATGAATAGTTGTCAAATTATTTGTTTAAAAAATATTTGCTTCCATGTTTTAACAGGGTAAATGAACAAATGTCATTCTAAAAATTGATTGTATCCATGTTTTAACAGGGTCTATTACAGTGTATGACGTGGTGGTGTCTTTAAATGATTCAGTACTTTTACTCAAAAATCTTAAGTCAAACAAAAATTTAATAGAATCATTCACTCAATAATATTTTTCACTCTTACTGTATGTTTTGGATTAGAAGCTGGTATTCCAAACGAAAATTTCCAATTTGTGGGGGGAAAATAGTTGAATAGATAACAAATTGCACTCTTAATGAAGGTAAAAGTAACATGTAAGTAGACTAGCTAGTGGGTGTATTTATTCTTGCAAAAACAAAGCTCCTCAGGTCTTTGGACAAACCTAATTAATTTGTTATTGGCAGGGTTGATCAGTCCTCATGAAAGTAATGATCTCAGTTGAATATTGATGACAACTTTGTGTGATTATACAGGATTGTTGTTTTCTCCTTTTTTGCTGGACACGTAATTTGAATTGAGATATATGTAATGTGTACAAACCCTTTTACACACATACCTTCAAATTGCAGTTGTGAGAAGTAAAAATTAATGTAATAAGACTTGGTGACCATAAAAAGCATGTTCACAATGGTATATTCTAACTGCAACAGTTTAACTTTTAGATCATAAAATTGATATCAAATATATTTTGTACCACATCCATCAATAAAAATAATTTGTTTCTGCAATACCGTACATGTATTTTGAATAAATATTTAATTCTCTTATCTGGCTGTTTAATATTCAGACGTTGTCCATTTCCATTAATGTATGCAAGCTAGTGCTTTATTCTGTCATTTATCTTTCCTATTGTGATGTCCATATGTATAAGCTATGCAGAACTAGTCTGAAAAAGAAAGAACTGAAATTGCTACCATTTGGAACTCAATAAAGTATAATCTTTATTTTATGATTCATGGTCTCATTTTCAATTTGTTTGTTTGTTGTGTTTTTATATACCGGTATGTCATAACTTCTAGAGATATGTAGGCCCCAATTCACACAGGAGGCTTAGCTTAATCAAGATTTAAACCTACGTAGTGAAGTATACTCATTTCCAATGGCTAATTATACTGTATGCTTATGTGTATAGTCCATGGTGAAGGTATAAACAATGGAAACAGAAATGAAGACACAAAAGCTTATTCATGATAAAATAAATTAAACCTTGATCATGAAACCAGCAATCTCACATGATTTTTTTCAAAACAGAGCAAACTACTTATGAATATAAAAATGCCTTGGGCAAAATGGCAATCTTACGTGTTGTCAATTTTCCACAACCTTTAAATAGTACTTTATCTATTCAGTTTGAAAAGGGGCTATATAAATATATATATATATATAATAGTACCGTATATGGATATACCTAGACTGCAGATGTACTGTATAAATCTGAAGTCAATCTGAGCAACCATATTTCATGATAGTAATTTGTCCTTGGTTCATATCATGGCACCAGTAATTTGGTATCCACCAGCAGATTTAAGGAAAGGAAAAATAAGGGCCGGGTCATCTCTCTAAAGAGTTGCCTTTCTAATGATGTAAAGCTAATCACTGTTTGAATATCAAACTTGAAATAAGTGTAACTATATACAATTTAGACCATTTATGACAGGTATTCAAATTACAAATTCACAATTTACTTTTGCATCATATCTTTAAAATAAACCTATGGTGTAAAACATTGCACAGCAACAAATATTACATTGTATTTCAACAACAAAAAGTCATATGAAAATCAATCCTCTCAGTAATTGCACTGCAATAAAGCAATCATTCGTATCAAATTAATCATCAAATATACTGTTAGTTACAACATGCCTGTGCATATTTCAAGCAAGAATATATCAATACAGCATGTAAAACTTATTAACACTAAATCTTTGTCATAAAATTATATTTTCTAAATATTAGAGACCTTAACAAAGGTATATTAATGTATATCATTGGTGAAATGATAATAATCCTAATCTTATTTCCTTTTTTTCTTATTATGTGTTAAAAATAAATACCGTAGCCATTGTTATCTTATATTATTCTATATTCCTGTAAAACTGGAGCATTGTTCAAAATTAACAAAACTTTACATTTTTACCTCTCCAGAATAATACATTTATGTCCTTGTACATTTGATATGAATTCATCTTCTAATCTTTCACTGCACCGTATTTTTACTAATTTCATGCATACATTTTTAACAAAAGGGCACCGCTTTGTTGGTCACAATCCTTTGTTAATACATCTCGTGATCTTCTAATTCCAGCAATCTACCCTTTATTGGTTACACATCTAGTAATTTAAAATAACTCTGTATGTACTCATTTTGCCTAATTCAAGTATATTAAAAAAAAACTTCAACTGTGTACGTTTGTGCTGCTGTTATTGTTAAGAGCTGCACGAATGGAGCACAGATTGTCTATGATGAGCCAGAAGGGAGTTGACTCATTTACTTTAACACAGAGTAAACGCCCTTCTGGCTCCAAACAAACGACCTATTATTCCATTCTTCCCTTGTGAAATGTGATTCCTTACTTTAGTACTGGGCAGAAAAGCTAAGGCCTTTAATGATGACAGCATTTTCTTATAATTGTTGGAAGTTAGTATTGGCTACATGAAAAGATCACACACGTTACTAGTTTTCCTTCTTTAATAACATGGTATACCTTGCCCGAGTGCCAGTGTTTCTGATAACTGTTGGAAGTCATCAAGAGCTAACTGAATAGAGCATGCATGTTATTCCTTCCTTCCTTCATAATACATGTGCCTTCTGAGCACTTTGGAAGGCACCTCTAACTCTTATCTCTGTTTAAAGGACTATAGAGAATAGGTAAACCAATTCTAAATTTAGCAACATATTTCACACAGCGAAGTTCATCAATCCCCATGTCCCACCGATGTCATATCGCTTGTCCAGGGCTATTAGACGTGTGTTATCTAAAGAGCACATAGTTGACCATGATCTTTGGCAGGCCCAGCTTGATGACTTGTTCCAGTCTCTTTGGACCAAGGAGACGGCGGATTCGCCACCTGCACAATTCAGCAAGCATCCTTGGATTGCCTGTAAAACAAAATAAATCCAGTAAAACTTGTTTTGTCATCTGTATAAAAAGCCCACCTTTTTTTTTTTCATTGACGTTTTTTATTTAAAAATAAATGAAAGGAGCTAGCCTGATCATTAAGATCACCTGCCCATAAAGACTACTTCGCTTTTTTCCAGCCAATGGCCATCTTTATGTACAAGCTTTACCGGACTACCATCAATATACCGCGATCGTTCTCCTTCAATTATCCTTTAGTCATCTGTTTCAATCTCTTCTCTTGTTTCTCTTCTTTTCTTTGATCATATCCTTGATTATTTATTGTGAATCGCCATTTATATGTATATGTTATGTTTTTGAATGTATCTTTTGTAAATTCAATTTGTTTCAGCCTCTGGCTGCTATTTGAATGTTTTTTAATCAATACACCATATCAAATCAAATCAAATCAAATAACAACAATACAATTGTGCATTCTTGTATCGCAATCATGGCACTCAAATATTATCCCAGTTACACTCCAGTAGCCAATGTGTTGAGCTCCACCAAATGTAGTCCCCATTTAGACCTGGGTGACGAGTGGTTAAAGTAATAGTTGCTTTCCCACCCTCCACTGCAAAGTAGTTAACTTTGAACCATATAGTTTTGTTTACTTGATATATAGCAACTCACCCATTTCAAAATCTAGGATCTTCCTAGTGGTAGTGTCGGTAGCATGAATGAGATCCCGCGGGGTCCTGGACTGGTTGTTGAGGGCGTAGACATTTGCACCATACTCCAGGAGAACATCTACAAGGTCTGGATTCTTGACGCCTGCTGCAACATGCAGAGGACTGGTGTGGTTCATGATAGCATTCACGTTTCCTCCTGAAATAAACACCAGGAAATGAAGATATAACTATAACAATAATGATAATGATGATAATGATGATGGTGATGATGACGATGACGTTGACGATAAAGATGATGATGATGATGATGATGATAATGATGATGATGATGATGATAATGAGGATGATGAGGATGATGATGGTGAGGATCATGAGGATCATGATGATCATGATGACGATGATGATGATGAGGATGATGATGATGACGATGATGAGGATGAGAATGATGATAATGATGAGGATGATGATGATGATGAGGATGATGATGATGAGGATGAGGATGATGAAGATGATGATGATGATGATGAGGAGGAGGAGGATGAGGATGAGGATGAGGGTGAGGATGAGGGTGAGGATGAGGATGAGGATGAGGATGATCGAGGATGAGGATGATGATGATATACCCATGACACACCTGGGTTAAAAGGGACAAATACAGCGACAACACCTTTGTATGAGGGTGTAAGCACCAGACATGGATAAAGCACAGGACCAGTCACATGAGAATCAAGAACTTAATACAAATCAAACAGTGTATCCATTGTCACAAAGAAGACAGTTGAACATGCCATACAGAAGAAATGTTCAATTGAAGACAGCTAATTTATAAAAACATGGATAACCAAAATTAATAGACCATTCCAGATTAAACTTGAGTATTCTAGCTTAGCCAGAGTTGAGACTCTTATGCCATTTTTTACATAACTTAAAAGTAAAAGTTGCATTTCAAACATAAACAGCTGAGTGTCCATATGAATATTACAAGAGAATTCAAACATAATATTTTTTAACTGCATATACAAGAGATATATTAAAAGGGGTCTGGATTAGAGAATATCCCCACCAGGAGAATCCTTACCCCTGACAGAGTTAGGGGTTAGGGTTGTTCCTGAAAAAGGTCACTGACCTGCCTGGAGTATGACCCTCGCTGTTTCTGTGCTGCCCATGTGACATGCAGCATGCAGAGGTGTCCCATAATGCAAGTCAGAGGCTTCTAGGTTACTTCCTGCTTTGATCATCTCTTCAACGCACTTGGTGTGTCCTCGAATCAAAGGATATATCAAATAAGAAATATATTGAATTTACAACATGAAATGTTTGAAATCTAAACTGGGAACCTAAAGATTGTAATGATTTCTCTAATTCTCCTAGGCTTAGTACAGAATTTCTACGACACATGCTCCACCAACAATTGCTCTGTAGTCAACTTCCTATGCTATTTATAGAATTACCAACTTCAACTCTGGACCAAATGCTATACTTAACATTACCTTCTGAATTTTGAGGATATAAATACCTAGGGCAAATGTCACCAGAGAAACTTTATGATCAACAATACAGAAAACATGCGGTCCATGCAAACAATGCGTTGCTAGCTCCTACATAACCTTATCTATGATTCAAATGTCTGTACTACCACCCCATTTTCAAAAGCCATACCTCTGGAGGCTGCTTCATTGAGTGGTCCTGTCCTGGCCATTGGTGGGTTTGGGATTGCCCCTTTGCTCAGCAAGAACTGGACAATCTCTACATTGCCAATGCAACAAGCTTCACACAGGGGAGTTGCACCATCAATGTTGCCTGCATTTACCTGAGAGAGTAATTTAAAAAAACAGCTAAATTCATATTACAAAAAGAAACATAGTAATGGCAAGACTTATAGATGATAACATAAAAGTACTTAGACATGACTTAGTCCTCATGTATTTGTTCTGTGTTCTAGCTCTTGTAAAAATCCTATAATACTGTATATTCAACAGATGTGGACAGTTATTAAGCTGAAAGTTTCCTGTGATTTAATTTGTGTGATTTAATTGCCATCAAATTGTTAAATGTTATTTTTTAGAGACTTTATATAATAAATTCACACATATCTTTTAAGAGGCTACTTTCATTCTGGCTCAAAACATTTCTCTCTAGCTATACATTTTTTATCAATATCCTCCTAAATTGTAGGATAAACAAAACTGAGTGCATTCATTAACTTGGACTTACATCAGCACCATGCTTTACAAGCATCTCTGCACAGTAAAGGTATCCCCTACTGCAGGCGTCGTGAAGTGGGCTGACTCTATCTGAGGTGCACTTGTTGACGTCCGCACCTCGTCGGATCAGGCCATATAGGGTCATTAGCTGACCCTGGAAGGCAGCAGCGTGGAGGTCAGTACGATCTTGGCCCATGAATGCATCTCCTTAGAGGGGGAGAATGACATGGCAAAAAGAGAAAGACGTAATATCAGGCGAGATCCCATATTTCATTGAGCCATACAAAGCCACTTTCAATACTTATATCCAGAGTCTGATCCTACCAGAGGTAAATTCAGGGGTGGCCTTGGTATTTATGGGGGGGGGGGGGGGGGACAGTTGTATACATCCAACACTGATCTCATCTTTGTAGTCAACTTGACCTAGCTTCTTTCAGTGACTGATGTCTGATCAACCTAATACGTCATAAGACTGCATTTTCTTGAAATCTCTCTTATAAAAGATGAAGTTATCATGGAGTGTCTTACCTGTGTATCTGTCCAATAGTGCAGCTGACATGGTGGTCAAGATCTCCTATACATCATCAGTGCATCTTCTTCTGCTTCATCAAACCCTTTGACTGCACTCAAATGTTACATATACATGTACACATATATGTGAGGAATAGATAGAGAGAGAGAGAGAGAGACAGAGAATGAGAGATAGAGAGAGAGATAGAGAGAGAGAGAGAGAGAGAGAGAGAGAGAGAGAGAGAGAGAGAGAGAGAGGTAAATTTGTCATTACTGATAATGCAGTACGTTTTGCTATATATAGTCAAACCTGATTTAGCAACCACCCATCTAAAAAGACCACTTTTTTACCCTTGAAAATTGTTTATTGTAACCACTCAAATAGGAACCTAGTACAAAAAGACCACTTGCCTAAACAGACCAATTATCTTGGATTGATCACATGGTGTTTATATAAAGGTTGTTTCACTGTACCATTAAACATTTGTACACACTCTCTCTATCCAGAACTTCTTTTTATATAAAGTATCATGGCACTAACCATCATACTTATTTGTCCTTTAAAATATTGTCCAAAATATCCATCCATCCATCCAAAAGATATTTGATATCTAGCGCCTTTTCCTTGCAGTTACAAAGCGCTGCACACATGCTCGACAATGTTTGGGCCACTTAAAAACAAAAGTTATAATTATAAAATATGCCTTAAAGGTAATACAAAGTTTTGGTATGGGGTCATGAAATTGGTTCAAATAAACATATTGGAAGCATATGCAATTTTACAATATTTAATGATCGTTATCGCGGTTGAAAATAGAGTCTAAAGTGATGAAATTGTAAATAATAAACTCTTTCTGTGTACAGCTCCCTTTCAAGGCAGATATATTACTTTAGCTTTAAAACAATCTTTCCCTGACTACAATCGACCGATTTGCTATTCCTGTTTGGAAATTACATACTGGTATCAGAACTGCATATTCTGAGATTTTTAAGGTCGCAGCTTCCATAGAATTAATGGCCTCGGGCACTACTTGAAATTTACCAGCCGGGAGCACTGGTAACATTTTGATTATTCAATTTTTTGAAAGCATGAATAGGGGCTAAATTTTCTAGTGCTCATCCACAGGGGCATCCAAATATATCAAAAATTTCAAGAATTACTATCCACCCAATTTTCAAAATGTCCACAACTTTGCATTCTATTAACTTTAAATTAAAGTTAAAACAAAATAACAGATCATGCATGAAATATTGTATGTAAACTTCTTCAAATCACTGTTTTAAATCGAATGTTAAGACACACGTATTGGTATACCATAGGGTTATTTTTGTCTAGAGACTGAGTGAAATCCAACAATATCTTCCACATCACTGTACACTGTATCTGCACAAAAAATACGAAGATATACACACCAACAACACATCGTGGCCTGGGGGCCGTTTCTCGAAACCAACTCCATGACAGTCATATCTTTGTCGGCGACCTACGGAGATGTCATGAAGCGGATAAACCGTTTCACAAAGCCATGACAGACATGATATCGATATATCGCGATACTAGCAGCTCAAGAACATAGTCTTTGTCACGATCCATTTGATTTATCAAGAATAACCCACAACAAGTTTTGGGGCTAAAATTGTTCAAAAAGAAATATATACATATAAATTCTCCTAAAATAAATAATAAATAGTGTCATTATCATATTTACATCATCAAACGATTTGCATATTTCTGTAAAGATTCTTAAATTGAAGAAAAACCGGTGAGTGTTTTTTTCGACAGTCGAATCAAAAGTTAGTTGAAGGATACCGTAATGTGATAGTTTATCAATACATACTTTTTTGTTTATTGTGAAGAGGAATTTTAGGCAAAATGTCTTTTCTCAGCCAGTTTTTAATCCAGAGTCTCATAAATACTCGTTTATATAATTGATTTGATATTGAAAATATAATTTGGAAGAAGTAATTAGAGAGGGAATAATAATGCACATAGGCCCCAAAGGTATGACGGTATCCTAAGAAAAGACTATGGATCGACTATGGAAAACGGTGTGTAACATTCTTACCTCTCTTATTTATATGATATAGTTTAATGATTTGTGATGTAATGTTTATATTCAGCTTTTTAAAGTTTCTGTATAATTTGTATTCTCATTTTTGTACATTTGCATTTCGCATCCCAGAGAATTACGTACCGAACTCGTCTATATTTTTCTCAAAATGATAGTGAAACTAATCGTCCATTTCGCGGCCCATGGAATGGCAACAAACTGACTTGTGATGGCGCTTTACAGCAATTAAAAAGATATGACAGGTTCGGAGCAGTGACAACTCGCTTGTCGCGGAAGTTGTCGCTCATCTTGGCAAAGACGGCTTCGTGAAACACTTAGCTGACAAGTTGCGTGACAGTGGCGAGATGTCGTTGATCTTGTAGTTATGACGGTTTCGAGAAACGGCCCCCTGTACTCTCTAACAGAAGAAGAAGAAGAAAACTTTCTTGTTATTTATGAAATTGGTTATCACATATATACAAAATGGGCATGTCGTATAGATCTACGTACGTAGAGAAATAAAATGTAGCTAAAATGATTCTCAGAATACCCATTTAAGAAACATTTGAAGCGTAATTTATCCCTCTGAGATGAATCTCAAAATACCGCCCCTGGCCCTGGGCTTGACCGGGGCGCAGCCGGGGGCCCTAGCCCTGCTCCCATCATCATATCATGCGTGACGCGAGTCAACTTGAAGTGTAGGAATTAAATGCGAGCAATCAAACCTATGATTTGTGGCGATCATTATGATTATCCTGGATTAAATTTGCTTCCTTTAATTTAATAGTGTACCTCTTCGTGGCAGCCATCGACTTGTCAAATGTTAGTTGGCAGTTTCGATGTAATTTCCTGGAATCTGTGGCGGTGCTTGGTCAAGTCTTCTCTATCTTCTCGGCCTCAAAATGTAAACAAATAATGGAGTGGAGAGTGGTAATCATTTTTTTCAAGAGTAAAGTGTGCGACATTCTACTCACCCCCCCCCCCCCCCCCTCCCTTGTTGATTATTTTGATGCCTTTGAAATGAAAACAAGAGAAGGGAAGCGAAAATAATTTGAGAACTCAAGATCAAATATATACCGTCTGCTTTTTTTATTTTCTTCTATTTTTTCAAATGAAGGAGAGGGGGAGGGGTAAAATTTACACAAATAAATTCGCTACATAAAGAAAGGGTACCACTCTTTATGTACGCGATCTCATCATTTTTTGTACAATTTTCACTGCGGTAGCGTTTCGTTGCCAGAGGAACGGCTAATTTCTTTGGGGATTTTCCCCAAAAGTTTTGGGACTTGAGATTTAGAGCTCGCTTAATTCCGTGCATTATTAAAGAGGTAAGAATTTTCCCGTATATTAACCTTTGAATTTTGTTATCATACGATTTTACAGCAGCCTTCTAGCCACTTTACCCGATCGATAATCTCGTAGTACGAGGCGGTGTCATGTTGGCTCACCAGTGCACCTCGGAGCCCTCCCTGGGTTCACTCACACGTACACATCAGACATAGGCCTATGCACAAGTTAAGTACATGCACATGAACGAAGTTATCACGTATGGGCCTACGGTGTACATGAAGTAGGCTTCGCTTCTTCACTTCAGCTGAGCTGTGCTGCTGTGCTCTGCCTAACTAAGTATGAGTATGAAGTAGGCCTAGTCTAGTATGACTGTATGACTGAATGTGGAAAAGAATGCAACTTTTATCAGGAGTGTTAACATTGCAGGGCATGCTGTCGGTACTTTTATCCGTCAGCGATGTCAGAAATCTACGGCACCATGGCAGTCGCCGATGAAAATTCCAGCAGGTGCTGACTTTTTAAGTTAAGAGATCAAGGCATGACTAGATCAATATTGTAGCTCTATTTGTCCGATTGGAGGTGAAATTTGATGTTGTTGTGGAAGTATGATGGCTGTGGTCTGTTTCCTATTGCAGAAATTTTAATTGTGCCACTGCAGGGCTATAGGGTCTAGTTTAGTTGCATGGGGTGGCCGTGTACCGAGGTCGTAATTGCATGCCTGCCTCGTGTGCGGCAGGGGGTGTCGATACACACATAACATGCGGGTTTGTGTATAATAGTATGTGTGTACCCACTATGACCCGCTAGTTTCTAGTAGTATGTACCCCCGTGTGGGAATATGATCCATTCGAGGAAAAGGTGAAATTGTTTAAAACTCGACAAATTTACAACAGTAGCAACAGATAAACATGAGAATTTGGGTTACCCGTAGTAATTTGGTACATGCTTTGATCGTGACGTATAAAAGCATAAAGCTTTGTGACGTACGCGTGCCGCCCACCTTTTTTTTCTTCCTTTTCCTCTCTTCTCCTCTTTCAACCTCTCTTTTTTTTGGGGGGGGGGGGGGTCTTTTTCTCATTTTTCTACTGTCACTCTCATTTTTTAAAGTCACCAATTACTGTGACCTTGAACTTCATTAAATATTACCTGAATAAATCAATCTATTCACTTTGCATTGATCAGTAGCAGAAACTAGTAGCGAGATGTCCCTTGATCTGTATGAACATCTCAAGGTGGTCGGCAAAGGCAGCTATGGAGAAGTGTGGCTGGTCAGAAACAAGAAAGACAAAAAACAGGTAAGCTCCATCTCCTATATGAAGAGAAATATTTGCCCTGCTAATTAAGTGCTGAGCTGTTTTTGAAAGTATGAAATCGTTCTTTTCAGTACAATCTTGAACGAGGATGATCTTGTTTTCGGTCTTTTAAATTGTGGATTATCTGTTGAATTTTATCCTATCTGTGTTTTGATAGTATGTGTGCATTATCAGTTTTAAATTCTTTCTCTGTCAAAATCAGTTTTGAACGGAACATCTTATTTTTAGTGTGCCTGTGTATGTTCAATCATATTGAAGAAAAAATATCATTTTGATAAATAACACAGGATTTAAAAAACAAAATTATTAATACTAATCTATCTCATGAAGAATAATCTGTGAACATCAAATATTGAATGTTGAATTTCAATAATTGGTCAATTTGATATGCATTTGTGATTTATTTCAATCAGTTTGTTATCAAGAAAATGGAGCTTCTCCGTGCCTCCAAGAGGGAGAAGAAAGCTGCCGAACAGGAAGCAAAGCTACTGTCCAAGCTACGTCACCCCAATATCGTATCCTACAAGGATTCCTTTGAGAGTGAGGAGGGTTTCCTCTACATAGTGATGGGCTTCTGTGACGGTGGAGATCTGTACAACAGACTCAAGCAACAGAAGAATGCAGCCTTAGAGGAACGCCAGGTGGTGGAGTGGTTTGTGCAGATCGCCATGGCTTTACAGGTGAGAAATGATGGAGAACCCTCTTATCATATAATAATATCCTGGATGTACAAAGCGCTAAAACATCTGCTCTGTCGCTAAGCACCTAGCGGATATATTTTTCACTGGTCATGAGATCAAGGCTTGCCTTTATACAGTATGTGCATATTTTCCACTCCTGGGATGCATTCCAGTCAGGTGACATTTTACAGGATATAGTTGTGTTCAATTAAGAATGCCATTCATATAAGGTCAGGTACCTATGTAACACCTGGATGGAGGGAAGCAATGTTGATGAAATGCCTTGCTCAAGAACATGCATATACTACTAGGGATAGAACCCATGACCTTTGCATGTCCTCTTAATTATGACACTCCATGATGCTTGAGTCTCATGCCATTACAATCATGCACGCAGGAATAAGCATTGTGCAGTACCGGTAAACTCATAGATGTGGAGTTAAAAGTGTATCAATTACAGACAGTTATTCAAGTTTAATTCAACCATGTTTTGTTTTTTTCTTTACTTTCTTCACAAGGTCTCATAAACCTTCAAAAAATAACAAAGCCAGGCCTGTATGCCCTTTTGATTACATTTTTTTTTCTTGAAATGAAACATGTTTCAGATCAACTCCATCATCTTCAAAATATATTCAACTTAAAAATATAACGGTACTATGTGTATTATCAAGCATGTACAGCATACTTATAAATGCATCTATTTTTATAAAAACTCCATAGTATATGCATGAGCGGAACATTCTCCATCGGGACCTGAAGACGCAGAATATTTTCCTGACCAAGAGCAAGATCATAAAGGTCGGTGACCTGGGCATTGCAAGGGTTCTGGAAGGCAACAATGACATGGCTACAACCCTAATTGGGACACCCTATTACATGAGCCCAGAGCTATTCAGCAATAGGCCTTACAATCACAAGGTAAATTTATTCTCAATAATGCATCTATTTTTAGTCTTAGTTATACATGTTTCTTCTTCGCTGATATATATATATATATATATATATATATATATATATATATGTATCATTTTGGTTGTATTTGTTTTAACTGTAATTTTTTCTGGCCTTCAAAGGAAATTTTGATAACAACTGTCCAGAGAGAGGGAGAGGGAGATAGAGATCTTTTGAGTTATTGAGTTTTTATTGTACGGGATTCCTATTTTGTTTTGAATTTAGTTATATGATAGCATACCTAATTATTAAAACACAATGATTTTATCTTTCTGATAATCACATGTACGTTTTCAAAGCAAATTCAAATGTTATACAAACATGGACAAAATTTGAGCAGATGTAAACATTTGTGCAATTGTTGTATTTAGTGTTGGGGATACAAACCAAGTGAGTTTGATACAAGTAGCAGGCAAGGGAAATATGCTTTCATATAAGCATAAAGAAAGAGCGCAAATCGGTAACTTTTTTCCTTTGAATAGATTCTCTAAGATATGCTTTGGCAATAATTGCTTCCAGATTTATTTTGTCAAAAATTTAGGGTAAGGATAGTGATTGCGATTGGGTTGTAGGTTAGGTTTAGTTCTCAGTCAAAGGCTGAAAGTAAGATTTTGTTTATTGTAGGATATTACTGTGGAGCAATTGTCACCAGAGAATATGTTATGCAAGTTTAGGAAATAATTATGACGTTTTATATCTTAATAATTTTTAACATTCCACTATATGTGCTAATATTCTACAGACTCCAATTTAGTTGATTTAATTTCTTCCTTATGTTGTGCATAGTCTGATGTATGGGCCTTGGGTTGCTGTGTTTATGAGATGACCACACTCAAACATGCATTCAATGCAAAGGATATGAACTCTTTAGTTTACAAGATACTGCGTGGAAAGGTAAGATGGTAATTTCATCATTTGTACCTACATGTATGATCTTAAACAAAAACTCATTGATTCTCTTTTTTCACATTCATACTAATTTCACTTTTTTCACTTTCATTACACAATAATTTTAATGCACTAAATAAGATTCTTGAAAAACCATATCTGAATAATTTTTGCATTAGTTACAGTTAATTGATATTTGTGTAGAAAGAATAACTATTAGTCTGGCATTTTTTTCCAGATAACACACACAGGTAAATGCGAGAGGTGTGAAATGACATTTGAAGTCTGCTTATTTGTATTTAAGGTATTGAAAAGGAAGCTTGTGTTCAGTTATACACAATGTATAACACATGATGTGATCTTTGTAAAGAAAAAAAAAACTACTAAACTATTTAAACTCCTTATAGCTTACTTGATGAATACAACATTTTAAATGTAACAAACTGTCTCATCACGATGTCAAACTTTGTAGCAGTGTAGTGAGTATGATTTGACCTCCATTTCAGATGCCTGCAATGCCTCAACAGTACAGCATAGAGCTGGTTGAACTCATCAAGGCTACCCTGAATCAGAGTCCAGAGAAAAGACCTAGTGTGTCCAGAGTCCTACGCAACCCCTACATCAAGAAACACATAGCCATCTTCCTAGAGGGAACAAGAGCAAGGTAGGCTCATGCAAGTCTAATATGAACCAATGAACTTGAGAAAAATTATCTTTTTTTATGAAGAATGGAATAAATACCATACCATACCATCTAGTCCTCTAAAGATTATTGATGTTGTTGAGAAAAGACACAGTGTGTCCGGATCCCTCTGCATACCGTACTGGTTTATCATCTTATTTCTCCCTTTGTCAATTACTTGTTTTTCTTGTAATCTTTGTATTTTATAATGTACATTCTTTTGCATTTGCATTTTTATGCCTCCGCTACAAAGTAGCCGGAGGCATTATGTTTTCTGGTTGTCCGTCCGTCCGTACGTCCGTCCGTACGTACGTCCGTCCGTACGTCCGTACGTCCCGTTCTCGTGATCGCGTTATCTCAAGAACCAATTGATGGATTCTCTCTAAACTTGGATCATGTATGTATCTTGCAGAGCCAATGAACTGATTAGATTTTGGGGTCACGAGGTCGAAGGTCAAAGGTCACAGGGCTCATTATGTATTCAAAAATAGCTTGTGATCGCAATATCTCAAGAACCGATCAATGGATTCCTGCCAAACTTGGGTCATATATGTATCTAACAGAGCCAATGAACTGATTAGATTTTGGGGTCACGAGGTCGGAGGTCAAAGGTCACAGGGCTCATTATGTATACAAAAATAGCTTGTGATCGCGTTATCTCAAGAACCGATCGATGGATTCGTGCCAAACTTGGGTCATGTATGTATCTAACAGAGCCAATGGACTGATTAGATTTTGGGGTCACGAGGTCAAAGGTCACAGGGCTCATTATGTCTACAAAAATAGCTCGTGATTGCGTTATCTCAAGAACCGGTCAATGGATTCCTGCCAAACTTGGGTCATGTATGTATCTAACAGAGCCAATGAACTGATTATATTTTGGGGTCACGAGGTCAAAGGTCACAGGGCTCATTATGTATGCACAAATAGCTTGTGATCGCATTATAATGAGAACCAATAGACAGATTACTATCAAACTCAAGACATGTATATATGTATCTTGCAGAGCCAATTAACTGATTAGATTTTAGGGTCATCAGGTCAAAGGTCATGGGGCTCATTATGTATGACTATAAATAGCTTGTGAATGCATTATTATTAAAACCGACAGATGGATTACAATCAAACTTGAATTTTAAAAATTGCTTCCGTTTTGGTTTGTAAAGTTGCTCTATGGCGGAGGCATCATTTTTGACTGCGCGCAGTCAAAATTCCATCTAGTTTAAAACTGGAATGTACAAAAATAATTGAAATAAATGAAAGAAACATTCGTAGAGGTAACAGGGCCAAGTAGATAACCCATATCTGGATGACTTCTCTGCTCCTTGGACTATTCCGCCCTGGACAACTATCTCCTCTCCCCCCCCCCCCCCTCCCCCCAACACACACCACACACAAACGCTAACACACACACAATCTGTCTGATTCTTTGTTGTTAGATAGCATTGATGGGGATGTTGGTTGGTGGTAGTGGTGGTAGTGATAATAATGATAGTGGTGTAATACTGATAGTAGTGGAAGTGCTGCTGATGTGATTTTTATATTGTAATTTGTAAGTCCTGTTTTATATTCAATATTATTGATACTGACATCTCAGACATTTTAAATCACCATACAAACAGATTAAAATTGAAGAAAGGAGTAAAGATAACACAATACCATGAATTCCTTTGTGTTCCCTTATTTCAGAAGACCGAGTACATCTTCTGAGAGTAGTAGAAGGGGGTCTAAAGCTGACCTGCAGGAAATTGAAGAGCAGTCCACACAAGACAACGAATCTGGCGGAAAAGATCTGCCTGCTATTTCTGAGGTTCCTTCCAAAAAGGTAAAAACTCTAGTATGAAGCATAATTTCATTAATGTTTTAATTGTGTGTGTATATATATATATATATATATATATATATAAATACATTTTAATGTTGTATATAGACCTGTAACCTGTTCGCAACTAGCACGTGATTGGAATGACCCAAATATCCACAGATATTTACAACATGGAGATGTCTCACTTTGTGCATTTTTTTAATAATCACTGTCAAAGTCATGGAGGTGCTTTATGAATACCTTTTGTTTGCCCTCTTGAGAAGAATACTACCATCTGTGTATCATAGAATGTACAGCTGGTGCATAAATGAATGATTACATAACTTTCATGAGCACCTATCCAGTATTCATTTTGCTGGGTTTTACAGTTTTTGTGCAAGTGACCTATATCTGCCCATGCCCAGATTTGTTTCTATGAACTGGCTTAAAGAGGGATGTCAGGTTTTGATATTGTAATTAATTAGTTTAAATTTAGATGAGATATCTGGCTCTTTAATTAATTTGTTATGCATTTTGATTTTTGTGAAGTCCATACAGTAGATAAAGAAACACATCATCATTATATCATTTTTTTTTCGTCAAAATGTATAACTCTATTTTTATTTCATTTTTGTTTAATGCTTCATTGAATACTTGCAAATGTTATTGTATGATTTCTTTTTCCATTATTTTCTATGATCTTCTCTTCTTTGATTTTCTGATACCAACATTGTGGTAGAAGAACATTAATATCCTTTTAAACCCACTTAAATCCATTCAAATCCATCTTATTCTTCACTTAGCCGGTAAGAGATAACCAGAGTAAATCTTCCATTCCAAGGCCTAGTTCAGCAGGCAAAGAAAGGAAGAGTGCCCAAGGTGTCAGGAAGTCAGTCCCATCAGCGAGCAAGGAAGGGAAGTCACGTAGCAATGTCAAAACACCCTCAGAGGTGAGTTCCTACATCTGATACATGTGGATCCTAATTAGATCCAGGTGGTAACCTTGCAAAGAGGCTGTGCCTTGTTTCTACCAAAAAGCAAGTTGTGTTTTAAAAGGATCTAAGCCATTTTGAAGCTGTGTGTATATACCAGGAACTTCAAAACCAAACATAAAATAAACAATTTTGTTTCTTTCCTGTTTATTTAGGGAGCTAGACTATATTTAGAATGTAAACCCATTGAATCCTAAGCCTAAGATGATTCAGACAAATGTCTCTGGCAAATGTGTGTCGTACCAAAATGAAGTCTGATAGGTCATTTTAAAAATGGAGGAAGCTTTAAAATTACTGTAAGTCACCTTTTGACATTTTACAGAAGTAAGACATTGGCAGGCAATAATTTGGATGTGGAAAATTGAATTTGAGTGATTCAAAACTGCATCAATGATTTGATATCTTCTGTAGCTTTATAAGTAAAAGGCAGGATTATGTACCGGTATACGGATTATGTATGTTAAATATCTAAGAACAGTCTCTTTTTTGTTTTTTCCCAGCCCAAGCTACCACTCAAGAAGTCACGGCCTCTACCTGTTCCTCCCAAAGGTGGAACTCCAGAGACAAGCAAAGGTGCTAAGAGGTCAACAAACTCAGCAGGTTCCTCAAGAACTTCATCCTCCAGTTCAGTGAGCAGTTCTAGAGATGATGCAAGCACACCAAGAACAGATGTAGGTGGATCGATGGAAATATATCAAGCAGTCTGAATACATTGGTTTTTTAGCGATGTGTTTCTTAATGAACCCTTTACGTTTGGTTTCAGTTTGATGTAACACTCTTAACAAACTTACAAAAGAAGATGGGAAAAACTTTAAAGTTTTGTGCTTGATTGGTGTTTTTTTCTCATATTCTGAAGAGAGAAAAAGTGTAGGTGTGGATATACTTCTGAACAGAGGGAGAGAGAGAGAGAGAGAGAGAGAGAGAGAGAGAGAGAGAGGAAGAGAGGGAGCTAGGAGGCTTAGAGTGATGGAGGGAGGGAGGGAGCCATGTTAGAAAAAGAAGAAGATTGTAAACATACCTGTGTGAAGTATACATTATATGATGATCTGTATGCATTTGTTTCACATTACCAGCAGAGAGGTTCTTCTGCCAGAACTCGTAGGAGAGAGAAGCTGAGAGAGTCACAGGAGCAGCAGTCACCATTATCACACGGTAACCTAACATTAATTATTTTGTTAACCCATTGGAGACTGGTCCGGTGGATAAGTCTCCGGACTGTGAACCACAAGGTATGGGTTTCAAATCCCTTCCACAACACAAATGACCTTTGGCAAGACGTTAATCTACATTTGCAACGCTTCCCCCAGGATAAGTAAATGGGTGCCTAGGAAGATTGTTCCCTTAAAATTCAATGTGAACTCATAACTGCTGCCGGAGTTAAAGCTAAGGTAATAATTTCCAAGGAAAATTCTATAGAGAAGTTCACAATATGTGAAGCCAATGAAGAAATTACCAGTGTCAGTTAGAAGAACTCCCGTATTTTCCGCAAATTTTAAAATTAGACTAGAATTTGACTTTGTTGTGATTGGCTAAAATAAAAATAAAATCTGAAAGATGTATGACTGAATGATACTACTTGCCTTGCTATCCTCTTCCATGTTTCACAAGATACCAGAGTATATCTATCATTTTATTTATGTGTTCTTTTCTTTCTTTCTATGATGTTCAGTGAGGAGAAGTTCTGATGCAGTTAACCGCAGTCATGATGAACCAGACAGTAACCATCCTAGGAGACCGGTAGCTCATACTAAATCTGACCCTGGCTCTAAGGTTAGTCAATCAATACAGATATAAAGACTGATTGGGTATTAGTAACCCTGTTTACATTTGGACTCCATTGGGTAAAGAGTTGAGATTGATGTCAATATCCCAGGTAATCGCAATTAAATGCCCAATGCAATGACACTGATCAGCGCTTTGACTTTCAAGATCTTTACAATATTGATGTTGATGCATCGTCCTGGCAGCATGAATTTGGTTCTTTATATGGCACAGCAGTCATGGTGCAGTACACGTTATGATTAAAGAATTGTGTCACTTTAGTCCAAGAACAATTTCAATTTTGAGTAAAAATTAGACAATTTGTTTTAATCAGCCGAGTCTCTGAGAGCTTTCATGACATATAAGAAATGACAATATTCCAAGCTAATCATGGTAGTCGTGACAGAAGTCATAGATATTCCTGGTCATCAGAAATACCTCTCAAAATAACAAGCCACCAGCATCGGCTCATGCTCTATGGGGAGAAGAAATCACCTGATTAAATCAGATCCTGGCATAGCTAGGGTTAATGATTCTTTCACATCTATCTGTAGGATTCATCATCATCATCATCCTCAGCCTCAGCGTCGCTCTCCAGGGATGAAAGATCCAATCGACATGCCCGCACAGAGAGCAGAGATACAGACTCAACGATATCGGATGATGAGGATGAAGACACCAAGCGCTCAGGCAAAAAGAAGGGGTAGGTAGATGTTCTTCAGGAAAGGAGATGGAGATGGATGATTGATTTTCAGGTGAAAGTTTAGAAGGATGATTACTCTTATCCAATAGAGTTAGTCTGGTTCTCAACAGATTGTACGGATTGATGGGTGGGGGGGGGGGGGGGTATTGAAGATAAATTGTGATAGAAAAAATGCTGTTGTTGACTCTTGAAGATTCTTGAACCCAACTAAACCCCCTCCATCCCCCAGCCATAAATGAATAAGTATGCCTCATAGCCAGCCAGCACAGTATGATCCCAAATACGTTTCTAAATCACAGCCCTATAGATCCTGTATTTAGGGTTAAATTACTTTTGTAACTCCATGTTTCATGGGCATGCCATCATAAAGCCCAGCATTATTTGACATACTGTTTGTAAGCATACAGGCAGTAGCTCCATGAAACGCATGCATTTTGCTGACAACGTGACATGTTATGAATTGCATCTTGTGTTTGCTGGTTGTGTAACAGTGATGATGATGAAATTGAGGAGTTCTCCAACCTTCTTGCAACAACTCTGAGGATTGAAAAGAACAAGAACAAGAAAGTAGGAGAGGAAGGTGGAGACTTTGGTCGAGATTCTCCCGATACCCCGGAGGAACCCAGCCCACCACCCTCAGCAAGACCAGGATCTGGAACAAATCTCAATGGAACTCTGGATATAGCCATAGAAGCAGCGGCTCCCAGAGCACCCAAAGGACTCGGTAAGTTTGGGCTTGATCGAGGATTAATGAATAAGCTTGATGTTATATATATATATGATATACAAGTACATATATAATTTATTTTTTGCAGTATGATTGAGAATATGTTTATTTAATTCTGAATATCACTTTTCTGATGAACCCTTTTCATTTGAATTGCTGCTTCAAGAATTTTTTTGACAATTTGTATTATAAAGCGGTCAAAATTTGCATGAAAGCTATTCAAATGCTTGAGAGCTATACTTGAGATATAAATCGACTTTGTTTAGTCTGTTTTTAGAGAAATATACATTTTCTTTTGATTTCTATGTCCATTTTGGACATCAAATGAAGATGAAAAGGAATGTTGTTATCAACAAATTATCACTTGGGAGAATAATTTTACTCAGTAGACGTATTGTTTGGTTTTTAATTGTTTTTTTGCTGTAAGCTTTGTCGTTGTTTGTTTATTTAGGGAATCTTCCTCTCTTTGACCTATGAGATTGATTTAATGTGATAGAGTCATGAAAAATAGATACAGTACCTTTAATGAAATTAGAGTAGACTAGTTATCAATGCCCATTTTTCATCCAGGCAATGCAACGATGACAACATCTGGTCGTCTGATGGACCGCATCGCCATGCTGAGGAAAGACATCATGCAAGGCATCGGCATCGAGCTACTAACCAAGGCTTATGAGCTCTTAGAGAAGGATGATGACGAAGATACAGAGGTAGGTCAAAGGTCAAGATTGCTTGTTACAAGAATGGATGACATGTATGGTTGCATTTTGCTGTCATTTTGTGACTCTTTCTTAAATTGAATACAAGTGATGCAAATAATACATTATGGTAGAACCTTTTAGAATCCTGAATGATTTATATGCAGTATAATAAGAATAGCTGTGCATTATGTTTTGGAATCTTAACAAAATTACACTACTTTGTGGAACAAACAAAACATAGAGAAAAAAACAACCTTGTACATAAATATACACATCTTATTTCCATGTCCTTTTGTGTAAAATAATAGCATTAAAATTAAATCATCCTCATATATACATGTATTATTCGTAATTAAAACTGTTTCAATTTGTATAAAAAGAAACAATGGGTTGTGTCTGTGTGTTTGCTAAGAAAAGAAACATGATTTTCTGACATTCCATTGTGATTCCACGCTTAATCAGATGGAGAAAGAGGATCAAGAGGTTGGTTATTATTACATGCTTGCTGAGATTTTTCATAGGTTTCATACAATTTGCTTGGCTATGACATTGGTGTCTATGATTCACACCCACTCATCAAAATGGTGGCTGATTTATAGCCTACTGTGAAATCACCACAATATGGGGTTGTGATTATGACCTGTACCCCTAGAGGGTAATACATCTGTGTTGCAGTTACTCTTCTTGGGATTCTTCTTCTCCACATAGCTTTCCTCAGACGTTTTTTATGCCTCCGTTACGAAGTAGCCGGAGGCATTATGTTTTCGGGTTGTCCGTCCGTCCGTCCGTCCGAGTTTGCGATGGTATGCTTGTGTGTTTAGTTTTACGTATGAGATATCCTTGTGTGTCACTTTAGACTTGTGTGTCTAGCCACACAAGAAAACTATCATATTCAGTGTCTAAGATGTCTGACATGTCATTTCTAATCAACTAAGATTTAGTCACACAAGAAAAATTTCTCCCAAAAAAAGGCCCAAAATAAATGTCCAAATTTTAGAGAGGGGTTGTGTCCAAGTAGCCAAACTGAATAGTGCCATCTACAGTTGACATCCAGGTAGCTAGGTACTATGCTCATCTGCAGTACTTGTGTGTGTGTGTGTGACTTGTTAGTGTGTAGTATTTGTAAGCAAAGTAGTAGGCAGTGTATGGCTCTGTGTGTGTGTGTGTCATGAGTGGATGGTTTTGTGTGTGCAGTGTATATAATACATGCAATGTTTTTTTATGCCACACAAGCCTTAATTTTCTTGAATTGGACAGGGGTAGACAATAATGTCGTTCTGCCACACTAGCCTTAATTTTCACGACTTGGACAGAGGTATATAATACATGTAATGTCTTTCTGCCACACAAGCCCTAATTTTCTTGACTTGGACAGGGGAAGATAATAATGTCTTTCTGACACACAAGCCGTAATTTTCTTGACTTGGACTGGGGTAGATAATAATGTCTTTCTGCCACACAAGCCTCTATTTTCTTAACTTGGACAGGGGTAGACAATAATGTCTTTCTGCCACACAAGCCTTAATTTTCATGACTTGGACTGGGGTAGACAATAATGTCGTTCTGCCACACAAGCCTTAATTTTCATGACTTGAACAGAGGTATATAATACATGTAATGTCTTTCTGCCACACATGCCCTAATTTTCTTGACTTGGACAGGGAAAGATAATAATGTCTTTCTGACACACAAGCCTTAATTTTCTTGACTTGGACTGGAGTAGATAATAATGTCTTTCTGCCACACAAGCCTTAATTTTCATGACTTGGACAGTGGTACAGGTATATAATATCTTTCTGCCACACAAGCCCTAATGTTCTTGACTTGGACAGAGGTATGTAATGTTTTTTTATGCCACACAAGCCTTAATTTTTTTGACTTGGACAGGGGAAGATAATAATGTCTTTCTGACACACAAGCCTTAATTTTCTTGACTTGGACTGGAGTAGATAATAATGTCTTTCTGCCACACAAGCCTTAATTTTCATGACTTGGACAGAGGTATATAATACATGTAATGTCTTTCTGCCACACAAGCCCATTATTTTCTTGACTTGGACTGGGGTAGACAATAATGCCTTTCTGCCACACAAGCCCTAATTTTCTTGACTTGGACAGTGGTACAGGTATATAATACATGTAATGTTTTTATGCCACACAAGCCTTAATTTTCATGACTTGGACAGGGGTAGACAATAATGTTTTTATGCCACACAAGCCTTAATTTTCATGACTTGGACAGGGGTAGACAATAATGCCTTTCTGCCACACAAGCCCTAATTTTCTTGACTTGGACAGTGGTACAGGTATATAATACATGTAATGTTTTTATGCCACACAAGCCTTAATTTTCATGACTTTGACAGGGGTAGACAATAATGTTTTTCTGCCACACAAGCCTTAATTTTCTTGACTTGGACTGGGGTAGATGACAAAATCTTTCTGACACACAAGCCTTAATTTTCATGACTTGGACAGAGGTATATAATACATGTAATGTTTTTTTTATGCCACACAAGCCCTAATTTTCTGGACTTGGACAAGGGTAGATAATAATGTCTTTCTGTCACACAAGCCTTAATTTTCTTGACTTGGACAGGGGTAGATGACAATATCTTTCTAGCAACACAAGCCTTAATTTTCTTGACTTGGACTGGGGTAGACAATAATGTCTTTCTGCCACACAAGCCCTAATTTTCTTGACTTGGACAGTGGTACAGGTATATAATACATGTAATGTTTTTATGCCACACAAGCCTTAATTTTCTTGACTTGGACAGGGGTAGATAATAATGTCTTTCTGCCACACAAGCCTTAATTTTCATGACTTGGACAGGGGTAGATGACAATATCTTTCTAGCAACACAAGCCTTAATTTTCTTGACTTGGACTGGGGTAGACAATAATGTCTTTCTGCCACACAAGCCCTAATTTTCTTGACTTGGACAGTGGTACAGGTATATAATACATGTAATGTTTTTATGCCACACAAGCCTTAATTTTCTTGACTTGGACAGGGGTAGATAATAATGTCTTTCTGCCACACAAGCCTTAATTTTCATGACTTGGACTGGGGTGGATGACAATATCTTTCTGCCACACAAGCCTTAATTTTCATGACTTGGACTGGGGTAGATGACAATATCTTTCTGACACACAAGCCTTAATTTTCATGACTTGGACAGAGGTATATAATACATGTAATGTTTTTATGCCACACAAGCCTTAATTTTCTTGACTTGGACAGGGGAAGATAATAATGTCTTTCTGCCACACAAGCCTTAATTTTCATGACTTGGACAGGGGTAGATAATAATGTCTTTCTGCCACACAAGCCTGAATTTTCATGACTTGGACTGGGGTATACAATACATGTAATGTTTTTTTTATGCCACACAAGCCCTAATTTTCTTGACTTGGACAGGGGTAGACAATAATGTCTTTCTGCCACACAAGCCTTAATTTTCATGACTTGGACAGGGGTAGATAATAATGTCTTTCTGCCACACAAGCCTTAATTTTCATGACTTGGACTGGGGTAGATGACAATATCTTTCTGCCACACAAGCCTTAATTTTCATGACTTGGACTGGGGTAGATGACAATATCTTTCTGACACACAAGCCTTAATTTTAATGACTTGGACAGAGGTATATAATACATGTAATGTTTTTATGCCACACAAGCCTTAATTTTCTTGACTTGGACAGGGGAAGATAATAATGTCTTTCTGCCACACAAGCCTTAATTTTCATGACTTGGACAGGGGTAGATAATAATGTCTTTCTGCCACACAAGCCTGAATTTTCATGACTTGGACTGGGGTAGATGACAATATCTTTCTGACACACAAGCCTTAATTTTCATGACTTGGACAGGGGAAGATAATAATGTCTTTCTGCCACACAAGCCTTAATTTCTTGACTTGGACAGGGGTAGACAATAATGTCTTTCTGCCACACAAGCCTTAATTTTCATGACTTGGACAGGGGTAGATAATAATGTCTTTCTGCCACACAAGCCTTAATTTTCATGACTTGGACTGGGGTAGATGACAATATCTTTCTGCCACACAAGCCTTAATTTTCATGACTTGGACTGGGGTAGATGACAATATCTTTCTGACACACAAGCCTTAATTTTCATGACTTGGACAGAGGTATATAATACATGTAATGTTTTTATGCCACACAAGCCTTAATTTTCTTGACTTGGACAGGGGAAGATAATAATGTCTTTCTGCCACACAAGCCTTAATTTTCATGACTTGGACAGGGGTAGATAATAATGTCTTTCTGCCACACAAGCCTGAATTTTCATGACTTGGACTGGGGTAGATGACAATATCTTTCTGACACACAAGCCTTAATTTTCATGACTTGGACAGGGGAAGATAATAATGTCTTTCTGCCACACAAGCCTTAATTTTCATGACTTGGACTGGGGTAGATGACAATATCTTTCTGACACACAAGCCTTAATTTTCATGACTTGGACAGAGGTATATAATACATGTAATGTTTTTATGCCACACAAGCCTTAATTTTCTTGACTTGGACAGGGGAAGATAATAATGTCTTTCTGCCACACAAGCCTTAATTTTCATGACTTGGACAGGGGTAGATAATAATGTCTTTCTGCCACACGAGCCTGAATTTTCATGACTTGGACTGGGGTAGATGACAATATCTTTCTGACACACAAGCCTTAATTTTCATGACTTGGACAGAGGTACATGTATATAATACATGTAATGTTTTTTTTATGCCACACAAGCCCTAATTTTCTTGACTTGGACAGGGGTAGACAATAATGTCTTTCTGCCACACAAGCCTTAATTTTCTTGACATGGACAGCGGAAGACAACAATGTTTTTCTGTCACACAAGCCATAATTTTCTTGACTTGGACTGGGGTAGATGACAATATCTTTCTAGCAACACAAGCCTTAATTTTCTTGACTTGGACTGGGGTAGACAATAATGTCTTTCTGCCACACAAGCCCTAATT